TGGGTACTGGGGCCCAGCACATGGGATAGTGATGACTTTTCTCACGCGACGGGTTACTAAGCAGGAGGAGGGAGGACCTGCACGGGTGCCCTGTCTCGGTGCCCTGCAAGCCTAGTAGCCTGCCACCAACCTGCCACTGCCTGCCCACTGCCCTGCCCACTGCCTGCCCACTGCCTGCCCACTGCCAAATTGTGCGGGGGAGACACCAAAGGGCATCCATCCACCTAATTCCTATCCAGAACATCAAACATCACTGACCTTTTTTTCCTCTTCGAACTTCAAATGGCCTGACCTCCTGATCACTACCCAGTACCTGAAGATCTTTCCACTTACTCCTACCCTATCCCCTTCCTCTCCCTCTCTCCAGGCACATACTCTAGCACTTCTCCCGCGGGAAACCCTCCTGAGAGTTCCGGCTCAGACCAAACGACGACGCACCACTTACGCGCCTCGGCTTTCTTCTCCTGCCTTATTTCTACACCTCCCCGGTCGATCAGCGTGGAACCTCAAAGGTGAACACATTTGCTCTTGTCTAACATACAATGTGAGCTTCCCTTACAGTCTGGACGTCCCGACAGAGGTTTGCCATGAGTCAGGAAGCCGCAGAAGCCTCGGCTGCAAGTGGCTCTAATCCCACCGACCGCGTGGTCAAGAAGAGAGCTTCGCAAGCCTGCCACCACTGCAGAACCCGCAAGGTGAAGTGCGACCTGGTCAAATCTGGCGTCCCCTGCCACAACTGCTCCTCGGACGGAATTGAATGTATCATCCTCGAATCGAGACGCAGCAGGAAGTATCGTCTTCAGAAGCGCCAGTCGAGTCGCCCCGTTGCGCTTCCCACCATCTCCCAGGCACAGCCCAAATCTGCCTCTGAGCCTTCGCCTGCGATCTTGCACCGGCCGAGGGGTTCGCACGATGCAGGTCCAGCCCTCCAAGTCTCTGTTCAGAGTCAAACAAATCATGGTAAGGTCTCTCGGACGGTGGTTGCACCGTCAGCTGACACTCTAATGACCCAAGAATCCTCAGCAGTGCCTCCCCTAATACCAACCAATTTTCAGGTCGTTCCTGTCACTGCCCGGAACAGCAGTCTCGGTGGTGCGCAGAATCAACCTGGTGCTGCTTCTGATCGCTCGGTCTCGGGTCTCGTCATTGATGTGCCGCCCTATATTCGCCCGTCTCGCCCAGACATTCGGCACGACGACTTGGAGTTTCTGCATCGCCGTGGAGCTTTGAGCTTACCATTGGGCGAGCTTCGTGATCAGCTCATTCGATGTTTTGTGCTATACGTGCACCCTTTTATGCCAATTGTCGACCTTGAAGACTTTCTAGGTGCTCTAGACGGTAAAGATGCATCGCCCAAGATCAGCTTGGTTGTGTTTCAAGCCGTCCTGTTCTCAGGCGCTGCTTTTGTCGAGTTGCCGCTTCTCCAGGAAGCAGGCTATGAAAGTCGAAGAGCTGCGAGAGCCGATTTCTACCAAAAGGTCAAGGTGAGTGGTGGGACGTTGCCCCTTGTCCAGCAATCGTGACTCACCTGACCCATCCAGCTACTTTACGATTTCGACTGGGACGTAGATCGGATTGCCCTGATCCAGGCACTGCTCTTGCTGAACTACTGGTATGTTTCAGAGAACGACCAAAAAGACCCCTGGCACTGGCTTGGTGTCTGCATTTCTCTTGCGAGCAGCATCGGTTTGAATCAACCCTTCACGCATACGCAGAAGGACCCCAGAACTAGAGCTTTGTGGAGACGAATATGGTGGACTTGCGTCCATCGTGACAGAATCATCTCGATCAGCATGCGGCGACCAATGCGAATCAAGGACGAGGACATCAGACTTCCACCTCTGAAAATAGACGACTTCGAGACCCGGCCTATCCATTCTGCCATTGTGTCTCTCAATGGCAATGCTTTTCTTGCGGATGCCTATATTAGAACCATGCTGGCTGAGATGTATATCGCAAAAGTCAAACTGCTGCTGTTCATTGGACAGATCCTCAAACACTTTTACCACCTGCGCGGCTTTGGTGGCTCGACAGCCGAGTCCACCATGCTTTATACTCCCCAAAGATCTGAAGTCAACGGGAAGCAGTATCTGGACCTGCAACATGACCTTGACCAGTGGTATAGAGATCTTCCGCCCAGTTGTTGGCTGGTAACGAGCAACAGCAGTAGCAGCAGCAGCAGCAGCAGCAGCAGCAGCAGCGGCGGCGGCATCGAATCCGATACTTCAACCGCTGATTCTCTTTTGGTGCACCGATCAGTATTGAGAATGCTCTACCTGATGGCCTCTGAAGCACTCAATCGACCTCAGTCATTGTCCAAGCCCCTAAGCGGATCGGAGAATAGTCCAACATCAAAGGTCAAGGAAGCAGCCGAGAAGATTGCAGAAATGATAGAATCCCTGCAAGAGCGAGATCTGGTCAGATTTCTTCCACCACTGTCAGTGAGTTTTATGCTACTCGCTCTTGCTTCCTTCCTAGTGGACATTAAAGCGAAGGGGCAAACTGTCGGAGCACTTCCAGGACACCAATTCCATATTTGTATCCGAGCGCTATTGCGCCTGCGAGAGATCTGGCCGATTGCCGACGCTGCCTGCTTTCTGATTGGACAAATGATCACCAAACATCAAGTTGGCAAAGTGTCGGCGCCTGGTGTACAACCTATGCCCATGGATGCAAGTGAAGCTCCATCAAACGTTTGGCGATCCCCTGAAATACTTCGCGGAAATCCCCCCATCATTCCTCAATTTGAGCAGATACGTCGAGCGGAAATAGCTTTCAGTTCTACCAGTCTGGACCAGCCATCCTTTGTAACGACGCAGCCGGAAGTGGCTCCCACACCGTCACAGGGCTTTGTTATACCTTATGATTGGTCAGAAGAGGACTTTGAAGGCGACTACGGCGCTATGGTTGAGGCACACGCATTGAACATGGATCTCGCCATGCCCGACGCAGAGATTTTGGGTTTCTTTGACAGCGGCATGTTCGACTTTGAACCATCGCCCCACAATGACCAAGCTGGACATGATGGCTTGTATGCTTCGCAACGAACGTCGGTCATCTGTGAAGCCTGGAATCCAACAGCTCCTAACCAGTATATAGAGACATTCCGGACGCCAAGGTCGATTTAAGGGTTCACGTTCGGCGGCGGGGTACGAGTTTGACTGGGCTCGACGTACCTCTGCTCGTATTCGGAAATGACGCTGGAATCGTCGCAGATATCTACAGCGGCAGTATGTGGAGCGAAGGCTCTCAGATATCCCAGAATTCCGGTATGGAACACCGCACGCAGCCGTCACTCTCCACCTTGGCTGCTGTTCGGCCCCGTACGGTCAGGGATAACAGTGCGAAACCAAGAGGAACAATTGAATACTGCACAAGCTTCACCACGAATCAGGTTTCTGGTATGTTACCGGCGTTGATTTCTCAACAGCATCACAAAGTGCCAATTTTGGGGGATATATCTTCGAAATGGACCCCTTGCTTCACTTCAAGCCCAAAATCTGAAGATCGGCATTGCAGGTTGATTCCGATGTGGAGCAATGTGTTGGCGGGTTTGAACAAGAACTTCCCCGAGCAAGCTTGCTCTATTTCAATCCTGTTCTGTGGATTCCACCCCTGCTTCTGAGATGGACATTTCGTTCCCGGCGCTCCTTCTCAGGATACAAGTGTCTCGAGAGTGGGCATTGCACTGCACTCTTGAGAATTCTGCAGACTTCAAATTGGATGCCCCGCCTGACACCACAGAAGCACTCTCTCCAACCTGCCATCCTGCGAATGGAGCCGGCTGTAGCAGGCTCACCATATACTGTCTGTGCTCGAAGGGATCCAGAGCAAAGACGGAGCGATCAGTCTGACGATCTCCGCGGAAGTCCAACTTGCGCCGAAACGTTACACCAACCCATCGGCACACGCAAAGGTAAACACGAGCGCGGCAGCAAAGCACAGAATTGTAAATTTTATATTGGAAGATTTCAATACTGTTTGACACCCACGGTTACGTGTTTTTTGAGCTAACCAAAATGTTGATCTGGACCGCTTTTTTTTTAAAAAAAAATATAATACATTCAAAAGCCTCGCCTCGCCTCGGTTCAGTTCAGGGTTCCAGAATCCATCTCTGTCCGTTTGTTCTTGTCTGCTGCATATATGCACATTCTTATATTCAGCAGCAACCTGTATGTACGGTGTATACTCCGGCAAGAACAAAACGAAAGCAAAATACGTGGTATTATGAATGATAGGGGAGGGAGGACGAAAAGGGAGCCAGTACTCCGTGGTTACATAGTTCACCGTTGGCATCATCACCACCACCACCATCCCTGCTCGACAAACAACAACATCAAGCAATCGGAGTGTTGCATGGTGCTAGGCTTTCTCGTCGAGGTCGAAAATAGTTCACGGGGAATAAAAGGGAGCTCTTTCCAAAAAGGGTCATGAAGGGGCTTTCGGCAAAAGTTTTCCCTCTGTTTCAAAAAGACAAAACCCCCCCCCCCAAAAGGATAGTCTTTCTTGTTTACTTTCACTTCATTCAAACCTCGTAATTGGATTTTGTATATAGGTAGGTAACTCAATCGCTTGTTCATCGCTCATCGTTCGTCGCCGTCGACGTCGTGATGGCGGGGTTAGGGTTGTGGTCAGGGTCGTGGTCAAGGGTGCTCGGCCTGCCGCCAGGTTGAGGCTCGTCTCATCTCATCCCATCGCTAACACCTCGTCTCATCATCTTTCCCGCCTCATCTGGTCCTCCCTCACGCCCGCCCATTGGCTCCAGGGTCAGTGCAAGCCAGAGAGATCGGGAAGCCGACAGGGAATCCACACTGTAGGTCTAGTCAAGAAAAAGGATCGTAGCTCCGTTCTGTTTAACATCCAGAGTGAAGCCCTCTCACGTGCTATCCCTTCTCTCTCTCTCTCTTCGGTAAATCGAGGCTTTCATCCATAAGACAAGCCAAAAGCACTTGCATTCCGAAGCCGAGCCCCCGCATGTCATTCCCGGTTTGAGTGGCTCACTATCTCGGACCCAACTTCTCGAGCACTCGGGGCCCTTGCTCCTCCCACTCCTGCTTGGAGATCCACATATTCTCCTTGTCTGCCATGATGTTGGCTAGGACGGCACCGCCCAAAAACACCATGTGTCTCCTCCGGGGGGGATCCTCGATCCGCACCTTGAATTTGTTCAGTCGTTCCGGATTCCCGCCCAGCACACGGGTCAGCCAGAGCTGTTTGAGTTCCTTCTCCAGGCGCGAGGGGAGGCCGGGATACATGCTGCTGCCGCCAGAGAGGACAATGGCTTTGTACAGAGAAGACCGAACGTCCACGTCGGCAGATTGGATGGTGTTGAATAGGAATTCGGCGATGCCGGGTTGTTCGACGTCGACCAGGTGCGGTTGGAAGAGACATTCGGGGGCTTCGAAGCGCTCGCTGCCTACGCGGATTACGCGGCCGTCTGGTAATGTGTAGGACTCGACCAGGACGGTGGTTTCTTCCGATAGACGTTGATCGAGTGTCAGGTCGTATGACACGTAGCATAGTTTCTCTTTAATTTGACGCACGGTTTCGAAGTCGGCGGTACGATTGAGTGCGTAACCTCGTCGCAGGAGGAGGGCGATCAGGTTCCGGGTTACGTCGCGGCCGGCCACATCTAGGCGTCGAGTGAGATGGTTGAGGACTGTGGATTCGTACACGGGCACGATGTGTGTGACACCGTCGCCGGAATCGACAACCACACCTGAGGAGAGGCCTTGTGCGTAGAGGGCCAACACCGCTTGGATGGCGACGTATACCCCACCAAACCCGTAGCGCTCAAACATGACCTCGCACATCTGCTCGCGGTTCTTGAGCGGGTTCATTGGTGGCTCGGTCAGGAGGATTTTGCGACCTCTGGGGTCTATCTTCAACTTTTCATAGAAGGTAAAGTCCCAGAGATGTTGCATGTCGTCCCACTTCTTGACGATGCCGTTTTCCATCTGTTCCTCGTCGGTCAGCCAATGCCCAACTTCACCATGTGGAAGAATCTGTTGCTGGGTCTCCGGAGAGTCTCCTCACAGGGTAACTTATTTGCAGCATCGATCTTGCTGCAGCAGCCTCGTCTCCACACATAATGTCCTTGACCACGATGTCTCCTGCCCGCTCTTCCGAACGCAGAATTGGCCGGCCGACTATGGAGGGGAATTGATGCTCGGGGAAGTTCTGCGAGTTGACTGGTTAACTTTCGGCTTCGTCCGAAAGAAAGGGCAAGGCCCATGGGCAAACGTACTTGAGCTGCATAGCCGACCTTGAGGAAACCGGTACCCCCATCGAGCACTGTGGTGCCTGTGTCAGCAGAAGGTCAATGGGAATGTGGGTTGGAGAGGGGTCTTACCGATGGGTGGTTCGGCCATCTTGGGAGGTAGTGTGGGACCTGTGTGAGTCCAAAGGCTCGCAGCTTGCAGGATAGAAGGGATATGGGAGAACGAGAGGCGGGTGAAAGCAGGAACGTGGATGAGTGTCAAGTCCACACGCACACTTTCTACAGGCACCGGCAATCGATGGAGTTATGCGCAGTTGAGGTAGAGCGACGGCATTGTACTCGCAGCCTACCGTAATGCCAAGAACCCTCCTCCGCCTCCCTTGGCCTCCCCTAGTCGGCGTGCGACCCCTCATACGTCAAATGGCGGGTGAGGAGGGGCGAGGCTGCGAGATCAAAACATTCTCCCATCTTAACGAGTTACTGTCTGAGGATCAACAATACATATTTAATTTTCTGGGCCAACATACCCTCTCCAGATGCTAGCTTGTGTTACGATCTATATCAACAACTGCCTGTGCCCTCAGTTGTGTTCAGTCTCGGGATCACCTTCTCCCAACAAACCAAGTTCTCTCAGAATGATGCTCACCGCCTTCTCTCTTACCAGCAGTGCCGTGTTCTCGGTGTTAGCCACGACAATCTCAGGAACAATAGACAGATCTGCCACTTTTAAGCCTTGCACGCAGTAGACGTTGAGAGCTGGAGAGTGCGCCGAAAACTTGGGGTCATCAATCACGAGTTCTCCATGGAATATCTGAGTGCGTCGCATGATCTCGCGATGTTTCTTGTATGCCCCCACCTGCTTCTTTGAGGTCGACGTCATGCGTATCGGTGAAGAAACCAAGGTCAAAATCGATGGAATCCTCCAGTTGGGACCAGTGATATATAGTTTTTTTGCGAGAGTAGAGATACGGGTTAGGCCGCAATCGAAACAAATGCTTCACTGGGAACCAGTGCAGGGTCCTCGCAATAGCTGAAGGATTGGATCATTGGTTCCATTTTGTGGAAGCCATGGACACTTCGCTCGCCTCGAGACTAGCGAAATTAGCATCAAAGACCGGTTGGAGTTGTCTTTGAAGTCTCTGTCCCAAACAATTCTAGAACGTAGGGCCCAAGTGCAGCAACTTCCGCATTAGTTGGACGGAATTTGGCAGAAACGTCGCATGTATTCCACCGAAGAATGGTACTACGGCTCAGTATAGCCTCTTCACGAGCCTTGATATCTCGCAGTGGTGGATGGAGATAGCAGTAGGCTGTGTCTTGAGGTTTCCCTTCAGGAGAAACGTACCACATCATCGCTCGGTACCAATGTTGGAATCCAGATCCTGCATGTCCTGGTATTCCGTGTAGTCCACTAAGGCACAGGCGTTGATAAAAATCATCCTCGGATCTTGCACATTTGTAGGCGCTGTCTGAAACTTGAATGGGGCCGTGAAAGCTATGCGGCTTTTCGTTTTCGAGGCCACAGTATGTTTCAACCCACAGACTAATCAGGACAAGACCCAGACAAGTCACACCTCATCTACCTTCTTCAGAAATGGTATCAATTTATTGGCACTCTAGCGTGGGGTGTCCCAGGAACTAGAATCGCTGCGTTGGGCGCGAGTGTATCTGCGTTCATCGTCAACCACAGTATCCGCAAGCATCAGATTGACGCTTGGGCAAGACGACTGTACGATATTTCTCGCTGTGACTGATGACGCGCCGCCGCGTTTCTTCTCACCCTTGCGTAATCTGGACAGAGCTTGGACCATGATCTTCGCCGAGAGTGGCTTCAAGTTCCCCCAAGTCGACTGTGGGGTAGCAGATTCTGGAGTATCGGACAAGCACGCCAGGCAAAGCATTGAGCCATGACGCGCATCTTCAAGATGGGTGGGATCTCTTGCTCCTCTGGTCCGCGGCTCATCGTCCGCTACGCTTGTACAACCCTCGGCAAGCTGGCGTATTGCTAATATACCCGGAACGGCAGGCCGCTTTCTGAAAAGGAACTTGGTCTTTTGCACAAACCTTGCGAGAATATGGACAGCAATGGTGGAAAGCTACACCTTCTCTTTATTCGCCATGGCGAGACACAGGATAACATCGACAGAATCCTTCAGGGCCTTCGAGATACCAGTCTGACAGAGAACGGACACAGAGAAGCGCAAATTCTGGCAGACAAATTACGCGGCCAAACAATCGATGTTGTGTACCATTCACCCCTGATTCGAATCGTTCAAACGATCCAGCCCATTCTTGCAGATCGCACAGGCGTTCGATCCTTTGCGGATCCGGATCTTACGGGGCAGGCACTCGGCGACCTCGAGGGCGGCTCGTACGACACGATTGACATGAGCAATCCAAGAAGCGCTGACGGTGGGCCGGGCGTCGAGCTCTTTGACGATTTCGTAAGACGGCTTCTACGAGCCTTTGCACGCATCGTGGGCACCGAGGCCAAGCTAGTCGGAGCGCAGGACCGGACCGTCGTGGTCGCGACGCACGGAGTGGGTATCACGTCTCTTTTCAAAACTCTGGAATGTAGTCCATCGTGCGAGGGATTCAACCCCAAGTTGGCCGTTCGGGGGCCGGATGCGTTCGAGGTTAGATGGACTGACAGCGACGATGTTGCTCGGCTGGTAGTCCCGCAGCCGACGCAGCTACCCACGAGGGACGGGTCGTTGGAATGGTCGTTGATTTCGGGTCAACCATTCGTGATAGAAGTCTGGGGTAAGAGGGAGAAAGCATTTTGAGCATCTCATAGACACGTTGCCCCAAGCCGACAGCGAAAGATGGTGGTTAGAGAAGCGGTGGACAAGAGGCGGGAATAACGAGGCGGGGAACTTTACACGCCGAAACCAGCTACAGAGGTACCAGAGGGCATCCTTGGACCTGGACGATATTACAAGAACATTTCACCGCATTTATTCATGTCTACCGTCTTGCAAAGTTGTTAGAACCCAGGACGGCAAAGTTCAAACCAGAGGCAAATCAATCTATTGCGTGTCTCATCAATCATGTCTCATGGTCTCATCCAAGTCGTAGCCTGACTTTTCCAGCTTGTCCAATCCTTTCCTCGTGACCAATACTTGGAAACGCCAATGCTTCAGTCAAAATCATCGTGTCGCTAAAAAGAATGCGAAAACGAGCCCTTTCGAGACTCACCCACCTACCCTTCTCTGCCTTTGACCGAGTCGACTCTTGATATGCCGTTCAGAATCCAACCAATGGCTGGAATGCCGAGATCCACGAACACATGGAGTCATCCGACGTCTCGGACTGCTGCTCAACAGACTGAATACTCAGAGCCCCATAATATCTTCAACCAAGTCTGCACCAAAATTTCCAACGGTCGTGCGAGTCCTTTCGGGCTTCTTTCTGTATTTGTTCAAACCGGGCGGTGATCTTGACGGGCTTCTGGACTTCTTCCACGCCCCAAAAAGGCGCGTCAGCATATCTCGAATCCAACAAGAATCTCTTCTTGCATTCCCAAGCACGAGACGATGAAAGACACCGGAAAAGACGACATGATGAAATATCAGTAGTCGCTGGCACGACCGCGACTCACCGCACGCCGAGACCTGGATCTCCTGCTATCGTAATCATCAAAGTCCCTATCTTCGTCATACATCTTTCTCGCGCGATTCGAGTCTCTGATCGCCCGGTCGTCGTCGTAAGGGCCACCTGCTCCGCCGCTAGCACGGCTTCCACGGTAACTTTCACTGCTCTGTGGCTCGGGGCCGTCGTAGTACCACTTGCCATCCCGTCCCTTGTAGTACCCTCCCCGTTCCCTTGCGCGCCTGCGTCTCTCGCGCTCCATGCGCTTCTTGTGATGCTCTTCCTTCAACGAAAGCATTTCTTTGTGGTGATTGTGCTCCTCGGACAGCTCATTCCACTCGCTCACCGCACCTTTGAGGCCCAACGCGGCAATCCCAATGGCGGCGGCATCTTGCCACCGAGATGCGCGTTGCTGCTTGTGGGCTTCCTCCGGGGACATTTTCCCCTCGCGAACTTTTTCCATTCGTTTATCATGCGACTCGATGGAAGAATAGACTTTGGAGGCGGCGTGGATGGTGGCCACACTTGCCAGAGCGGCGGTGAGCCATTTCTTGCGTTGCATTTTGCGGATGTTCTTCTCTTCCTCGGTGGAAGAGAGCAGCGAGGATGAGGAGGAGCTTGAAGAGCTTCGGCGGCGTCGAGAGCGACCGGAGGAGGACTTTGCTCGAACGCGCGAGCGTGGAGGCACCGAGCCCTCGGAGTCGTAGTAATTGTCTCTGTCACGATCACGGTCGCGGTATGCCACGAGGGCCCCTGCACCGGCGCCTGCGGCCGCGCCTGCACCCATGTCTCGACCATTGTGCATAGAGCTGGCTCTTTGACGTTGTTGCCCCGACCGAGTAGGTCGTCGTGGCAGAATGTCTCCCTTGTGCCTCACCACCTCGACAATCTCTTCGTCCGAGGCCACATCACGGCGACGGCGTAGAACGAGGCCTTTCTCTTCCATTGTGCGTTTGTCGAAAAGAGCGGGATCGGGTTGAGGCACTTGGCCACGGATTTTCTTGTATCTGCGATGCAGAGGGTCAATCACCTTGTCCTGGTGTGTGATGGCAAGATTAACGCCGTTGAGGCCTAAACCTAGAGCCTGTTCCATTTTGAACGCAGCCGGGCGTTACACGCGGCTGTCGTCGTAGGTCGGCAATGCACCTCGCGCAGGGTATACAGGGGGGTTGGGCGGACGCCTTGCAGCACCGGGTGCCCAACTTGTGTGGTGCTGCAGTGGAGTTGGCGGCGTGCAGAGGCACAGGATTGCACGGTCAAACGGGCCTCTTATCTGACCGAGAAGGAGATTTTGCGTTTGATTGGACGTTGATGGGATAATTCAATGAAGAGTAAACATACTGCAGGAACACAGATCACGGGGCTGGTCTATATCATCAGCCGCGAAGCTCGCACAGAGAACCAGGCTTGCAGTTAGGACTGCAGGAACAGGAGGACACCAGAAGCAAATAAGTAGAGGAGTGCAGGAGCAGGGCTGGTGAGGTGTCTATAGAGAAGACGTCATTGTGTAGCAGCTACACCGACACTGAGGTGGCCCATTGGGCTATTGAGAGGGGTGGGTGAAGCTTCAATTCAACTGGACGGCAAGTGGAAAAGAAGACAGAACAGGGAGCAGACATTGGTCATGGGCGGCTCGTATATAACGACGGACTGGACGGCAAGGACGGGTCGGTAGATGGCAGATGGGGCCGCGTCTCACGGACACCGCAGAATCCGCATTTGGCCATGTTACTGGCATGCCAGATATTATTACAGGACGAAGATGCCCCAGATGCCTATTCTGCGAAAGGGGCGAGAAGAGCGAGAAGGGCCCCCTGTGAAGAGGCGAGGGCGAGCATCAGCGATCAGAGACGATCGATCCCTCGCCCCCCTGATCGCCTCTCTCCAGCTCGGGACATTTGTACTCGGCAAGGTTGTAAGATTTTCAAGGGGAAGGCTTAGGCTTCCGGATAACCTTCCTCATAAAAATGTGTTTCCATGAATGGTCCTACTGACCAGTATGTACTTGTACTTGATACAGTGTACGAGGTAGAGGTAGGACAAGAACCAAAGCGGAAGCGGAGAGAAGGAGAGTCCCCGAGAAGGAACGAGAAAAGTGCCAAAAGGATAGTAGAAGGGAGATGGGAGAGGTTGAGCCATTTTTCGAGGACAGGAAGAAAAGGAGCAGGGATGAAGAACACCCGCATTCAAGGCTGGCATTGCACACATTCCGAGTCCTGTAACAGTATGGAGAGAGTTGGAACACCCAAGACACCCAAGGGAGCAGGGCAGCAGGGTCTACAGGCCCGGGGAGAATTAAACTGCATGACGTCGTCCCATCATCTACTCAGTAGGAATGAATCAAACGGCATAATAGGTAAACCGCAAGTACGGAAACCGGGCCAAGGACAGTACTTAACAACCCCCTTCCGCGCTTGGTGCTTGGTGCCCTGGCATCAATGGCCATAGCAGTTGCCATTGGCATTCGTCGCTTACGACGTCATCGAGACCGCCATGCAGCTTGTTCCGAGTACTCACCTCTTTGCCCACAGCACGGCACTAAGCTCCAAACACCAAAGGAAATAACAACCACAAAAATGTACGCTCAAAAGGTAACAAGACTCATCACAGAACCTCATCTCATGCCTGTCAATTGTCAGTTTTGAGCGCGTCTGATTCGATTTTAGCACATCTTCGGCACAACAACAGTCAATGAGAGCGGCTGAGTTGCAATTTGACATCCGTGCTGGAGAGGGAACTTCTCCAAAAAGAAAACAAAACTCGGGGTCTGAATTCGTGAGCTCAGTCTCGGTTTGCGTATGACTTTTTTTTCCCCTCGAAACTAAAACAGATAGTGCCGCCGTTGCCAGGGCGCACTCAGATATGTGCTATTGGCAATAATCCACACACGCTCTGCCAAAAACCACCGAGCCACAAGGAATCACAAACAATCATAGTTCGCTATGACCATCCGTGCCTGTCGAGGTGCCATTTTGACTCGGTCCTTTGAAGACGTCCCCGGTCAAAATTTGGCCCCAGGACTTCTTCAGTTCTTCAAAGGCCACGTCGAATCGCGCACCCATCAGCCAGGCAACTCCAACCTAGTGGCACATTAGCGCTGACTGCGATCATCAGAAGAAGGACTTGCTCACCATAATAGACGCGATGAAGAGCAACATCAGGACCACGGCTCCCAACAACGCAAGCGTGTCCTTTGCTCCCGCCGAACCTGCTTCCTTTTCCCGCTTTGCAAGCTCCGCCCGCGCCTCGTCGGCCTTGTTCCTGGCCAGAACGTCCTCCACCTTCTGTGACGGGAATATGGATTCGATGAACTGTTCCACCTTGCCGCATGCAATGCTGATCTTCAAAAAGTTCGGGTCTTGCGGCCGATTCTTCTTCCGGATGGAATGAATATGTCGCCGGAACACATCACAAGCCGCCTGAAGGTTTTGAGTCGATTCGATCATGATCTGACAAGCCTCGCCCTTTGTGATTTTGATATTGCGCTGGAACATGGAGTAATTCCTGAAGCAGAGATCCAGCGTCGCGATGGCCATGGTCTGCGGAATCGCGCAAAAATTGAACACACTCTGCTCCCTAAGCCCAGCCATGTAGAAAATACATTCGTCAGCATGGTTGAGCGCATTCAACACCATTTCTGCACTACAATTCAATGCCTGTTCCTGGTATTCGGGCTTGAAGAGATCCTCGAACTCGTCGACGTGTCTCGACCAGATCTCCTTGGGCCAGAATATTCTGCGGTCATCAAAATCTTCCCGCACGTCTCGGATGATGTTGGTCTTTTGCAGGAAAATCCCCATCGAGTTGTGGAGGTTGGGCCTGTCTAGCAGAACCGGGTTTCCGAATTTGCTTTCCACAAACATTCTGGTCAATCCCTCACCAACCAATCCCGCCACGTAGTAGCAATATTGGTCATACTCAGCGCAAGTGACTACGGCAAAATCGTTGTTCTCAGATTTCACGCAGTAATCGGCCATTCCGTTCCCCATTCTCTTCGCGATGTCCTTGATGATAACTTGGTAGGCAGGTTTGATTTTTTTGAACTCTTCGACCACGCATCCATAATTGAGCATCAGTTCGCGGTCCTTCTCTTCAGGCCGGTTTTCAGTGTATGTCCATCCATCAATGTCAAGAACTTCGTCGAAGTTGCGTAACACCAGCTCCTTCTTCTGGACGGGGATCGACGTGTCGTCTTCGATAGTATCCAGGCCACGCAGGACCAGGTAGAACAGAGTGACAGGGAGCAAGAGCTCTGGATGCAACTCTTGAATCACGGCGCTGAAGGAACGACTGGTCATTTTCAAGTATTTGAAGCATTGTTTGGTGGATTCAGTTTCCTTGGACTCATCTCGTTCATGGACTGGGTTATGCCAGACTTTCCTGAGCAGGTGTCAGTTTTTGTCAGTCTTCGTGCGCAACATGAACCTCTTTCTGAGCTTACCATTGAATGATGGAGCGCAATTGCTGGGGGTGGAAGAGGTAAAACACAACCTCGCTGGCTTTGACCATTGTGACTGACGTGCAATCCAATGCAGTTTTCGAGTTGCTCTGTGGACAGCTTCCCTCTTCTCCTATCTAGCGTTCAAGAACTCCAGTCGGATGGAGTACACTGAGTGGTAACGAGCGACCATGATCGAGAAAAGAAAAAGGGGCGGGGACGTTTTGTCGACTACCCGCGCTCGAGGTGAACTAGACCATCATGTTTTGTGTGTGGAGGTTAGCATATCCGAATGGCACGATCCTTGACCCGAGGACGCATTTGTGAGAAAGAAAGCGATGCCGAATCGGCTCTAGGGAGGTTTCGTGGCCCCCCCGTCAAGGCACGCTTGCCGGCCCCCCCAAAAACCCGGCTCGACGGCTCGACGCTCGCCAGCTGCGTGTTGCTGCGTGTCAGCCACAGTGGCACCAAAGTGGCTCAGCTAAGGCATCACTCAGACTATGACTTCACCCCCCCTTTGTTGAGTTTCGTGCTTGCGGTGACCAACGGGTGCGGCGGCCTTCACAAGCCCAAAGTCTGCAATATAACCTGTACACGTCTCCGTTCCATGCCAACCGGTGTGTCAGCCAGAAATCATATCCATCCCACTCCGGATCTACGCCTGCTACAATGGTCGTCGACACTTCATACTATGACGCCCTAGGCGTTAAACCAGATGCCTCCGAACTAGAAATCAAAAAAGCCTACAGAAAGCTCGCCATCACCACACATCCTGACAAGAACCCCGGCGATGAAACCGCGCACGTTCGGTTTCAAGCCGTTGGCGAAGCTTACCAGGTCCTCTCGAACAAAGAGACCCGAGCCGCTTATGATAAGTATGGCAAAGAAAAGGCCATGCCTAGCCAAGGGTTCGAGGATCCTGCCGAGTTTTTCAGCATGATCTTTGGTGGTGATGCTTTTGTCGATCTCATTGGCGAATTGTCTCTCCTGAAGGATCTCACACATACCATGGACATCACAATGCAGGCCATGGAGGAAGAAGAGCTTTCCAAAACTGCGGAAGAGAAGTTGAACGTTCATGATGCAAAGGAAAAACAGCCGACCGCCGCAGGCATGAGCGCAACGGAAACCGAAGCAAGAGAAGACTCTGCACACGAGGGGCCAGCACCTCCACCGTATTTTCCGGGGCTGGACGGGGATGAGCCATCGACGTCCACTGCCAGATCATCTGGGACTAGCACCCCGCAGAGAAGATACGCCGGCCAGCAAGCCATTATGGATCGATCAGAAGAAGATGCGCGAATGGACGCTGCAGGCCTGACCCAGGAAGAGAAAGACTTGCAGAAGAAGAAAAAACGCGGCGGGCTGACCAAGGAGCAGCGGGAGAAGTTGGAAGCTTACGAGCGCGAGAGACGGCGTCTGCGAGAAGAACGAGTCGAGACCCTCGCAAAGAAGCTGATTGATCGTATCAGCGTGTGGACAGAAACAGACAAGGGCCCTGAAGTCACGAATGCATTCCAGGAAAAGATAAGACTCGAAGTTGAAAATCTCAAGATGGAATCCTTCGGCATTGAAATCCTTCATGCTGTTGGACAGACATACATGCAAAAGGCGACTTCCTTCCTCAAATCTCAGAGATTCTTGGGCATCTCAGGATTCTTCGCCCGCCTAAAAGACAAAGGCACTCTCGCAAAAGACACGTGGAACACGATCTCTTCAGCCATCGACGCCCAACTAACAATGGAAGAAATGGCCAAATTGGAAGAAAAGGGCGGTGCCGATTGGACTGACGAAAAGAAAGCAGAGTATGAGAGGAAAGTCACGGGCAAGATTCTGGCGGCTGCATGGAGGGGCTCCAGGTTTGAGATTCAGGGCGTGTTGAGGGATGTGTGCGACAGGATTCTGAACGATAAGAACGTCAGAATAGAGAAGAGGATAGAAAGAGCACACGCCCTGGTACTGTGTGGGACCATCTACCAAAAGGTAAGAGTTCTTCTCTGCTTGAAGTGGCATTTGTCTAGGTCACAAAAATAACCGTATACTATCGATGCTAACGTCGTGGTCATGCAGGCGGAACGCGACCCGGATGAGGAAGGCGACTTCATGGCCTTTGAGCAGCTAATGGCCGAATCCATGAAGAAGCAAGAAAAGAAAAAGGAGAAAGAGAAAGCGAAAGAAAGCCAGCCCAACGATCAGCAACATCGACACTTCTTTGGAGGCAACCGGGAGGCGTCACCGAAACAGCCGGCGACGACGTGAGCTTGACCACAGTCGGGCAAAGGTTCCTGTACAGGGGGGATTGAACGAAGCTAGGGCCTGTTCGACTCTCGTTGGTTAGCGACTCGGCGGCACACGGTCTGTCATGTGGAATGTTATTTCTTCCTCGGATGGCGATACCCTCAGAGTATGAATACTTTGCAACAAGGGCTTCTCTACTTACACTACTGCTGCTACTGCTATGCTAAGGTAATCACCGCGCCTGCGGGCCCGGATCGTGAATGTGACGGAATGCTTGGATCGGATCGGATAGGACAGGATAGAATCAAGGGGAGAGCGAGCGGGCCGTCGAGCAGTGCCGTCGAGCAGTTGGTCGCGCGTTCGACCATCGCGGGCTTAATTGCCAGAATAGATAGATACCAAACGAATCTTTCCTTCCTCTCCGTATGGCATTTTATGGGTTCCTTCCGTCTCTGTCCCTATATTGATTGATTGATTGACTGATTGATTGACTAGTCTCCTCCTGTGCAGCTTTCAGCTTTCTGCAATTGATCATTATGGCTCGCGGCCAGGGTCCTCCGTGCCGAATCAACTCTTAATTGTGTATGCAAGGCTTTTCTCACTCTCTTTCTCACTCTCTGTCTTCGCGCGCACCAGTAAAAACAAAGCAAAAGTCGGCGACGACAAGCGGGGTATCATTTTATACACTGTAGGAGACAGGCCACGAATTCCACAACTTATCCATGCCACCACCACCAACCGAACTCCCGCCATGAAACAAAAGGAAATAGCAATCTCTTCAACGTAATCCGGCTTCCAATGCAATCTGCGTCATTATGTCGTAAAGGAAGAGACTTGGTCTTCCGCAAATCCACTCCAAAGGTTTCAAGACGCCAATCTAGGTCTCCTCCAATTGCATGCTGACAGAATCCAATATATCGGACAACTCGTCCAGTGAAGGCATCCCTATGACCTCGCTGGCAATTATCGTAGGGGGCGGCGCGGCCCCCCATAGTTGAGCCTCGTCTAAGTTCGCCTTTGTGATGCTGGGACTTAATAGACCTTGTCTTGCCTCCTGTTCTTCCACACCATTCACCAATCCTCTTTCATCGAGTTCATCATCGTTCAAAACTCTCCCTCCCAGCTTCACATCCCCTATACCCACTCTATAATCTAAAGCCTTGTTCCCGTCTCGAATTAGCTCTTCGGTACAGGTAAGACATCGTTTTATGCTTTGGCTGAGTTTCTGGAAATCGACAAGAAGTTGTTGGTGGCGGGAAAGGTCCAGCATCAGTCGTTTCTCGTCTCTTGCGCGCTGACGTGATTGGATAGATGGACTTAACATGGAGCCTGACTCGGTGGATAGCATAGAGTCATCTTCATCCTCGAGGTCGTCTAGATCGCTGTCGTCGTCGTCGTCTGAAAATTGGCGATCTTCGCCATCAAACTCTGTGACCGTACCGAGAGTGAAGTTGGACTGTTCAGAGGCCGTCCTCGTTGTTGGTGCAAGTGATAACCTGCCCGAACGTGATAGGCGACGGTACCTCCTTAACTCTCCGGTCTGTTTACGGAGTTCACGCTCTAGGGTTTTATTGATCGCCAGCAACGATGAGTTCGAGATTTCCAAGTCGAGAACTTTGCGTTCCCGGCGAGCATTAGCAGCTTCATCCAATTGGGACTGGAAGATGGCCGTTGCTTGGTCTCCTCTTGGGTCTGTACCCGGCGCCGATACGCTGGGCGCTTTTGTGAGTTCTGAAAAATCCGTGTCGCTTGGGACGGAGGTGGGGACAGTGTTGGTAGAGGCAAGACTGATAGACCTGGGACTCAATGTTTCCGGAGACAGAAGATTATTCCCCTGGATCCGGGGTGACAATGCAGAAGCAGGGTGGAGATCTAATGGTTGTGGCGGTTGTACTTTGGGATCGCTCAGCTTCCTGGGTGCCGCCGAACTTATGGAGCTTGCACTGATTGATTTGCGATGGCCTTTTGCAGCAGGCTGAGGTGTTGCGATACTGCCCAAGCTGCTCTTCGGGCGTTCGGCGGGCGTTCGAGGCCCTGGCGGAGAAGGTGCTTGACCAGGTTGTAATTTTCGGGGTGACGCAGGTTCCGTAAGGGCTCCTCTGTGGGGTTTGTTTGGCGATTGAGGCGGAGTACTTCGATAGCCGTGTGTGGCTGTAGTAATGGTCGAATTGTTTAACTTCTCTGTCGAGATGTGTGGAAGGACGTTGCGTCTGGTTGGTACATGCTGCGGTAGATCGTTCGCCCTGATGAATTTATCATCGAGGTTTTCCTTTCCACTTGCATTTTCCCTAGGTAGCGGGGGTGACCCGACAAAGAAGTGGCCTGGCTTTGGAGGGAATCGGTGGCCCTCTTCCGCCTCCGGGGACCCGACGGTGGGCTTGACCTCGTCGGCGTGGAAGAACTTTGACGAGATATCTTTGTCGCCCTCTACCATGCTCTTTGCCGCGGACAACCTTCGTTTGGTTGTCATAGCAGGCGCGGAGCCTGACGTGTTGACTTTTGGCAGAGCACCTGTACTTGCAGCAAGCCGTGGGCTGGTGATGCCGAGACCTCGCATTGCACCTCCAGTGGGTTTCGATGCCTCATTACCCGACGACGCTCTTGACCTTTGGCCATTGTTGGCTCCTTTCGATTGCGCCGGAGTCAACGGCGACTCGGTACCGACCCGTGACTTCCTCGCACCAGACCGAGGAGTGATGTTTCCATTTAGGGGGGTTGTGGTCTGATCGGGTTTTGGAGGTGATTTGGACCTGACGAAGGGGTCCCTGCGAGAGGACAAATTCGGGGAGGAAGAAGCAGAACCGACCACCCTCGGGGTCAATGGGCTTTTAGCTGTGCGGAAATTTGCGCTGAGGGCCGGGGTGAGTGGTTTCGAGATGTTTGGGCGGGTTTGTTTGTCGGTGGCCATCGTGGTCGGGAGGGGCGAACGTCGAGAACGAGGGATTGACTGTGGCTGCTGGCGCTCTCGCTCTCGCATGACAGCGATGGATGAATATTCGAGGCCGGATAGAGACCATTATTATCGCTTCAAGTGAGCGGAGAGGCTCTCTGGGAGTGTAGACATTGAGTGCAGGCGGTCTGTCCACATGAATGTCAACAAGCTGTTTTGAGATTCCGAGGGCACGCTCCAGTAGAAGACCGCAAAGGGTTTAGTTGGGGGTTTTGGTTTCGTCACTGGGCGCAGGTGGCACTGGTGACTTTCTCGCTAAACACGTCCACCATCACGCTCCATCGCGCCCCTGCCCTGTCGCGTCATATTGGCACATATTGGTTCCTCGCTAACCAGAGAGCCACTGTTGGAACCCTCACCACACGATATGCCGCTCGATGCAATCCCTACCATGTTGCGATGACATTGCATGATGGGAATGATAGCCTCCTTACAACCGTCAACCCAAACACAGACAATACCCCAGATGATCAGGGCCAGACACCGCGGAACCAGGCCCAGGCAGCCTTCGTCCAGGCATCTCAACATCATTCCCTGAAGCACCATCTTCTCGGTCCTTCTTTGACCAAGGCCGGGCAAGATGCGGTCGATCAGAAGAAGGTCTCCGAAATCATTTACGAGGCCTCCAAGGGCTCGAAGTTCTTCAACAATGAAGAAGTCAAGGACAGGAATTTGACTGTCAAGATTGAGCAGATTCTCAAAAAGAAGGCACAACTGGAGAAGCTTGACCTCAAGACGGATTTGCGCCGGGCAGATGATTACATTGCGTCCCTCGAGCTGGCAAGAGACCTGTCACAGTATGTCGTGCACATTGATTGCGATGCCTTCTATGCCGCCGTCGAAGAAATTGATCGACCTGAACTCAAGACTGTGCCCATGGCCGTGGGGATGGGAGTTCTTACCACCTGTAACTACGAGGCTCGGAAATATGGTTGTCGCAGTGCCATGGCAGCATTTGTGGCCAAGAAACTATGCCCTCAGCTGGTCTGTCTACCATTGAACTTTGACAAATACACAGCCAAGGCGAAAGAAGTGAGGGCTATCCTCGCAGAGTATGATCCCCGCTTCGAGAGCTCTAGCATCGATGAAGCCTACATGAATATTACAGGGTACTGCAATACTCACCGGCTAGACCCGGAGGCCGCAGTTGAACAACTCAGAAAGGAAGTTCACGAGAAGTGCAAGATCACAATCTCCGCCGGTATTGCGCCCAATGCCAAATTGGCCAAGATCTGTTCCAATAAGAACAAACCAAATGGGCAATTTCGAATTCCCAATGATCGGGCTGCCATAATGTCGTTCATGGCTATACTGCCGGTGCGCAAGGTTAACGGTGTCGGTCGTGTCTTTGAGCGAGAGCTCGACGCTATTGGCATTAAAACATGTGGCGACATCTATCTTCAGCGGGCATACCTTTATAAGCTGTTTGGCGAGAAGGCATTCCAGTTCCTAATGCACACCTACCTTGGTCTTGGGCGCACAATCGTGCAGCCTGCTGAGGAATATGAACGCAAGAGCGTAGGAACAGAAAGCACGTTCCGCGATATCAGGAATAAACAAGAACTTCGCGAGAAGCTTCGCCGCACAGCCGAGGAACTGGCAAAAGATATGATTCGAGTCGAGGTCAAAGGCCGGACCCTGGTGTTGAAGGTCAAACTTCACACCTACGAAGTCTTCACGCGACAAGTTGCCACCCCAAAGGCGGTCCACCTCGCAGACGATCTCTACAATTACAGCCTCCCGATGTTGGTGAAGCTCGAAAAGGAGATCCCGGACTTCCGGCTCCGCTTGATGGGACTACGGTGCACCCATCTAGTCAGCACGAAAAAGGGGAGTACCGATTTCTTCCGCCGAAAACCCAGCAACGACAACTCCTTCACAGGAAAGTCAGCAGATGATGCCAAGTGGGAAGTGTGGCCTGACTCAGAGTTCGAAGAAGCGGCGCGCCAGGAGAGACAGGAGGAGATTGAAGAGCTGGAGCGTCTGAGTCAAGAACAGCAGCATGAACAAACCCAAGACCAGGATACCCACACACCAGTGCCAGATGCCTCTATTTCCACGGCTGACTGGCATGAACCCTTTGGCAGGTACAAGTTTGGCAGCGAGCCAACCTCGCCGGCAGCATCACCTCCAGCCAAGCATGGACGAGTGCTAAATAAAACTGCTTCATCGGGCTTGAACGATGAGCACAAGCAAGAAGCAGTATGGGACTGTCCAATTTGTCAACTCCCGCAGCCAGCGAATGACAGGGAGTTTAACAGCCACATTGATCTATGTCTTTCGCGACAGACGATCAAAGAGGTCGTCGCCGAGGCGCACGGATCCACACTCGCAGGCCCTAGCAGAGCATCACCCGACGCAGGTGTGCCAGATAGGCCGAGGTCTGCCAACGGGATGAAGGCGAAGAGAAAAGTCTCGTCCAGTAACCTAGCAGGGCCGGACGTGGCTGGCGGGAGGAGACAGAAGAGATTATTCTTCACATGAGATGTCTGAATTTCTTTGTTCGCGGGTTTATGAGAAACGATATTGAGATGCTAGTAGACAATTCATATTCGGACGTGAAATGTCCGCATTGTCAAGAGAGACCCTCCTCTTCGGGGTATATGACCTCCGGCTTGCTCGTCTGTGCTGAGCGTGCAACGGATTTGTACGTTGACCTGTATACAATAACCCCAAACGCCTCTAGATGCAAATAAATTCAAAGAACCTTCATGTCCAGTTGCATTCAACATGGACCATGAAATCTCGCCCCTGTCCTGCCTGGGACGCTTGAACGTCCTCCATCCAGAAATGCAATGTCTCATGGCCCCGTGGCATTCAATGTCGCCACGTTTCAAAACTTTCCGCTCTGCGCCGTGCGGGATGTCACCCGCCGAACATCATCAGAAAATCACTGGACCTCGCGAATACAAGAGTGAGACTTGTCCGAACTCAATCAACGCTGAATCAGCTGGCCCTCCTTCTATTACTCGACACTCGCTGTTCATCAGCTTCCTCCTCCTCCTCCTCATCGTCATCGAAGACTTTATCCTCTTCCTCTTCCTCCCTTCTCAGCTGCTCTTCTCTCATCTCCCGATATGTCGCCCAACTTAACATCACAAACGCCACGATAATCAAGGCGCAGCCAGCGAGTGCTGCAGCGCTGAGTGGCTTCCCGGTGACGATCCAATCGGTGATGCCCACTAAAAAGATCGTGAGCAGTGCGGCAACGGAGCTCAAGACCGGAGAGGTGAGGGACATGAGGACGAGGAAGGAGCCGGAGAAGACGGCGTTGGAAAGGGTGGAGATGGCCAGTAAGCTGGCTGCTTGGCCGCTGGGAATCTCAAATTTCTCCAGACCGGTCCAATGCAGGATGGGGAGAGGGATCCAGAGAACTGTCAATGTGAAAAATCCAACCATGCTGCCAAATGTATTTGCGAAAATCATCCCCCTTCCCGGCGAAGTGCCCTCAGGAGGACAGGCGAAGCGTTTATAGAGAACTTCGTAAAAACCATACGCCACCGAGCCGATGCCAATTATAATGTTTCCCAAAAGCTTCGTGCCAAACCCCTTTTCAGCACCAGGGTTTGATGTTTCCGGCCCTGGGGTTGTATCATCTTTGTCCCCATATGCGACAACGAAGACGCCGATTATGGCGAGTGCGACCGAGAGAGCCTTGTCAAAGCGGAGTCTGTCGTTGAGGAGCATGATGGAAAAGACGTAGGCGAAGAAGGCAGAGCAATTGTAGATTGCGGTGAGGTCGGACGGCGAGGTTAAATTGACAGCAACATACCATGATCCTCCAGCCATGGTCAAAAACGTGGTGATGAAAGCGGTGGCTTTGACCATGTATGGCCAAGGGGAGATCGAGATGGAGGATTTTGAGAGATGCAGTTCTTGAGAGCGGACCATTTGTGCCGTAGAGCGGAGGAGATAAACATGTCTTCGCCAGAATGCAGGCCAAGAGAGTTTTCGTTTCTGGATTCGGAGAAAAAGAAGTTGGATGGGCCAGAGGAATATCCAAGAGCCATGTGTTAAGTACATCATGCAGTATGCCTTGTTCCATTTCAGTTCGTGTTGGATATATACCGCAGTTTCCGTCTGGACGACAAACGAGATAAGGGAGAGGATGAGGAAGAAGGAGGCGTAGATGTATTTTCGCCGTACCATGTCCTCTGGCTGGCTGTATGAGGGTGATCGTGAGCGGAATGTGCTCCTCCGCGACGAGACTGCTGGTCTGGCTGAGCCATGAAGACTGGGTGACTCCGGTCGACCTCTGTTACTTGCTTGTTTATCCTCTCCCAACAACGGCTCATGGGATTCCGGCCCCGTCGGCCTGTGCATTGACGTTCTCCCGGCCATGTCGTCGTCGTCTTCGTCTTCGTCGTCCACAGGTCCGTCATTCAGATTAAAATGCACTCCTCGAATGTGCTGTCGATCGGCCCGGAATTCGTCTTTTATAGCTGGTGGGAGGGAGTTTAGACGTAAGGGGCTTGCAGGACGGTCGTCGGCTTTAGAGGGCGCGGCGGAAGCGGAGACGGAGGAGAGAGGCAGAGGCGACTCAGTTCCAGGAGGTGTATATATGAGATCTCCCCCGGACGAGTCGCTGCTGTCGGACGGTGTCATCCATGCGGTTGGGAGAAGGCAGGATTATAAACCGTCACCGGATTTGGTCAGTGGTCTGCAGTGGGGGGGAGGACAGAATCAGGCGCAGTCGGTCTGGCAATCAATACGTGGCGTTGTTGGGTGCAGTGGGACTGCTTGTGCGCCCCTGATAGGAAGAGGCCTCTCTGACGGTGTCGACGTTCGCCTGCAACGTTATCGTCGGATTCACCAATGTACGTGTTGATAGGAGTGGTAAGAGAATTGCACCATGCAGTTAGGATTTGCGGAGGTCACAAAAGTTTCCCTCATGCGCACCAGGTGTTGGGCAGGGAGGCCTGCCGATTGGGGGCTTAGGCGAAGAGGGCCAGTAGGGCGAGGCGGCTGAGTTGGACCCTGAATCCCACCTGGAGAGGTGGCTAGGCCTAATTTACTTAGCCAGACCCCCTTCACCCGGGCCACCCACAAACAACCAGGTACCTATTATTACGAGCGAGGGAGGTAACTGGTGCTTTGTAACTAAACAACGAAGCGGTGCAACTTTTCTTTCCGGGCTCTGTCCTGACAGTCTGCCGAGTATCCGCAATACAAAGAGTCTCCTATCTGAAAGTGGCATCGGGACCTCTGATTCACACCCCCTGTTCCGTCATCTTCAGGCCACTTCTTCTTGCCAATACCACCTGTTCTTGAGCCGCGCTCTGCACACCGTCCCTTTTTGCAAGGAGAAGAAGAGGATGGGAGAGGTATTGTGAAGCTTTTCGACAACTGGGAATCGGACGTCATGCTGTTACAGCAGGCGCCAACGTCGCAAAGCGGCGGCGGCGGCGTCGTCGTCGTCGAACAGAGGGTGCGATTGACCCGGGCAGCGAAATTCTATAGCACGTGATGCCAGGCCTTGGCGCTCAAGAGCCCACTCGCCCCGTTGCATCCTAGCTTCTCCCGTTTTCCAACCCGCATCGTCTCGGATACATTATTGCGGCTCAATGCCTCATACAGTTCCACTAAATAGACAATGACTACCAGATGGACAGAGACTCTGAAGCGAACTCGCAATGGTTCAGTCTACTCTGAAACAACATCAACATTGCGCAGCCTCGATCGCCATGCATCTAAACAGCGGAAATTGGCGGGCGGCAAACAGGTTCGTCTCCCTGAGCCTTGCTATCTGGAGGCTCTACCCGCCGAGCTCTTGCAACAGATCTTTCTTGCTTCCATGAACGGGAATCTACTTGTCGCATCGCCCTTGATTGCTGTCAAGTTATCAGGAATGAAGGCCCTGTACCATGCTGCATTCCTTCTAGCTTTCTTCAGCCACGACGTTGATAGACAGTTCGACATTCACAAGTTGCACTTCCTCATCCCTAGGCTTGAACTTCCCCTCTCAAGCTGGGACATTCGAAACATGACAAAGGCGATATTGGCAAGTCGCTGGTGTACGTGGGGCCAAGTCAAACTATGGCTGGCAGCAAATCTGAGATACGTTGTTGGGGAGCTGCTCAAAGTTGCTCAACCGAGGCGTGCAGGAGCTGCCATAGAAGAGTTTATGCAAGGCAAGACCGACCTCAAAAATCTGAACGGACATTGCTGGTGGGCCAGAGATAACGAAGGACGGTCATGGCACGTCGAAACAACCATGTGGGACGTTCGCCTAAGACGGCGTAGCGAAGTCAATGAAAGTCGATTCGACGACAACGACCACGCAGCTCCTGGCTCATACCGGCTTCTTTCCGATTGGCAATACGAGCTCGTCATTCAGTGTCAGATGCGAATATTCGGCGTGATGACTATTGGTAAAGAGAAGATGCACAATCGTTTGCCGGATCTGCCCGACAACACACCTTTTCCCCGCGTCATCGAATACTACATCGGGCTTAATATCGAGGGGAGGAAGCCAACAACATCCTCGCTGGATGTCTGGGAGTTCCTAGAGAATCGCGCAGTATGGGCGACTCGCAATTCACAATGGTTACGTGAGACACTTGCCATCGACTATTTCTTTCGTCCTGATGATCAGCCCTTCAAGGTCTCCCCTCGGCTGTACAGAGCTGCCGCGGCGGCTGATGTGATGCTGGAGCACCGGATCTTCAAGAGGAGGGGCTCTTTTGTTCCAGCACTCTACGTCCTGTTTTCGATTGATCCTTTATCTCTGCCAAGAACGGAACCAGCTTTCTTGGTTTGGGCAGCAAAGGCTTATGCCCGGGTAAGTTGTTTCCGCTGGCAACTGGAGGCTCTACGGCGCATAATAGCACGTGCCACAACGGCGGGAAAATTGAGCACTCGAAATGAGAACCATTATCGGACCATCAAGGTCGAGCGCAAGTTTAGCTACGAAATGGATGTGAGAATTTTACGCTACGTTGAAACCGGCTCGCTGGAGACAATTCCCGACGCGTTCGCGCCAGATTTTAATGCGCCCCTACGCTGGCACGGCGAAAGATTGAATAGTTTTCCTGCAGCGGTGGCCGAGGCCGAAATGACCGGCTTTCCCAACGCAGATCTAAGGGATATCGACATTTTTAATCATCACTCTGATGATCATCATAATCCTCGTCTCAGTTACGTAGACGCTATGGACGGTGCTCTTAGCTTCCTTCACGGCAAGAGGTACACCAGAGCTGACTATCAGCTCGATAATCTTGCAGGCAGCGAGTCTCGCTATGCACTCACAACCTACGACGCATACTACAGAAGCATCCGCCACGATGGCTACCAGGGTCTCTTTAACAGATCTCAGGACGACAGCGAGGAAGAGCCTGCAAATATCCATTACGGCGAAGATCCACGAGAGAACCAGTTTGACTTGCCTTCTGATGAGATGGCCGCCATTGATTGGGTTGTCTCAAGGCTTGATAAAAAGCACCCAATTCCACCCTTGATCAAAGACACCGAACTGGCTGAGCCACTTCGTGGCCCGCCTGAATGGTTTCATGGTGTTGGAGAGCCATTCTTTCAAGAGTAGGAAGATGCCTCTGAGGCGAAGCGCGCGAATTCATGAACTACCCGACTGAGCCCATGATTCCACAGAGACCGCTTGTTTTGCTACGAGTGCAGATATCTAATAGGTCCTCCGAGTTTGTTGTCAGGATCATATCTTTTCTTCAGTTCTTGGAGTCTCGGATAATGTTCTCGGTATACCTGCGATTATGTCGTCAGAAAGTTGTGGATGGGCTGTTTGAATAGTCTCACCTGGGCGATAGGATCATGGAAATCTTCCATTACATTCGGTACTATTTGAACTGGCCCAGAAGTGTTTACTATCTGGCCTGGACCGTCCTTCACCAACATCTTCGCCACCTCGATATCCTCAAGGCACGCCCCGATATCCGTTCCGGACCCGAGCGTTATCTTGTGCTGGAACCCTCGAGGACGCGGCCAAGCGGAATCGGTGTTGGATGTCAGAGAATCTCGCTGTTCGTACTTGTGTCAGAAGATTTGCAGCACTGGTTGGCAAGGGCAGAATACCGTGGTGAAAAACTCGAAAAATAGCGAAGCCCGCTTCCCCACTGCTCCGGGCAAAGCTGCAGCATTGTCATACCAGTCAAATGCTCGAAGGAGTGTCGCCTCATCCATCCTGCTTAATGCTATTGACGCCCACCAAACGTTTGCGGCGCCCTTGGCTTTACCAACATTGTCTGGGTAGATCGTCATTCCATGATCAAATCACTATCATGAATGGGTCTTACCTTGCAGTTTGGCCATCCCCGACAAACTAACTACCCTGGTTGTGTCAACTGCCCCTGGGCAATCTAGGGCCCATTTAAAGCCATCGCCACTTCTGCCATGTGTCTCACCGAGCGCGTCAAACGCATGGACCATCAACATATCCTCTTTGGGTCCCATATGCGTCAACTGCTCTTTTCTCATCATAAAGAGATAGAAGGCTACCTTAGGATTTGGAGGCCTTGCAACCATCGCAGCAATGCCTCTGACAACAGCTCTAAGCTCTGTCCTCGGGATCAGGATGTTTCCACCCCAGACCTCGAGCTGATACTTGCGAGCTCGAAGTTTGAACCGAGAGATCACTAACCAAGAGTCAGTATAAGAAGATGGTTGCTGTAGGCACCTACCGCCAAATGCACCATTTGTCGCTCTTATTCCCCAGAGCAGTTCTGGGTCTTCGGACGCCCAGAGGACAGTTCCGTCGACTTTCACGACCTGCGCATCGAGCATATTGGCCGGGTCTGAGGTCAAACCATATTCCGAGGAGAGCCAGGAATATCCACCACCTAGGATGCTTCCGCCCACGCCAACGCAGGGCGTACGAATCGAGACGGCTGCCATCGACGTCAAGATTTCTTCTTGCATATATGATATTTCCGACTAGAGAAATGGGCCTTCAGGTGGCCTTCAATTGGACAACTTACTTGCATAACCGGGGGCAATTTTGTCGATCTTCTCATAGTATTGGCCCCAACTCTGTCCTGCTCCCACCGTCGCAATTTCATTCTGCCGGTCAAAGTCGACTTCATCAAATGCTGTCATGCTTATCAAGATATCCTTTGCTGAAGCAGAGCCAACGCCTTGACTTCGAATTCCAAGGCTCAAGTCTGTCTTCGAAAGATATGCCAAGGCCTTGCTCAACGATTTGATGCTCGTGGGACGAATGACCACTGCAGGTTTAAGGTCTTTCTGGGCCGCCCACGGCAAAGACTCGACCCTATACAGATCCGAAGATGGGAGAATGGTTTCTTCGGAACCCAGGATCGACCCCAGCTCCTCAATATATTTAGCAAGAGACATTTTTGGCGACTAATTGAGATCTGGATATTCAGTTGATGCTCTAAACATTCGCCAAATTGAGATCACCGCGTTCTTTGCGCCAGCTTGGGTCCGGGAAGAGCGGCTTACATTTCGGTCGCTGACAGCTCCAACTGTCTCGCTATATGGGTGGCCTAAACCGTTTGAGAGTCCGAAATAGGAGGACATGTGTCTACGATGGGATTGCTGCAATCTGAACATTATTTCGTCTAGTCTGGCCACTTTTGTGTCGTGGAGCCATCCCATACAGGTGTAGGTACGTCTGAGCCACATTCTTGGAGGGGTTTTGGCGGAGCTCCGAGACAGGGAATATCTCCTTCTTTCGAGGACGGCATATATGGAACACTTGCACCGCCAGTCGACAGCAAGACAGCTCATGTCTCGCCTCCATCGAGTCATCCAATAGCGCCGTCAACATCGAATTCAAGCCGGTCCCAGAACGCGTGCGCGGTATGTATCCTTTTTCTGCTCTGAAAACGCACGCACAACCCATATGGTCCATTTACACGTGAAGGCTTTGTCTGCAATGTGCCCATAGTTGCTCATGTCTCGGAAATCGACCTGCTGGAAAGCGGTATTAATGGCACAGCTGCCCAAGCTCTTTGCTTACGTCGATCAAAATTGCTCGAATGAGCCAAGCTAGAATCCGAGGTTTGGATTCGAACATCATGTTTGTAGTCGAAAACTATGCAGCCGAAATGGTCACGCAGAGTCAAGTTGCCCACCTCAGCTGCGAGTACCGTGGCTTGGGTTGGTGCTGGCAGCTTCCGAGTCTTGATTTTGTTGTAGAACCGAATATGTGTTTCCGACAGCATCACTATAATCAGTGGGCAGGTTTTGAGGACGCATACGGAACGAAGATGTGTATCCACAGATCCATACAGTTGGACTGGCATCACCTAGTCGATTGCTCCTGGAACGCCTTAATTCTGCCTACAAAAGCCCAAGATTCAGCGTCTTCGCCGAGAGTAGGCCGCCAAACAGACGCTGAACGAGGGCGGGCGTCAAGCCACTAGATTCTGTTGTGATTGACTGCAGGTCAGCAATCCTGTCGAGGATTGGCCGAGTGGTGGTGCACGTCACAAATCCCACCCTCATATTGCTCTGGCAAGGCAGGGCGCCCGGATGGCTGCCACGGATCATTTAGCCATGGACGTGATACTTCGAAGGAATCGAGATGTCAGACAACATTGGGTATCCGATTACTCAGAATTGGACATGGAATGCTTTCTTATACCTTCAAGGCCTTGATTGAGGAGTGGAGCAGTACCCCAGATCTTGGGAATGGACCGTGAGAGTGGTTGACCGTCGGCCGTGATATAACCGAATCGGGGAGTGGGAAGGAGGAAGTGGGTACCGGATTCCTTTGAGGGAGCTCAATCCTACCGAGCAATCACCCACAGTTTCGGGCGAATATCTGGTTTCAAAGGCCTTGGAACGCCTTATTGATCGAGGCACTGGTATGTTGGGCCTTATTGTAACCTAGCTTGAGCTAAAACTAACGTTTGAAAATGCAGACATACGACAAACAGAAGGTAACAACAAAGCCCAACATCATGGGAAGATCTCGGCTCATGCAATAGGAAGCGGCCGTGAGCGGATTACAACCGGTAAAGGAATCACTGATCTGCATCGGTAAGCAATCCTTTTGGCTAACACTGTGTCAGGCTTCTGCGTCAAAGGAAGGCTTCCTTGGCATAATAGTATGACATGCTCAGCGAATTCTCAAAAGTCCTCTGCCTATTATGCTTTGACACTGCCTTGTAAGGCAGCACGATCGACAGAATGTCCTCAGCTTTCTATCCAAACAAGCAGATGACAGCCAATCGTGCCATACTCTGGGATGGATAGCATAGGGTGCTTATGGCCTAAGGTCCCATGTATCGTTATGGGCAATCAATCAAGCCGTGATTAGAAGGGCTGTGCCTGGTTGCAGCGGTGAGTGCAGATGTCATTGAGCACTGTCTGGGGACATATATACAGTGGGAGTTGGGAGACTGGCTTCCGCAATTTCCCCTCCCTTATTCGTTTCCAATTGTCAAGCCAGTGCCATGTATCTCTCAACGCTCATCACCCTCACTCTGGCAGGTGCAGCCTGCGCGAAGCCCATCAAGAAAATCAAGAGACAGACCATCCAAGACACATACGACTTCATCATCGCTGGAGGTAAGATACCTACACTGTGGCACAGTGTGGTATACTCACCCAAGACAGGTGGCACGGCGGGTCTTGTTATTGCGAACCGGTTGACGGAATGCCCCAGTACAAGAGTGCTTGTGCTCGAAGCAGGACCGGAACCTGGTGTTGTTGCAAATTACATGTACCCTGGTGGCAATCAAAACCTTGCTGGTAATCGTTTGCAGCTCCGAAGATTCACCAAACATGCTACTCACTACCTCAGGTACCGCGATTGACTACAACTACTACACTTTGCCGCAGAAGAACCTCAACAATCGAATTCTCCCATATCACCGTGAGGGGCCCGGTGGCTTTTGAGTCTCGGATGAGCTGACTTCGTGCTTCATAGGGGGGCGGGGACTTGGCGGCAGTTCGGCAATCAATGGCTTGTATTATGGAAGAGGCAGCGCCAGCGTTTATGACCACTGGGTCCAGCTAGGCAACCAGGGCTGGGGCTGGGATGATTTGTATCCTTTGAGCATCAAGGTTAGTTGGTATAGCGGACTTCCGCCCGGGCCAGACGGCTGGCTGACCGTCGCAGCAAACCCACTTCAACCCGCCGAACCTCAACGACAGTTTCGATCACAGCTTTCAGACTTGGGACCCTACCGCATACTCCAATGGCGAGCTCCAGATAGCGTTCCAGGGATACGTGCCGGATTCAAATGTGGGCTTTATTCGCGCTGGCGAAGCCATAGGTATCCCCATTGTCAATGAACTCAACAACGGCAACAACACGGGTGTCAAGCAAGGCACTGGATGTTTCGATAGCCGGCTCAGGCGCAGCTCAAGCTATGACGCCTTCTATAAACCGGTCCAGAATCGCACGAGTCTGGACGTCCTTCATTATGCGTCGGTGACCTCGATCCAGTTCACGAAAGGCAGCAATGGGGCATCACGCGCGACAGGCGTCTCCTTCACGGATCAGCCAACGGGCCAATTCATCACGGTCAACGCCACCAAGGAGGTAATCGTGGCCATGGGTGCATTCAACAGCCCTCAACTGCTGATGATCTCGGTGAGTAAATATGTGGACAAGTCGACGAACGCTTCTAACTATTTCCCCAGGGAATTGGACCTCAGGCACAGTTGAGTCAAAATGGCATCAATCCAGTGCACATCAACGAAAATGTCGGCCAGAAGTGAGTGCCTATGCCCTCTCGGTGCATGCGGCTCTAATTCTTCACAGCTTAAATGATCACTGCGTCTTCAGCATCATGGCCTTGGTCGAACAGACAGCATCGACGAGTTCAATGTCAGTCAGTGCTTCCACTCTAGAAGCAGCTCAACAACAGTTTCTCGACTCCCTGACTGGGCCATACACCGCTCCCTCTGGCATCACCAATGGTTTTCAGCAATTGTCCAATGCCACTCTGCGAGCCATAGGTGCGCAAGCGGTGCTCAATGCTGGACTTGTCAACCAGTCGCATGTCGAGTTCTTGTACGAATCACTCTTTTACCCCAGCGGACTGGCATTCCTCCCGTCGTCGGGTGGCACTTCTTCAACGGGGGGCACCTCTTCATCGGCCTACTATGTGCCTCAATCTAACTTGTCTTACATCTCCCTCACGGCGTCGCCGCTGGTGGCTCTCAGTCGCGGCAGCGTAACGCTGAAATCGGCGTCGATCTTCGATGCACCCAACATCGACCCTAACTACTACTCGAACGAAACCGACCGTGTTGTGGCCATCAATGCATTCAAGGATCTGAGAAAATTGCTTGCACACCCGGCCATTGCACAGTTCACTATTGGGCCCAACAACGGCGAGGTCCAGCCCGGACTTGCGCATATTCCTGCAAACGCCTCTGACGACACCATCTTCGATTACATCAAGGCCAATACCATTCCGAATTGGCATGCCAGTGGAACTTGCCAGATGCTGCCCGAGGCAGACGGCGGCGTGGTAGATTCACATTTGCGGGTCTATGGGGTGCAGAACCTCCGCGTGTGCGATGTCAGTATCATCCCGCGGCTGCCAGACGTCAACCTTCAAGGCCCGGTGTTCATGATTGGCGAGAAGAGTGCTCAGATCATCAAGGAAGACTATAATCTACAGTGCTAACGGGGTTAGTGTCGAGGTGACTGGAATGCGGTGTACACGGACGGAGGGTGTTTGTACGAGGTAGGTATTTGGGGATCGTAGTTGACCTAATCTGTCCTTCACTAGATATGTAAATGGCAGGGAGCCGCTGAATAAATCCGAATGCCGAGTCATATGTAACGGGGATGATACCTCCTGGCACCAAGCGCTCTGGAAGAAAGGCAGCAGAAGGCAGTAATAATATGTACCTTTGTATTATGTACCTATCTCGCTATATACCCCACGGGCCCGTTGAGACAAATTGGAGAAATGTCCAATGGCGTCATGTCCGTTGCACGCATGTGCATATGGTGGGGAGCAGCAGACTGCGGTCCCCAAAGGAAGAGCCTTAATCACATCCTCCACGTTATCTATCTCTAAGACCAAGTGGCCTTCAGAGAGCAAAACCCTCCTCTTCACTTTCATGTTTCGCGCTGTCCTCACACGTTCTCAAGCCTCCCTGCCCCCCCAGACGGCCGCCCGCTTAGCCTCCCTCACCCGTCACGTATCTCCAGCTCCATCCCCCGCCCTCTCGTCCACCTCTTCGAAGATGCCGCTCGTCACTTCCACCATGATAGACAGTGACAAACCGCGCATAATCCTCGGCCTCATGACGTTTGGCCCCCCGGGAACCGAGTCCAAGGGCAGCCGGATCACTACTTTGGAGGAATACAACAAGAACCTCGACTACTTCCAATCCCTGGGGTACGACGAGGTAGACACGGCGCGGGCATATGTCGGTGGCCAGCAAGAAGCATTCACACGAGAGGCAAAATGGAAAGACCGCGGCTTGACTCTCGCCACCAAATGCTACCCTGCACACCCGGGCGACCATTCACCGGAGAAGTTGAGAGCGAGTCTCGAGAAGAGTCTGGCGGAACTGGGGACGAACTGCGTCGACATCTTTTACCTCCATGCCCCTGACAGATCCGTGCCGTTCAAAGACACCTTACAATGTTGCAATGAGATGTTCAAAGAAGGCAAATTCGTTCAATTGGGACTGAGTAATTTCGCCGCCTGGGAGGTCGCCGAGGTTTGGAACATTGCGAATGAGCGCGGCTGGGTAAAGCCCACTATCTATCAGGCAATGTATAATGCCATCACAAGGGATATTGAGAAGGAGTTGGTTCCTTGTTGTCGAAAGTGAGGACTGGTTACCTCGGAGCGCTCGAACGCCCAACAAGCTGACCTGGGGTTCTCTAGGTATGGTTTGGACTTGGTTGCCTACAATCCGGTATGTTGCCCCATTTTCTCGCATTACATCAGCATTGAAAGGTCCAAAGAACTAACCCGAGCAAATAGCTCGCCGGCGGCGTGTTCAGCGGCAAGTACAAATCCAAGAGCGAAGTGCCTAGTGAAGGCCGCTTCGCAGACGTGGCCAGGTCAGGAAAGGTATGCCTGAGAAAGAACCCAAAGCCGCCGAAATATTCCCTCATGTTTCCCTGCCTGAGTTACCATTTGGCTCCTGAAAACACATGAAAAATTCTTGGCTCGCCATAATTGACCCCAATGCTCTACTTAGATGTACCGCGACCGGTATTTCCAAGACTCGATATTCCAGGCCCTCAAAGTGATCGAACCCGTCGTCCAGAAACATAATCTCACCTTAGTGGAGACAGCGCTGCGATGGTTGACCCACCATTCGATGCTGAAGTTCAGCAAGGACGGAGGCAACGACGGTGTCATCATCGGAGTCAGTTCCCTGGCACAGTTGGAGAGTAACCTGAGGGATCTGCAAAAGGGACCCCTACCGCAAGAGGTTGTCGATGTGCTCGACGACGCGTGGGAGACGTGTCTGAAGGGCCGGGGACCAAGTTACTGGCGGTGAGAGCGCGCGGGAGAGGCGACCCCTAGGCGGGACAGACGAAGATATGAATTTCAAAAACAAGGATAGACAGGCGGATAGCGATTAGGGAATGCAAACGTGACCTTTTCGCAACATGAACCACTCGTTGCAGCACCCTCGGTTAGCCAATCTACGCAGCAAGTCGAGCACGCAACAATGGATGCAGAGTAGCTGGTAATATGCACCTAGAGCGCGCCAGGGGTTCTCCTCCCATCGCCATTACGGCGCAGCTAGAAAAGGGATATCCCGCGGCAGCCCAGGCTGGGCAAGTCCATTATTTCGTCCCTCGGTATCCTAATCCCGTACCCAGTACAGAGTGTCCCGTGCAAGGAGGTAGGGGCTGGTGGGCTGGCAGGCTGGCAGGCTCGCAGGGTAACTAGTAGATTCAGGAGCTGCAGCCTTGCGGAACAAAACCGTGTTAACTATTGCTCGGTACAGGAGTAGTCAGACTATTAACTGCATAGTTTATGACGAGATAGTCGGTCTCTTGGTGGTCAACAGATGTCATAGTGCTCTGGACAAAGATAAACTGTCCCTTTCAATGTCCGACTATTCGGTTTGCACCAGTTGCTACATACATGTACAAGTACATAAAGTGTATCCCTTCTCGACGGGACAGGCTTTTCTGCTTTAGCAACAGCTTCACCGACGCTGTCAACTTCCGATCCCGCCTCCTCGCCCTCTCGCTCTTGCCCTGCGCGCTCTCGCTCCAAATCGGAACTTCATGTCATCACTATCGTCGTCTTCGCTATCGTCATCACGCACAGTTGTCACGGGTAAAGTCTTCTGTCGCTTCGGTTTGCTCGTTTCAACGGTGGAGCTCGCGGCTCTCTTCCCCCTTTGTGTTTGCGTCGTTTCGTCTGGTGCTGTTTTGGAAGCGTTCTCGCTCGCCTGCCGAGCGCGATCGGCAGCCCGGGTGCGTCTCGGCGTGTCCGAGTCGATCTCATGCTCCGCGACTTCCACAGCTCCGCGCCGTAGACGAGGAACCCCGGGAATCGTCCTGGCTGTCGATGCATCCTCATCGTCTTGTTCTGCCACATTAATCAAATCGTCGATTTCTTCGTCATCGCCATCCAGGACAATCCTTGTTCCCGATCTCCCCTTGACATGAACACGAATGGTCCCACTCGACGGCTGCGATTGACTCTGCGTTGTCCGCTGAGTTCTCGCGTCTTCTCTACGACGTTTCTCCCTCTCGCGCTCCTTTTCTTCTTCAGTCCTCGACCAGTATTGATCACCCAATCCACCTGTTTTATTCGGTACTTCCACTAACTGCACAATGACTTTAGTGGCGTGAGATCTTCGTTTGGCTGGACCGCCCTTGCGGCGAAACCCCTTGAAATTCTTGCGACCATTCCATCTGGGGTCCCAATCTGACTCTCGTTCCCCATTGACCCTGCTGCCCGCCTTATTCAGGTTATCTCGCAGTGGAAGGTCAATAGTCACGACTTCGACAAGGTTCGCAGGTGCCTGGTCCTCTACGCCGGGCAGGCCAGCTTCAAGCGCTTCCTCCTCTCTCCGTGCGGCGGCTTCTTTTTCCTCTCGTTGTTTTCTGGCGGCTTCGCGGACATCGATTTCTCGTTCCTTTTTGATCTTCTTCGCCGGTACCGGACGTGATTGAATGTGCTCTAATTCATCCATACGCCCGTTGGCAGCTGCCTCTGCGAGCTTCCGTCTCTTTAGTGCTGTCGCTGCAGGGAAAAGATCGTCCATCTCATCTGTGAATGTATTAGTGCGTTCCTCTGCCGGAGAGCGAGGTCGTTTCCTCAGTGTTGAAGGCGGCTCTTGTTTAATGACGAGGGGTGACTTGGATCGCGTTTCCGACTCGGAGACGAACACCTCGTCCTCGATTACCTCATCATCCTCATAAACGGCGATGGCATCAGGATTAAATCCATCGTCAAAATTCTTGAACTTGGCCAAATGCGAGACCTTAGGAAGGGAGAGTGGCATTGCAGCGCTCTCGGCGTCAACGTTGGCCTGTGAAGTATTTTGATCTGAGATTTGTGAAGGCTGAGGAGCTGCTGCACTGTTGACTATCGTCCTCGTTGGATACGCAGCTTGAAAGTTTCCATTTGCTGCCACATTGGGCGACGAGTCGCCATTTATACGAACCTCACTGGGCTGCACTGTGGCAAGGGAGTTTGCTGCAGACGGGGGAGGCGCGATTATCCCCTCGTTTGTGCTCTCAAATGGGATAGGCTGTTTGAGGGTTGTAGCATCATTGGCCAGTATAGCATCCAAAAACTCGGACTGATCAATTGCCCGCTGATCCATCTTCAACGCAGCCTCATTGATAAGTGTATTTGTCCATTCTTGAGCGTCCTCTTTTCCCGGCCACCGAACCAAGATCACTCCGCCTTTTGACCCATTGTGAACACTGCCTTTATTTCCAGCTGCATTTGTGATGAACTGGATCAGTTCGTCGCATGTGGTCTCGTAGTTCACCACTTTGAACAGTATCGCCTTCCCATGCCCGCTTGTTATGACCGGTAGCAGAGTATCATACTGATTCTGTTCGCCGAAGATAAAGGTATAATGTTCAAATACGGTGATTCGTGCGGGATTCGGTTGATATGACTCGGCAGGTTTGATGGTGGGTTCTTTTCCTGGAGGAGGGAGGTGGTCTTTGGGGTGAGGCCAGGCACTGTCGAAATCGCTTTCTAGCGGAGACAGATTCACCTCTTGGCTGAGGGTGATAGGAGTAGCAGCGTAGTCCAGGGCATCGAGATACGACTCTGTCACAAGGTATTTGGCGTTGACCAACGCCAACAGACCTTTTGCAGTATTTCTCTTGTTGGCAACTACATGAGTCGTATGTTCAGAGGAAAAATCACTGATAGCCTTGATATCCAGATTTTGTACTCTTGCCTGCTTTGCCTTGAGAACTCCTGACTTGATCTCTTTTTTGAGTAGATTGAAGGTGAAAACGCAGGGTTGCCAGGTGACGGTGAATTCATAAGGACAGCTTCCTGGTCGAAGAGAGTTTTCAGGGCCATTCAGTTCTCGCGAAGGGTTCGGTTCTTGCTCGTTCTTTGGGTCCTTCTTCTTGATCAGCTCGCCGTTCACAAACGTCCCAGTCTTTGAGTGGTCCTCAATCCATATCTTCGTTCGGGTGTGGATTTGTCCGACATCTCCATCCTTGACAGGCTCGACGGTGATATTGAAATGTTGTCTGGAGACGGTTCTGTGGTCAACAGCGATCATAACGCCGTCTTTCTTAACTCGGCCAAACAAGTATCGCTGCCCAGGCCTGAGCCACATCCGCCTTCCTTGAAAGAAGTCGGCATTGGTATCAAGAATCCACATTGTGACAGCATCGTAAGGACGGGTCCCAAAGGGAGGATACTAACAGGGCAAAAGATGCAACCCCCAAAGTTATTATATACAGTGCCAGTAGAGGACTTGGAGGCGCAGGAACAATTTATGACGCGACATGATTTGACTTCGACGCCTGAGGAGAAGGTAGCACGCTAAGTGCGTTAGCGGCATCGGTGCCTATTAGGTTCATCCCGCGGCTGCCCGCGGGTAATGGGGCCTGGAACTTGGAGTGCTCAGCGAGGCTGGTGGGCACTGCCTAGCAGCCTAATAGCCTTCATCCCCGCCCAAATGAATCTGAGGAGGGGCTCTGCTGGTTGCAGCTTGCCAGCGCGGGGCAGCTGGCCAGTGGCACATGGAAGTCAGCGGGATCAGCAGGGCAAATCCAAGGCCATCCAAGGCCCCAAGTCCCCAAGTCCCAGCTTTGCCTTTGTCATTGCAACAGCTGAGAACAGGGTCCAATCGCTGAGGACAAAGGGGCTGCGACGTCAGTCAGACTGGCTCCCACCTGTCCTTCTCAGCCCTTCCTTCCATACCCTATCTGAAAGCAATCGAGAAAGCCGACATTTATCACAATGTCTAACGCGTTGAACGACGATAATACGCCTGATCTCAAGGTTGATGAGAGCCCCATTTCTCCCATTGAGCGCCGGAATTCTCTAGAGAAACACTTGCAGCAGCGCCCCGATGTCCAAGATCTGAAAAACCGCAACATCCTCCTGAATAGCAATGCTGCCCCGTGAGTCCCCGGACCAGTGCATTTCAAGGCAATGCGCAGTGCCTTACCCTGTGTATAGGGCCCTACAAGCGAAGCAGCATGAACTCGAGCGCCAGCAACACTCGGACAACCTGAGGAAGCAGCTCGAGAAGCGACCGGAGCGTGAGGAATTGGTCGAGCGTAGGAGTGAATCCATTCTGCTGTGCTGAATCCGTTCTTACATGCCAATAGGAAACATTCTCCCCGATTCAAGCGCCGCCCCCGCCCTGCAAGCCAACCAGAAAGCCTTGGATAGGCACATGCGAGCTGATAGTCTTGAGCATAAGATTCAGCAGCGGCCCAAGCCAGAACAGCTGATGAAGGAGGGCATCTTGGGGGCAGACGAAGACCCAACCAAGCCATGAAGGAAGAAAATCCAGAGGACTGAGGTACACAGTATGTACGTGATTCTGATATACAAAGTGGTGGGTATCATGGACTTCAGCCGGTGGAGGATCGAGTCACAAATGCTTCAGTAGCTCTTCAGATAGCCCAGCATTTGAGCAGACACCAAGGGACATATTCTGCCATCCGAGAGTGGACGCCCCCTTTTCAATAGCTCTCAACTGCTTCTCCACTCCCCCGTCCTGTATCCTCCGACGAAGTATCTGGTTTCCAACCCTTGGGTCTCTCCTTGCCTCTTACAATCATCTGGTACACCCCATTCTCGACCTTCTCCACGGATTGCCTCGTCGTCTTGAGCTTATTCTCAAAATCCCTCGAGAGGCTGCTAACTTTACCCGCATCTAGCCCTTCAAACGCCGCACGCAGATCCTGCATATCCGTCAAGATCGAGGACTTCTGAGACGATTGCGCTCCTCTTGATCCTCCAGGCAACTGCCCGTTTGTGGCCATGTATGTAATGGCGAACCGCATCAGTTCACCCGTCATGTCGAACAAGCCGAGCGCAAAGTCATCATAAGTGAGTGAGATACCTTCTGGAAGCTGTGCCTGTGCCTCCTCGAATTTCATGATGTGTTGAGTCTCCAGGTAATGTTGGAAAACGACTGCTTCCATGAACTCCTGGATGCCGCCGGTAATGTTGCTGCGGTAGCGATACGCGTTGATGCCTTGTAAGTCCGGGACAATGCTCTGTAGCAGGTCACGGATCGTGGTGTACATGGGCGTCGTTTGCTTGGAAATTGACGGGTGTATGGGTTTGCCAAGTTCACGAACTCTGCAGGTCATGATTATGAGCTGATCTGGCTGTTGTTACCTTTCCGAGAATATTGCTATCTCACCTTTGTACCGCGAATATGCTATTGACACTCCGTCAGAAGGAGGCACAACAACTCAACACAGTGACGCCAAACTCACATCTTCTTACTCTGAGCAGTCACATCCCTTGACACTTTGATGATTCTTTCTCTCCGGTCGTGATGCTCGTCTAGTTGTGCCCGGAACCCTTCAAATACGGGGAGAAACGGCGACTTGGTCTCAGAAGAGGAGGTTTTATCCTCAGCCATCCCGTCGTCGTGCTTTCTCTTTATTCCTGCCATGATGAATCTTCGAGGCTGTGAAGGCACAGGGGGATACACACCTGGTTAAGAAAACAGACAAAATGCCAACGTCGTTGATGGGTGTCTATGGAATTTGCCAATTTCTCTTGCTGCTTTAAGGGCAACAAGGCTGAACGAGGTATTTGAGGGCTTCGTGTCGTCAAGTCACGTTTCGACAGACTCCCCATGGATATTGATATTTATAACTGCTTCTTGTCGAGTGTTGGTGCGGTGTTTCAAGTCCATCAGCCCAGGCCTGACATAAAGCAGTTCTCCTCCTCCAAGGACTAGGCACTAATGCAGCTGCCCGCCGAGCCTTAAACAGGTTCCCTTGTGGACATCAAAGTGCGCTTCAAAATCGCATTGACTAAAGCGCCAGCCAGCCGTTCAAACAGCTTGCGACTCACTCCAGCAAACCAAAACCTGACTCCGATCCTGCCTCGCGCTCAGGGAGCGGCTCGAGGCATGCTGCCACCCTCATGGCTTCACCCCATAAATCCTTCCTCTCATCCCGCACCTTTGTCTTCATCTCAGCCTTCCTCCTGCGTGCCGCCCTCCTCGTCTATGGCATACATCAGGACTCGGTTTCCGCCCTGAAATACACAGACATCGACTACTATGTCTTCACAGACGCTGCGCGAGCCGTATCCAGGCATTCGTCTCCCTACGATCGTGCCACATACCGATACACTCCCCTTCTCGCATGGATTCTGCTACCTACCAGCTGGGGAGGACTGTGGTTTCATTTCGGCAAGGCACTGTTTGCTCTGTCTGATTTGATTGCGGGATGGCTCATTCTTAGGCTTTTGAAGAGGCAGCGCTTGGAAGAGCAACGGGCTCTGAAATATGCCGCCGTGTGGCTTTTGAATCCGATGGTCGCAAACATCAGTACACGCGGAAGTAGTGAAGGTCTCCTCTGCGTTCTGGTCATGGCCCTTCTCTGGGCCTTTGAGACCAAGAAAATCGTTTTGTCAGGACTGCTGCTTGGACTGTGTGTTCATTTCAAGATATACCCTTTCATTTACGGAGCGAGCATGCTGTGGGCGCTGGAGACGCCTTCCTCAAACCCGTCGGCGGCAACGAAGTTGCAAGTCGCCCTTCAATTCATCAACAGGAGCCGCATTTTGCTGCTCTTGACCTCGATATCAACCTTTACGGCTCTCAACCTGCTCATGTACAATACTTACGGCTTCCCATTCCTCCAACACACGTTTTTCCATCACCTGACTCGAATCGATCACCGGCACAATTTCTCCCCGTACAACACCCTCTTATACCTCTCTTCAGCGCAGGCAGCAAACCCGACGTATGCAAATCTGCGCTCATCGATCTCCTTCGAGTCCCTCGCTTTCATCCCTCAACTCCTTCTCTCCACAATCCTGATCCCCATCGGCCTGGCGAAGCGCGATCTTCCAACCACGATGCTAGCCCAAACCCTCGCTTTCGTGACTTTCAATAAAGTCTGCACGTCACAGTACTTTCTCTGGTATCTCATCTTTCTACCGCTCCACCTGCCCAATTCGTCACTACTCGCGAGGCCCCCGCTGGGAGTAACGGCATTGGTGCTCTGGGTCCTCGGGCAAGCGGTGTGGCTGCAGCAAGGCTATCGACTTGAGTTTTTGGGGAAGAGCACTTTTGTACCCGGCCTTTTCGCGGCAAGTCTGGCTTTCTTTGCGATTAACTGTTGGATATTGGGGATTGTGGTGGGTGATGTTGTTGACACGTCCATGGACTCGAAGATGGCCACCAGTGTGGAAGGAGGGGACAGAATCGCATCCTCATCGACAACGGCCTCTGAAGGGGGGTCAACCGCGAGCGTCTCTGAGCTTAAAGCGAGGCCAGTCCGTGACAAGCGACGTGGGAATTCTAGTATTGACACGAGCAGTATTGCCAACGTGCATTTGGGGCCGAGGGATCGGGTGCTGAAAAGTAATTGAGTCAATATCATGTGAGCATTTGCGCTACGTTCACTGGGACGACCGTATCACCGTTGGCTCTGAGATATCCAGGGACTCTAACTGGTCTTGACGGTCGTCAGAGAAACATGAAGAATCGTCCAAGCAGGAAGTGCCAGGATGAAAACCAAACGTGAACTTTTCGTCTTGACGATCATGTTCCGCACGCTTCCCGTACTTATATACATATTACTCGGCACATTTCGTCAATTTTCCCTTTCCGGTCAATCTGGGATTTGACCCTCGGCCTGAGAGCCCTCCACTGCATCCCTTGCCCTCCTGGAGTCGGACTAGGTGCCAGGTAGGTTTTTTTTTTTTTTTGACCCGGGTCGGTCGGTCGCCGGTACTGGGGTCTGGCTGTACTCAGTGCAGTACACACCAGACTCTTTCCTCCAGGCGCCGCCCAGCATCTAACACCTGCTTGCGCGCAACCGCGATTCCTTCTCGCAGACCAAGCGCATGGAGCGGCGGACATCGAACGCACCGCACATTACCGCACCGCATCGCATCGCATCGCGACACACCGGCAGGACGCAACGCGACTCGACATGGTACAGCAGGGCGCAGCGCGACGCAACATATGACAACACATCGCAACGAAGCGGAGACAGAAAAGACCTTGATTGATAGAAGTAGGGGGAGAAATGGCACAGAAAATACGAAATCAATGCTCCAGACACAATCAATAAACTTTTGCGCGCCTGGCCCCTGCCCTGTCGCTTCTGACATTGAAAATTTCCTCGTCACATCAATACATAACACGCACGGCTCCTTTCCTTCGCTTGCTTTCATGCCATGCCATGCCCTGCATCCATCAGTGTCGTGCTGGCCGGCCGTCCGTTCAAGATATACAAAATTGGACCTCGCGATCGACAAGAAAATGACCATGTAAAGGACCCATTCTCGTCAACGCCCATGCAATGCTTTCAATGTCGCTGGCTGAAAGATCATTTGAGCTTCAAAGAAAGTTATGTGTTTCGGCACATGAAACTGCTCAGACATACGGTTCAACTGCCTCTCGCCTCAGCGATGATCTTGTAGCTGCTCGTTTTGATACTCCGCGGCTTCCACTTCGGATAAAGGCTGCAACTTGATCCGACTCCAATACCTCCTGTCGAAGACGTTGCGGATCCGAGGCCGCCGTCTGCAGGGGACGGGCCACCGATGCCAGTCGAGGGAGGATTGGAAGAGCTCGACCCGGAAGACGATCGCTTGTGGTAGCTCCCTGCACACTCAATCCCCTCGCCCAACTCGACGTAGCCGATGTCAGGCATCAACTCGCCCAACCGCTCCACGATCTCCTCGTTCCAAATGCCGTACACCCTGCCCCTTTCCAACAGCCAATACGGATTTAACAACGTACAAGGAGAATCCAAATCAATGAATCTGATTCTCACGTACTCTAGATTCGGGAAAAGAGGCAGGGCTTCAACGGTGTTGAGGACGAGACGTTCAAAGGCCTTTATAAAGACGAGATTTGTGATTCCAGCGCCGTCGGCGATGATTCCTCCTAGTTCATGAGTGACTGTTTCTCCTGTGTAGGGGTCGGTTTCGGTAACTCGTTGGCGGCAACATGACTTTACCACTATTTCGAGATGTTTGAGCCTGGGTTCCTCTGCTTTCCCTATTTGCGATGAGAGGGCAGAGAATGCACTCGTCCACAGACACTCGCAGATCTTTCCCGTGAAGGAGAGGGATTCGAGTTGCGGCAGGACCCGACCCAAGTGGTCACAGAGATGCGTCTGGAGGCCTCCCGACCCGGGGACGAAACTGGAGCCTAGTGTTGTGGGATCTTTGCTGTACATTCCATCGAGAGATATATTCACATGCCGAAGTCTAGAGGGGAGATATGTGAGGATGTCATTGATCGTGGCATCCGCTTCGGCACGAGGTTTGGCGTAGCCGCAATGCCACTCCTCAACGTTCGGGAGAGCATCTTCAATTGTCTTCCAGTGTTGATAATTGCGCATCACATTCCAGGCACCGCGCATGGCGAAGGTGCGAATATTTGGTAATTTCTCCAGACGGCGGTTTGGGTCCGGGAAGAGGGTTTTTGGAAATTGCCGAATCATGTTGGACTTCTTGCAGTGGCCCCCTTCCAGGGTAAAGACACGCGAGTGGGGGAAGAAACAGCTTATATGGGCAAAAATCTCTGAGAGAGTGGCGGAATAGGCACATAGCTTGAAGCTGAAGCTTAGCAGATCGGTGGCGGGGATCAGATCTCGCTCGTTTGCTTGATGTGCGAGCTGATAATAACCATCGTTGCGTTCTGCCGCCGGCCTGGGCAGGAGCGGGTTGACAGAGAGATCATGAAAGGGCGCCTTGTCTCCCCAGACAGGTACCCAAAATTCAATATGCCGAACAAGCCTCGTCAAATGGGAATGAGAACAGAAGAAGTCCTTGGATTCTTCAAGCCCGGCCCGGGTGCCCTTAATCTTGATATGTCGATATATCCGCTCCTGAACCAGGTCGCGCCAGGTAGGTGACACCAGTGCAAAATCTGAGACGGCCTTCCTCCGCGGATGTCGCATCAGTGACGAGACGCTCTTGCCTCGCAACGACGTTGAACCGGCATAGACGGAATGCATGTCCCCGAAGATGAAATCGAGGACTTTACCTTGTACTTCGAGCGGCAAGTCATTCAGCGATAACTGAGGTTTCAGACTGCTTCCCGGAGACTCGGACAGCTGATTCTCCTTTTCTCGACACGAGTCACCGTCTTCCAGACATGGCGAGTTTGTCGCGCGAACGGCTACCATTCCTATTATCTGTCCATCCTGCTGTGTAGACTCCCCGCCGAGGTCCACGACCGAAGCCACTGAAGGAGCACGCTTCCGAGGTGTTACTAGGGGAAACACGACATCTGATCTGCAAAATTTCGTGGGCGGGACCGAATGCCGTTCGTGTAGATCTTGCGGCGGGTTCGAGTCGCTGTCCATGACCACCTCTTGCAACAGCATCTTGGCCAGCGATTGTACCGGCCTCAGACGCCGGGGGTTCTATAAGCGTCCGCTCTTTGGCCGGTGTGTGCAATGGAAAGAACGGGAAAGGAACCGTTGTAGTGCGCCCGAGAGAATTACCCTCAGGGTAGCTGAGAATCAAACGTGGGATGGGCAGCTGAAAGACTCGGGCGAGAAATGTCTTCGGTTCCGCGGTTGAGCAGGCGTCGCTGCAAAGATGTAATTCTGGTAGCGGCGAGATCGTGTTGTCTGGCTAGTTCGAATTGATGTGTACGTCCCGGAATCAGGAATGAGAGGAACGCAGTCAGGCAAAGGGAGGCTGGGTCAATAATGTCGTCCGTTTGATTATCAGGCGGCTGAATTTAATTGCGCAGGACACAGCCACAAGCGATGGAGAATGCACTGCCACCACCACGCGCATCTCAGCCTTGCCAAGGGCTACAGATTTCCACACCCGCGGGGAGCTCCCCTACAAGTACGATGATGGTGGAGAATGAGGTTGATCTTGAGGGGACTCAGGGATCAGTTACCTGAACACCGTAAAAAAAAAAGCAGTGAGTCCAGACAGAAAATATATGCTACTCCGTAAAGGAGAGTGCCACGTCAACGTCAAGACGGGCAGCATTGTTGTAAGTTCCCGCTATTCCGCATGAAGCACCAAAGAATCATGAGAGCCCAACGCCACAGACGGGACGAAATACTCGATGAGCACTTCCGCCAATACTAGGTACACATACAGATCAACTGTCGTCGGAGAGAACGCCGCCATCATATACTGGGCTCTCTTTGACCTGGGCCGCACCTGGGCCGCCATGTTCAGTTCAAGCACCTTTATACCTCCTCTTTAGGTTCATCATGCTTTTCTCTTCTACTGATTGGGTTCCCGGCCACTGATGACCATGCAACGGACTTTATACTCCATCGCCTCGCGGTCGAATCAGCCACTGCTGGCTTCCGCGACCCTTTCCTTGGGAGCGGCTCGTTGAACTCCCATGACCGAAGAAGATTATGGACCAGGATGCGATATTGTCGGGTTGTTGCCCTGTCGGAGGCGAAAGAGGTTCGGCTGTATTCATGGGCGCTCTCCACGGTGATAGCACTCGAGCAGATCGGAGAGGCTGTAACTGTTGTATGTCATGTGGACCTGAGGCAACCAAAGTCAGCATCTTCTCCTGAAGTACATGCTCTTCGTCTTCCCTGTTTCAGACTCATCGAATTGATTCCCATGTATAAGCCGCAGACTGTAGCAGAACATCATCAAATCCAGCGCCCAAAGGTCCAGGATTCTCGCCAGACTCTTCCTCTGAAACTCGATTACCATCCATGACGCCCGATGGTGTTCTGATTGGAGCGAGAGCGGTCGAAGGCGCACCGCTGAAGGTATCACGCACACTGGATCCGATCACGAATTATGGACAAGACCGTCTCGGAGCTCTGCCGAATTCTCTGTTATTTTGAGATCGGAAATGTTTTCAAATATTTCATACGATGGCAGCTAGTTCTCCGCGATATTAGCGCTCGCTGGCTAAGACAGTATGGCGGTCACAACAAGGATGACCATTCCCCCAGTCTCGCAGCTTTTTTCGCATGTCCCAATCGCAATCATTCAGTACGCTCTCAGACAGACAGCAATTCCATCCAGAGTCAATCTCCCAACTGGAAGAGAGTTTCAAGAGAAACACGGGGTCGAGGAATTCACAAGGGTGAGCGCAACGCTAACATTTACGTCTCCGTCGTAACTCTTCCTTATTTTTTTTTTGGTACGGTTATTATATTGTAATTTGAGATCGCAGACACTAATTCAGAACTTAGTGGATTACTCATAGCTAACTTTGCTCCTGCTGGGAACTCTGGTAGAAGGATTCAGCGTCAATTCCAGTTGCCGCAAGCATAAGGCTTGCAGATGTGAAGAGATAATGGTGCTTTCCCATCTTCCTCTACCGCATTCAAATCATGAACTTCAGCCGAGGTACGACCAGTGGCGGACAACGACATTGGACTGAATGTGGTGTGGAAGTCAGCTTGGGGCTCTAAAGAGGAAGACAGAAAGCGTATCATCGAGTAAGGGAAGACAGACGCTCGCAGGGGAATGATATTGAATCGACTATCATCCAAGACCTATCACAAGCCAAGACCCGATTTGGCAACTTCCCACAACTTAACGAGAAGGTCAATAGAGCACTGATCATGGACAACACGACCAAAGAAGTGCATTGTAAGTTCTTGATCTTCCAAATCGGATCTGTCCTTGATCTTGCAGAGCCCAGCAAAATAGGAGATATCTGGTGTTGCCAGTCGCTTCACTGAACCGAACAAGATGGCCTCGATGGAGAGAGTATTCCATACGGCGCCTGGAGACACGAATCACGAGCAAGTTTGCAAGATTTGACGTACAAATAGTCGGCCAATAGAACCGAAAGTAATTTTGCATTGATCCATCCTGGGTATGCCTCCTATATCTACAATTTAGTCACCTGCATGTAGCTAATGACGTTGGGACACTGGCAGTTGAGGAGCCCGGAACAGGATGGAAGCTGCACGGATGGAGAATTCTTTAGCAGACCTCATGTTCTTCGCCCTGATCTCGCAATTACACCATTGGAAAGAAGGCATCTCTTGGTGAAACTCGATCTCCAAGCACACGATGTCAGGAGAGACGTTGCACCAAGGTTGGAGAAGTTGCGGGGCGGTTGGACGTCAGATGCGGAGGAGCGAAAATCTCAGCCTCGCCTGCTTTCGCTTGCTTGTATTGAACTCGCTTCGGGGTTGCAAAGTCGAGACGGCAATCCTATTGTGGATTGTAGGGAACCTATTCTGGCGACATCTAAAGCGATTGGCCTATTCTATCACCTGATACGCATGATCCTATATATTCTTGCCCGTTTTTTCTTTTTACGTCAAACTGCTGCTCGTATATGTAAGAGTGGTCAACAGGTTATTCTATTATGGTACGAGGTTCCTCGAAACGAGAATACGATGATTCGGCCTTCGCGAACGTGGTGGGCTGGTGTTGCTGTGCTCATCGAAAGCGATCCCTCTCACCTGATAGACATTGCCGAAGTCAATCAAGTGAACAACAGGTAACGGTGTCGGCTTCCAGTACCGCGCCGAGTTCTGTCGCTGCATGCATACCACCTTTCACCACCGCTTCAAAACACAAACGCTTTTGTACCTTCTAGATGTCATCATGAACAACCGCGATGCTTCAGGACAGGTCCTCCTTGCCGCTCCCTTATGGGTGACGGGATTCATGAGCCTCGCTTGCGAGGTTTCCATCAGCATGCACGAAGACAAAGAAGTACAAATTGAAGAGCCGCAGGCGGCGGGCGATATTGGGTGGATTTATGCCCGGTGAAGATTTCGAATAAATCGGGATGGGGTTGCTTGCCGTACGGATTAAATCAATATAATACAAGGTTTTAGTTTGAATTTTGGAAAAAGGTCATCGTCGATGTCTTTTTCTAGTCGATTGGTGGCTAGGATGTGTAGGCACCGTGACTCCAAGTCGATGTATGAGATTCGTCCCCCCGGGCCGCCGGGATAATTCAAACAACGTTTCACGATTTACACACTTGTCTCGAGCGTCTGGGATGGTAGACTTTTCGCCCTGGACAAGCCAACAGAGCTCTAGAGCAGTGACCGGATGGTGTTTCGGGGCCCCGCTTGCCAGGTGAGCAATCGATTCATCCGTGTGTCTTATACACTCGTGGCCACCTCCTCCTTGACACCATTAGGGTTCGGTGCGTACAATGTACCCTTGGACCATTCCTCGCCCTCCATTCCTTTCTTCCACGTCGGGACCCAGTCCTTGGCTCCCTTCAGACCGGCGGCCTTGAAAGCCTGCTCGAAGTCGTGAATGATGTCGTTGATGTGCTCCAAGCCGAGGCTGATACGGATCATGTCGGGGGTGACACCTCCCTTGATCTTCTCTTGGTCGGGAATCTGCTGGTGGGTGGTTCGCCAGGGATGAATGATCAGTGTCTTAGCATCACCGACGTTAGCCAGGTGAGAGCAGAGTTTGAGATTGTTGACGACAGCTTCGACTTCATCTATGTTTCCCGCCACACCAAAGGTGAGGACCGCTCCGGCTCCCTTCGGTAGAACACGCTGAGCGAGCTCGTAGTCGGGATGCGATTTCAGACCTGGATAATTTACCCACGCAACACAGGGGTGCTTCTCAAGCCACTGCGCAAAGGCAAGCGTATTGGCGACATGTCTGTCGGCGCGAACTGGAAGTGATTCGAGGCCCTGGAGAAAGAGCCAGGCGTTGAAGGGCGACATACAGGGACCCAAGTCTCTCATCGCATCCATGCGAAGCTTGGCTGCGAGAGCCTTGTAGCCATAAGTCTCCCAAAACCGCATGCCGTGGTAACCCTCTGAGGGTTCAGTGAAACCGGGGAACTTGCCAGAGGCGGACCAGTCAAAGTGGCCTCCGTCAATCACAATCCCGCCCATCGATGTCCCATGGCCGCCGATCCATTTGGTGCATGAGGCCGTGACGATGTCTGCGCCTTGCTTGATTGGCTGCGCAAGATATCCGCCCATGCCGAAAGTGTTGTCCACGATCAGCGGGATACCCGCCTCGTGGCAGACATTAGCGATAGCGTTGATATCGGGTACATTGAATTGGGGATTTCCGATGGTTTCAATGTACACGGCCCTGGTCTTGTCGTCGATAAGTTTTTTGATCCCTTGCGGGTCTTGTCCTTCCATGAACTTGCAAAGGATATTGAACTTCTTCATGTAAACTCGGAATTGATTGTGTGTGCCGCCGTATAGGTTCATGGTGCTGATATAGTTGTGACCTGGCTCGCACACTGAGGTAATGGCCATAAATTGGGCGGCATGGCCGCTGGCGGTAGCGACGGCCCCCACGCCGCCTTCAAGCATCGCCATCCTGGTCTCGAACACCGAGTTTGTGGGATTGCCCATTCTAGTATACACATAGCCATCCTTTGACCATGCGAACTTACTTGCACCATCCGAGGCGTCGGTGAAGTTGTAGGCGCATGTTTGATACAGGGGCACAGCCCTTGAACCGTTAATGGGATCTGGCTGCTGTCCACCGTGTAGAGCGACAGTCTCGTATTCTGGAGCTTTGCTCACTTCCCCCAAGTGCCCGGAAACCATATTTTGCTGTATCTGTCGTCGTAGGTAGAAAGGGGCAATGAATTTGTGGTGAGACAGAAACCGTGGATTAATTGAGGTGCATGAAGATATAGAGACATTCAGTTGCGGTAACGACAGGTGTCTATCTTGACATATTGTATATTCAACGTACAACTCTCAGGCAACCAGCGTCGTCGAAACGTATACTCTATCACGGCCTTTGCTACGAATAAAGATAACGCACCTCCTTATCTCGACAATTACCGGCGAATGGAGGATAGCAAACCCAGGAAAGGAGAACGCGCTCACCACTCAAGCGTGACAGCTTGTTTTGGATCTCTAATTAACGAGTGTTTGCTCCCTGGTTACCAGGATGCAGTGCATACCTGCATCATCTAGTTTTCTTTCCAAAGGCCGACGAAAGATGTTGTTTGCTGATTGGTCCCTCTAAAGTTGTGTGGCGAATGGCGCTTATCAAAAGCAAAGCCCGCGGTCCGGGGAAGGACATCAGGTGACATTGACCCCTGACCTGTTGCTCAGAGATGATACTGCATTTCGGAGATTCTTCCAAGCTCGTATTGATAAGGCATCGTTAGATATCGTTGTTGAACTAATCTCGGGCCATAAGTTGATTGACTGATTAAGAAGAAAGAGAAGTTCTATCTGTGACACCAGCAAGTGCCAAGGTGCGTCGTGCCAAGAGTCCTCTATCTTGCCTAATAAGGCTAGTCCAATTAGATTCAGGGGTTTGAGTCTATTTGAGGCGCAGGAGGAGAGAGTCTTCTGGCTGGGAATATCGATGACTGTCATGGATGGCAGAGGCATAGGGTTGTCAAATCTTGATATATATTCATTGACATTACGTTCTATCTGGAAGCTAGAAAAGGTATTTGCAGGAGACGCCCAGGCCGATTCCTGAAGGCATGCTGCAGGGAGGCATATGAATCATGTTCAGTAAAGCCATGGACCTAGTGATGTTAGATCAGTATGCTGGAGGAGGGAAATGGTGATGTTTATTGCTCACCTCTTATGAGAGAAATCTCGCGCTCCGCGTGTCCAGGAATTCGCATGACTTGCGAATGGATGACCTCCATGGCCAATAGCGCGTCTTGCGTCCTCACGACGAACGAAATATTGATCTCACTCGCTCCTTGCGAAATCAAATGAATATTGATCCGAGCGCTTGCCAAAGCGGAGAAGATTTCAGCTGCAATCCCTACCATGTTTTTCATTTTATGACCGACCACCGAGATGATTGACATTTTCGGCACGATGCTGGCTGAGCCGAACTCTTCGAGTTCTGACAGGGCTTCCTCAATTGAATCAGAGACATTCACCAATCCATAAGCCGATACAGCCAGACTGAGCGACTGACGGCTGCTGCTTGCCAAGTCGACGGAAAGCTGATGCTGTCCAAGGATGCCGATAATCTGACCAAGGAATGCTTGGGGAGGCAGCTTGCCGTTCGAAGTGATATTGACGAGAGTGATTAAATCTTTTGCTGTAATGGCGGTAGGAACTCGTTTAGCCTGCTCCTTGCCGTAGTATCCGTTTGAAGTCATGAATAATGAACGACTGATCTCCATCTCCGTAGAATTGGGTGCCTGCACTGGACTCGGGCTAGGCGTTGTCGAGTAGACGACGGTGCCGGCGCCGGCAGGATCCTTCACATTCTTCAAGCGCAGGTTGATGTCTTCTTTGTTCAGAAGTGACATTGTCAGAGGGTGGATCACCTCGCTGCCGTAATATGTCAACTCGACCGCCTCCTCCAGCGTTATCATCGGCAGAACTCTGGCTGTTGATACTTTCGTAGGATCGGCTGTAAAGATACCAGCAACCTCCTTCCATATCTGGAGCTCGTCAGCATCTAATGAGACCGCACACAGCGCAGCACACAGATCCGAATATCCACGGCCGATGGTATGCAGTAGCGAATGTGGCATGGAGCCAAAAAAACCAGTAACGACTGGTATTTTCCCCGTCGCAGAGCACTGAAGGATTGCATCTTTGACTGCGCCTCGAAGTCCCTGGAGGAATAGAATAGGGTTTTGTTTGTAGGTTGCTTGCTGTTCACGAGTCGAACGCTTGTCTGCAGTTTGGACAATATTTTCTAGATTCACCATCTCTGCTTCAACTCCTCTGAGTGACAACGCGGCAGCAACCACCAGGCAGGACAGTTTCTCTCCAACACCAAGCACCCTATCTTGCGCTCTGTCAGATGCTTCGCCGATGACCTGAGTGGCCTGTAAGAATCTTCTCAAGGCTTCACATTCTTTGATAATGTTCTGTCGTAACAGTTGAATGATCTTCGACGCGGGTTGCAGGGCACCCTCATTGGGTAGAGATGCTGCAACCAAAAGATGTTCACTCTGAATAATATCGACAACTTCGTCGAAATCAACCGTACATGCCTCCTCTGACACAGCGCAAGCTAACGCCCTTAGGAGAAGACTTGTTGTACCGGCTGACTTGCTTGCGCTAGAACGCGCCGAGCAAATCACTGCGACGTTGTAGTCTTCCAGGTATTGTGGAATAATAGATGCTGTAATCGTGTCCAGCAGCTTGCCAACACTGGTGCCGCCATATTTCTGAACAAGCCATGGTCGATATTCCTCTGTTCGTGCAATCATTTTGTTCCCCCTTAGCCTGTTTTGTTTGCAAGGTATAGCGCCGCAATGGGTGAAGATAATACAAAGGTCACATCCAAAAGGACTATGACCGGACAATATTATACAGATAATGCTCTTTCATGGGGCCCAGGGGCCGTGCCGGATGGATGACACTGATGGGGGCCTCAGGACGACAAGTCTGGAACTTGCAGTCCCCGAACATCAACCAGGCAAATAGATAAGGGCAGAACCACACTCCGACGGGGATTGACCTGATTTCGGCCTAAAATTTTTCGATTTCGATACAGTCTACCCTCAAACCCCGGGCGGACTAGATCGGTATCGACCAATGGCCTTCAAATGCGAGTCCATCATATGGGATTCCGAAACGGACGAGCCTTCCTAGCTAGCAAGCCACGAATTTGGCAATTGTGCAAGTTAATCTGAAGAAAGAATCACAGCCCAAAGGCTGGGCTATTTAGTATTGAGACAATGTGGAACATTCTTTTGGTCATTAGGTAACAAAAAGAAGAAAAATAATCTATCAAGCATCTCGCAAGAGCATACAATCATTAAAAGGATTCCAACTCGCCGAAGACACTATCCGTTACAACTTCTTCGTTATCGTCTTCGTCGTCACCGAAGACAGGAGCTTCGAAGATGTTGGCATTGTGGTCCCTAAGAAATGTACTGATCGGTTCTTCCATAGCTGACATTTCTAGCAGAAAGCCGTCATGTCCATCGGAAGAGTCAAGCTTCATAAGTTTTGCTTGAGGTAGAGAATTTGCCAGGAGTGTCTGCTGTTCAGACGGAAACAACAGGTCTGAATCTATGCTTACCACAAGTGCAGGTGCTGTACATGTCGCCAGAACGGCGGCCACGCTTTCAGTGCTGGGATGCTCTTCAGACGGCAATAGCATTGTTGTAGTCCGCCCTCTTGTAATATCGTGAGAGTCCATCTTTCGCAAAAGGTGGATGTAGCAATTGGCGTCAAAGCGCTTCAAAAACTTGTCCGCTTGGTACTGCATATAGCTTTGGGCTGAATATATTGTAGTCGGGCCGAAATTGTGCGCCTCTCTTTTCGAGGCTGCTGTGTCGGGGATGTCGTCTCCTGCCTCAGTTGGTGGTGGAGAGGGTAAGGAGGTCATCGGTCTCGAGAAAGACTGCGACGGCTGTTTTGATCCAGACTTGCGTCGACCGAATCGTGATTCAAAAGAAGTGTATGATCGGTAGGTGAGCATTCCAATCATTCTTGCGGCCCCCAAGCCTTGTACGGGCTGACTTTGAGGATGAGGAGCATAGTACCCTCCGCAAAATTGTGAATCGGCTTGGATACATCGTATTTGCGATGTGTTCCAAGAAATCCCCCATGCAGTCTGATAAGCTGAGGTCGATACGGGGATGATTGTCTTAACGTAACCTGGAGGTGTACACAAAGGCCACTCAAGCGCGATCATGCCGCCCATCGATCCACCGATGACCGATGCAATCCGCTTGACTCCCAGCGTGTCGAGAACCATTTTCTGTATCCTCACATCGTCTCTAAAAGTGGTATCTGGAAAGCTTGGCCCATAGGTCTTCCCAGTGACCGGGTCTGTACTTAATGGTGATGCGGAGCCGTACGGCGACCCGAGTGAGTTGAAGCAAATGACAAAGAATCGGCTTGTATCGACAGCCTTTCCTCGGCCGATCAAGGGTTTCCACCAATCCTCCACATCACTGCTTCCAGTGAGTGCGTGGCAGATTAAGAGAACATTGTCTCCCTCCTCACTCAAGGTGCCCCAGGCGTTGTAGGCTATAGGTACTCGGTGGAGCTGTTGACCCGATTCTAAAGTAAACGTGGGTATGACAGCAGTTTTCAAGTTTCGCACTAGGCTCGTGTAATAATTGCATTCTGGTTGAGAGTTGAGTTCTACCCGAGGATTAGAGAATGACATTGAAGACCCTTGGAAAAGTTCAACATACCAACCTTCATTGCGCCTTTTCTTTTGGGGGCGCCTAGAGAGACGCGTAGGATTTCGTGTCTCGTAAAAGTCATGCTTTCTCGAACTGCTCTTCCTGATTGTTACGAGGTATTGTTTATGTGGTATATCGATAGACGAGAGGCACTTCATCGGGTCCACCTGTTATTGAACGTGTGGAGCAACCCATAAGGCTTCGGCGAGGACAAGTATCTTTCGGTGTTTGCTTTTCGGGCTTTGCTTTGAAACGGTTTCGCCAGAGTCCGGAAAGTGGGTCAGACACCGGAAACCACCACGGAGTACCTTGTACTTGTACACCAATGCGATATTGAAATTCCCAAGTGTCCGTGATAGGCGCAAAATATGAAATTAATGTCGGGTATCTGGTCAGAGTATGACGCGGAGGTGTATCTCTGAAGCACAAAAGGATGTCGTGTTCTGGCCAAAGTCCTGCTGCTTGCACAAAGCACAGCCCTCGGTAACAATTATGTCGACATCGGCAAGTTTTAAGGTTGCCGCAGTACAAGCTGCTCCGGTCGCATTCGATCTCCCTGCGTCGTTACAAAAAGTCAGACACTTCACAAAGGCCGCTGCGCAGGAATGCGCTGATCTCGTTGTCTTTCCAGAGGGGTTCCTCAGCGCATATCCGTGGCGTTACGCCTTCGATGCCACGATAGGAGCACGAGAGCCTCGAGGCCGCCAATGGTTTTCAAAATACTATAATTCGGCAATGGCGATTCCTTCCGCCGAATTTGAGGAGCTCCGGACGATTGCAAGAGACTACAACGTGTTCCTGTCACTAGGGATAATCGAGAAAGAACGAGGAACCCTGTATTGCACAGCAATACTCCTCTCGAGGACTGGCGACTTGCTGTACGCCCATCGAAAACTCATCCCCACAGTATGTTTTCCTTCCTTGGATATTGAGGATTCAGCGACTGATGATTGTTTCTCCCAGGCGGCCGAACGACTCGTGTGGGGAAGAGGAGCAGGAGATGGACTTCAGGTTGTGGATACGGAGATTGGCCGTGTAGGCGGACTCATCTGCTGGGAGAACTATATGCCTGCTGCGAGACTGTCTTTATATCAACAAGGGATCGAGGTCTACATCGCACCGAACGCGGATGACTTGCCTGCATGGGTGGCATCGATGCAACACATCGCCAAAGAAGGACGTTGTTTTGTTATTTCATGCAACCAGTTCTGCAAGGTGGCCGATTTTCCGTCTGACTATCCACCCTTCTCACCTGGACATCATGACCGACAACGAGATGGCTCTCCTTGGACCCCCGACGCCATTCTCAGCCACGGCGGCTCTTGTATCGTCGGACCATTGGGCACATTTATTGCCGAACCCGTCTGGGATCGGGAAGAGATCATCTATGGGCAACTACGGATGGACGATCTCATACAGGCCAGAATGGACTTCGATCCGGTCGGAAGCTATGCGAGGCCCGATATTTTCACGCTAACCGTCAATAGAAGGCCTGGAGACCATGTCGTTTTCAGTGAGTGAGCAAGGCGTAGTCTTCCGATCCAGAGCCTCGCTACCTGTTATGTGGCGTGACTAGTTGCCAGATACCTACCAAGTAGGTACGTGGAATATTATACCAGCACATGGCTGCAGAAGACCCCCTACCGCCACGAGCAATCTAGGTATGTTTACCTAGTGTAGTTAGAACCTTTGGGCGACTAGGCTAGCGTACCCCTCTAATTGGGTGATAAGAAAAGTTGCTTATCTCTACGAAGGATTGCTCACCACATAACACACGCACTGGGTAACAAAGGGTGCCAAGTCCGGGGGGCCCCAAGTCAATAGCATCTTTCTACTGATTAATATATCACCTGGAGTCTCCCTTCTCATGTGCGCGTCCATCTCGTCGCCCAAATTCCCCCGCTCACAACACACTAGTTGACGTCGAGTCTTGCAAGTTGGGAAGCGGCATAAGAGCACTTCCAAAACCCTCACGCTCTTCAATACGTCTGAGACTCTGGCAAGTCAGGGCCCCGAATCTCCCCTGCAGGCCTCATGTCTACTTCTACCCTCATGGATAGCGAGCCTAGGGCGCCCAGTCAAAGCCGCCGAAGGAAAAATATCATGCCGCCGGTGAAGGTGGCGTGTACATCTTGGTAAGCGCTGCTGGATCGAGCGTCTACTTGCGAATTCCTCTTATAACTGCGATCAAGCCGTGCGTCTCGAACACGATGTGATGCCAAGGCTACATGTAACAATGTATGTGGTGGGTGGTGCTGCGATTGACTTAGACCGTGCCTGATATTGTTTTTAGTGTCTGATCAGGGGCAAAGAATGCCGCTACGTCAAAAGCAATCGTGGCGGGCCTCGGGTGTCGCGCAAAAAAGCCATTGTGGCAGTAGAAAGGCAACGGCGGGCCGACGAAGCAGCATTTCAGACCCAAGAAATTGCCCCAGACATTAATATTGATTGGGATGCACTGATCCTGTCGTCTGAAGAGATCCACAACGACCTCATTGCTACTATGATCGCCCCCGGAGCTGGGTTGATCGATGTCGATGATGAGGATGACTGCGATCAAATCTTTGACAATATTTTCATGCCGCCCTCCGAAGGCGACGACACAATCAATGCCTTGGACGACGATCCGCAGGGAAAACCCTACACGCCAATCACTCGGAGCTATCAAGACAGCGAAGCCATTCTCAATGCCTACTACATCTTCATCCATCCATACTTCCCAATCCTGCCGCCGCCGGTGACGACATTGCAAGTTGATGACCCGGCGAGCGAATCGAAATTCTTCGAGCCAGCATCTCCTCTGGTAATGGCATTGATGGCGATTCTTGTTCTGATCCCCCATCCTGAAGACGAGTACCCGGACAGCGATGAGTCCGTATGTCTCAGAAGGCAGCGAGCGCACTCATTCTCCCAGATGGCCATGGAGAGCATCGAGATTGAGACCGAGCTGCTCGAATCTATCACAAACCCGTCTGAAGCTTTGGATCATCGTCGACCATCAGTCGATCGCGAAAAGCTCCATCCATGTGTGCCAGTGGAGCTGGAAGGTGTTCTGGCACACTTATTGCTGAGTATCTATGAATATGCTCAACGGGGGAATCTGGCGAAAATGAGAAATCGAGCCAGCCAAGCATATGATGCTGCTATCAGACTCTGCCTGCACGACATCTCTGATCTTTCATTGGACGAATACACAGAAGCGCGTCGGCGCGCCTGGTGGATGACGGTAAGTCGATGAGCCATGTCTAGTGGAGAATGCCCGCTGAGCTGGATCCTAGTATATCGTCGTCCTGCAGGCCTCCATTGTCAGCAGCACGGTAAGTCTTATCGTTGAGGATCGATGGCAACCACTATCTAATCCTGCTGAGCCAGCCTCCAATCATCTCGATTGATTTTCATCAGTTCAAGACTCCTTTGCCAACAGTGCCAGCGGACCCTGACGCGTGGCCGTTCTTCATCGAAGCCCAGCAGTGCATCCTCAGGTGTACCCAGTACACTGTAGCGCTGAAGAAGGCCCTCGAAGCCGGTCTGGGGGACAGTACGCTGGATCAAAGAAAAGCCATACTTGAGAGTGGAATGGATTCAGTCCATTTTAGATATGCGTCCTCCCCGACCGAACCGTCAGCCCTATCGCCCACAGATGCGGAAGAACACACTCTCGCCAACTCGCTGCGGTTGCAGGCGCTGATCAAGCTGAACAGTGCGAGGATCAAACTCCACCGATATCGCGCTTTTCAAGACGTCCCAATATTTACTCGTCGTCACTGCGATCTAGATCAAGCCGATACATCTTCTCCGCGCCCGCTTGGATGTTCCTGTCATGCCATGTTACCATCTGCATTCTCCAACACTTCGCCCAAAGGCTTTCAGTCCGGCAGCTTTCCTGGGCCTTGGTCGCAGTCGCCTAACGGGGGCTCTTTAGACGCATCTAGCGACCACGCTGACGCGCTGACCAAGGGAATATCGATTACTGACCTGCCAGCTGCAAAGACTTGTCTCAAAGCCGCCCTTGCCATCGGTCGGGCGTTTGAATCATTTCCTTACCCCAATCCAATGCAGTTGCCACTCCCTATGCTTTCTTCACCCATGCTGTCAACTGCCTCCTCCACTCCGACTCCACGAACGATGCCGTCATTTGCCTGCTGCGCCATGCAAAGCTGTTATACGTTGCTCACCCTGTGCTATAAAAGCCTAGAAATGCGGTGCGTCAACCAAAGGAGTTCCGCCGCCGACAAGGGCCTTGAGGATTTGTATGCCGGGGTGGGCCGAGTTCTGAGGGCGCTGCAAAATTATGCAATCGCGTTCGAGGCTCTGAACGGCATGACCCGTAAGTTTGTTTCGCCTCGACCCCGAGAAGGCTGACGCTGATTCGGCTTCAGAGCAAGTAGAGGAAGCCCTTGAGGCGCTGAAGCGAATACGACAACACAATACCTGATCGGATTATGTTCCTCGCTTGAAGAATGGGTGAAATATTGAGTCATGACATGAATGATGACAGCTGGCCTAGACCTTGATTTTATTGAGAGCAGTTGAGAAAGGTAGATATCAAAAGGGGTTCAATCGCTCAGGAGGCGAGGAGGTTTGAGACCTTGAAGCGGCAGTTCTTAGAAGTGCCAAGAAGAGGGAGGCACAAGAGGCTCATCTCTCAACCAAACTCGAGGTCATCATCCACGATCCATCATCAATCATCCATTATCGGGCACATCTCCATGTTAGCCATCTTCGTGTCCCTCGGATTCTTGCCTTGCAGTGAGAATGACTTGGTTGGGATATTCCAGCCTGATGGACACGAGTCGCCCACCCTGGAACTACCCCCGATCCCCTCCTATTGAGGTAGTTTTCGCTGGCCAGATGTCCACTCCCAACTTCATACTATCCCTGACTAGTCAGCGATGATAATGGTGGAAGAGAACGAGTGAGAGGCTGCACAGGGCAATGGAGCTTAGCTGCCCGTGGGAATTTCTGCGAGAATGCCTGTTATTGACTACAGGTAAGCCTGCTCTGGGTTGCTAGTGTTTGGTCCCCGGGGGGAATGTCACATCTCTGCCGAGTATTACTATGGGGGAGAGAATTGCGTGTTGAATTCTTATGGAGAAATTTATGGAATCAGCGGAATTGACTTGATTGTTGCGGACAGCTTGTGCCCTGTTGGACTGATCCATGCCTCATTTATTGACACAGGAGTAAACTATTAGTTTCTCTTTCCTCGCCTGTTCCCCACAAAACCGGATCTTCCTGTAGCCGTATTTGCTCTTGCCAGATTTGATTCGAAAAATATCGACTTTGAGTTCGTCTTGCTCGGGGCCCAGGTAGTGGGACAGGGACGTGTAGGGGTAAGGCAGTTGAACGGTCGTGCTGCAGGGCTAAAATTGTTGTCATTGACGCATGCACCTTACCCTAGACACATCAGGATACGCCTGAGACCATGCTGGCTTCAAAGAAAGGGCCTCGGAAAATCAAAGCAAGAGAGAGGCGAAGACATACAGGAGCACAAAGTGCTTCCGATGAGCAAGGGATTCACAGGTTTGGGATTCCAAGTTCTGGAGTTCGTGTGCGGAGGGGTTTGACGAGTGCCCAAAGGTTCATGGATGAGCTCTATTCAATACGATAGAGGTCGACAACGAACTCGCTGATGTTGACGTGACGTTTGTCGACGATGCCGGTATCCAGTTGTTTCCCAGTCCCACAGTGTGCATATCCTTTGGCTTGTACCAACCCTCTGTACAGAAACCCTAGGAACCACTCAGGTCCAATACGGGAGTGGCTCTTGAAGGGAGCTCGGCGACATGTTTAACCCAGGACGATACGTTTCATTTCGGTCTCGACATTCTGCCAATCGGTGTTCTCCACGACGCCTAAGCCCCGTCGATATGCAATGCTCCCACACCATTCTATCAGCATAACATTCCGACTGCGAGGAGAATAGATAGCGGCGCTAACAGTGGGCTCAGCTGCATTCCTCGCGCGGCTTTCCCATTCGTCGGCTTTCACACTGCCAAGCGCTCATTTTATGCCTTCATAACATACGGGTCTTCGATTCATTCTCCAGCTTGAGATTCAGTACTGCCGTACGAGCCGTGAAGTGTAGCAATCCATAGTCCATGATGTGCCGTCTTAGGTTAGACATGGACAGCAAGCTCATAATTTGCTGATAGTCATGTTCCTCAGTCGACACCTCCGAGTGCGCTGAATTCTGTTCCATGCGCAATGTTTCATTTACCGACAGCGAAGGCTCGTGCCAGGTAACTTCGGACACCATTGAGACTTCACAAGGATGTAAGAATGAGACCGGAGATTTGATTGAAAGCCACGACCATGACGGATATATGAGGCTGAGGGGACCACGTTTCCAAATGATGGTATGCTTTACGCGCCGCAGCATCGCCACAATGAATCACAGCTGCGCGAGGCTGCCTTACAGCGTCGCAAAGCGCCACAGGCCCTTTGAAACCTTCAATATGGTGCTACCACCTGACAGGCAGCTGCTCGAATAACGCCTAGAATCATGAGAGCAGCCGAATTCACGGTGGCTGCAAAATGAATGGATTGAGTACTCTGGAGACCCCTCGAACCATAGGGTTGCCCAGAGGGTTGTCCACAGGGCTATACATGTTGGAGAGTCATGCTTGTCCTGCACTCTCTTCCGCAAAAGGATTGTCAAGCTGAAGTGCGGTAGAGCGTGAAGTTTTGGGTTGTTCAGTAGAGAAAGTGAATGAATTAGGAGTAGTGGATAGGTCGAAGGGTTGTCTAATGCCATCCACAGTGGCGCCTAGTGGCCTAGGTTATCTGTTTCCAATTCAATTCAATAGCCTTAGCTAAACCCTGTTGCGATCAGAATGATTCTGAGATGCATTAATTGCTCTGTCTGTCTGTCTGTCTATGGACTGACTTGAGGATTTGCTCCTATTATATACGGGTTTTCCACCTATTCCTCGAGTCGTCAAATCAATGATACCATGGCTAACCATTGGCGTTAGCCGTCAGCGATATACTACGGAATACGCCTCGCCCATCCACCCACGGGTCAAAATGGCAAGGCAGACTGATCCTGTCAATAGTCGGCGGCGACGTTATCAATATCGAGGTCCAGATAGGCCCGCAAATGGCACCTTGGGCGACTGTTGTTAGGGGCCACCGTAGTTAGCCATAAGGGTTAACTTTTGGGGCCGTCCACGCTGTCGTCAGTCCTGTCCGCGGCCTGTCGTCAACGGTGCCGAAAAGCGCCGCTATCGAACCCCTTTCGTGACAAGATGCGAGTCTCAGGCCAAAGGAAGAAGATTAGTTTTGAAGGGTAAGATGAGTCTTTTAAAGGCAGTGCGGAAGGAAATGCTTGTTGCGTTCGATGTATTTGGCTACTGCAGGTGGCCGGCAAGGGTAGGAAATACGTTATGCTCCATGCGTTCGAAATAAAAATTATGTATTGCGTATGTCCCGAACCTTCGCTCATAAGTATTTTCATTCAGAAAAAGGAGCGAGGCTGCTTTAATCTGGAACATGGCGAAGCGTCGATTGAGCATCGACGGAGCCTTAGCACAGCCCAACAGAGCAAGGCAGAGGACAGGGAAGCGTTACGGAAGTCACATCGAAAGCAGAGGGAAGTGCAGTAGCGAGATGAGGTGGCTGGAGAGGGTAGGCGATAAGCTTTGGGAAAATGGCCTCAGCCTACGAGGTACAAGGTCATGCTGATTTGTACTGGGTACTGGGTACAGGGTTCCTCACCACTGGCTTAGGAGAGTTGTTGGTGAATCCTTGGAGAGCCAGGGCCCACGACCCAATCTCGTTGAGTGCTGGGGTGCGCTGTGATGGGACCAGCTTGACCACGCACAGGTTCAAACTCAGCCGTCGCATCGCGGAACCCGCAAATGCAAATATACGTAGCAAAGTTCCAGATATCTAGCACTTTGAGGAAATTCGAACGTCTCTGATCTGAAAAGATTTACACGAAGTCAGTACGAGGTACACAACAACAAATCGCTTCAACATCGTGAAGCTTTGTGCAAATGCACCGGATTTCCTTCTCTTGGCCCCTTTCCATGCTGGTCAACTTGCACTAGCGTGACCTTCTTGAAACCATTATCAACAGCCACGTTATCTAGTTTACGAGACCACGATTGACACAGATCACGTTCCGCTCCCCAAAAGACATTTCTTACGAGAATCTACTCTTGAACCGGGTTAGTCTTATGCCGGACTGATGTTCGAACTTCCGGCTTTAGAAATACACTATTACTCTCGATTACACGACTGTCGTAGTAAAGGGGGTAGCTGGGGCAGCGAGGATCAGAAGCATTCCCCAACCCTCGACCTGCTTAGCCTCACTGCAGAGTTGACTAGATTCAAGAATGTACCATGAGCCTCCGGGCACGTCTCTATGGACGTCGAAATTCCAACCTCACCAACAAGCACGATATAAATACCGGAATCAATTATAAGCGGTTGACATTTGACCGTTGATAAAGCCAAAATCGGAAAATGGCCAAACGCAAATACACAAGAGAGGAGCGACATGCTCTCGCCAAAAAAGCGAACATCCAATTCAGCCTGGAAATAACCTCCGACATGAAACGCAAAGAGATTTTCAGGCAAATCAAAAGATATCGGCAATATTCAGCTTGCTCAATATCATGCTGAGATCAGGCCTGATTCACAAGACGAACCATGGAGGGAAGAGGTCAAACAACGGGCAAAGTGGATAAAGAAAAAGGTCAACAGGTGCTATAAAGGCAATACGACCGAGCTTGGCTGGAGACTTGCAGTGGAGAACGAGATTTTTTTCAGGTTTGAAGTGGAGGTGATATGGTAAACTCGAAACCCTTTCATTCTGGCCGTATGTTGACTCAACCTCGCAGCAGGCAATGCCGTAGGAGAATGTGGGAGGCCGATTGGAAGAAGGCTTTCCGGTCAAATGAACTTCCACGCGGCGAGAGTATAAAGCCTCTGATCGGCCAAGAAGATTGCAACTGCAAGGAAAAATATCGAGATGACAGGTGAGACCATTCCTGTCGCCGTTGACCGCTGCTTACGACGCGTAGATATGCGCCAGGTCCGAGCGAAATGTTTGGTTACTCTGCCGAGTCCATGGTCCAATATGACGAGAAGGATATTAGGGAGGTCCATCAAAACCACCAGAGGCCCGACGGCATGTACTGGCTTTACCGCGCTAGTAGAATTGAGAAGCTCCTGAACGCGGAAAGCACCACTCGGGGGAAAAAAGTCGGCGATATCGTTCAATCGCGCCCGACTGGCAGTACCACCGCTAACATGGCATTCCCGTTCCTCCTCTTCGAAGCCAAATCAGCCAACAGTGCCGACAATTTTTCGATGACGTTTACCTACAATCCTGCTTTGCTATCCGAGCGATGTTGAAGATCCAACATGATTTGTTCTTCAATCGTGAAGATCGCAGGTACGACGAGGCACGCCCATTTGTCTGGTTCATTTCTTCCCACGGACATATGTGGAATGTATCTGGCGCCTACTTTGGCGGAAGATCCCCAACCACGGTAGGGTTTCAACCGAGTTCACGGAATCTAGCTAACATGGTCCAGCAAATCGTCCACTTGTGGTCCGGTAATATTGCTGAAACGGAACACGCGCTGCGATTACTTCTAATCGTCGACTACATATGCGACTGGGCAAGAAAAGTCTATCGTGTAAGTGTCATTGAGCAACTTCTTCACATTGCACATGATCCTACTCCGAGCCTCGGAGCCGAAACGGGATACTCCACTCTCTCTGACACCTATAGTTGGGACCAACGCGTAGACAATTACGTGCTTGGCCGAGATCAAGAACTTGAAGAGAATTATTTACGCCCGTCCAAAACTGAAATTACCGTCGCACAAGTGCTGGAGCTATTGGATTCCCAAGATATAGCTATCCGGGACGCCAGATATAGGCACTTTCGAGTCTGCGCACTACAGATCAATACGGACAACATTGAGGACTTCTTCCTGTATGAACGCAACCATGAGGCGGTTCAGGCACGTGCAAAAGCGCTGATGAAGTGCCTCAAGGCACCCGATGCCTGGCGAGTGAAAATTGGGGCTTTAAAGGCGTTGGAAAAGTTCTGGGTCGGGTGTCATATTGTAACAAGGCAAGGTGGCTGTGCTGTGCTGAGCTGGTAGAGCGGTAGCAGGGAGGAAAAGTTGTCTAGTCACATGTCAAACCTAAATGGGCTGGCAGAAGGGGGTGTCGAGCTGCTTTCAGGAAAAAATTGCCTCGTATATGGACGAAGATGCTTCCACAGCAGAGGATTCCACAATCCGGACTCTCATGAAGTCGTTTGAGCAAAAGGCCAGAGAATACGGTATCAAAAAGATGTTGCGTGGCATGATGGTCGCATTCGAGCAGATGCCGGACAACGAGGATTTCGAACATAGCGCCGGTCTGTCGGAATTAGACGGGGATGATTCTACTGCCGAAGATGAGGACACCGTATATGAAGCACAGAGTACTGAAGATGAGTCCACTGAAGATGGTGACGTTGGAGCAGAGACCGCATCGGGCATTGGAAGCGATAAAAGCAAAGATACATTTGGTGCAGGTCACAGCGGCAAAGGCAGCGCGGATGAGCCTCAAAACGGGGGCCGAGAGATGGGCAAGAGAGCCCTGCCTTACCGACCCTACATCCCTCCCAAAGCCTCCAAGAAAGGCCAAAAAAAGAGGTGATGAATGGCAGCGCAGTGCTTAGCTCTTGAAGGTGCAGGACCTTTTTGAGAAAAGCTGGAAGTATCCGGAAGAGATCATCCTTGGGATAGCCCTAGCCAGCTGTTTGCTTGCTGGCCAAGAAAGGGAATGTGCTCCTTGTGAGATATAAATCGACATTCTTCCCATGCCGCTGGACGCTCGTTGCGGATCCAGTCAAACTTTGACTGGAACTCTCGCATACTTTGTTTTGGGATTGACGAAATGGAACTCTGTCTTGGAAACAAGCCTTCATGTTCTTGACGCCTCAATTTCATCTCATCCATCATTCACTTTCCGCTAGGGGCCTTCAGGTGTATCTGGGCAACCTTTTGTCAATCCGCCTGCTTCTGAACCTATGTCGGTTCTCCGTCCCATATTTCCGATCTAGGTCGCTTAAGCTGGTTTCCAAATCTTGAAGCTCATCTCAAAGATGCAAGAGTGCACGACATCACAGCCATCCAAAAAGCCGAAAGGGCCATGTGCCGCTCTCATTGTTTCCGTGTGCTGCCAGCCGTGGATAACCCTGAGGGAAATCTTCTAGACTTGGCGATCCAAAGTGCTCGTAACGATCGTCGTGCCATCTACCGAGCCTGATGCAGCTTGATTGTGATTGCGGAGCAATTGGTTGAGTGTTCCCTCTTCGACTCCAGCATTTCCGGGTCAAGTCGTGAGCTGCAGGATCAGCCGGGGGGGTTGGGCCCGATATTTGTCGGTGTCGGAGTCTAAGAGGAGTGGTTTGGAATGTCGCCGAGTTGATCGTGCGTATTAAAGACAATGGAGCGTTTTAAGACATCAGACGGTCGGGCTTGACGCAAAGCGATATTAAGGTACTGCAGGTCACCAGCTTAGCCAGTGGTGACGGCTCAAGTCCCGAGCATCCGCCTTTCCGTCAACCTCGTGGCTCCTCTCAGGGAACGGTGTTGGATGGAGAACCAAAATGCTGCCAACACTTGAGCGTTAAACCTCCATTTTGTGAGGTGGCTGGATTTGCGCAGTTAGCAGGTCGTTTCTTGGAGCTTGAAAGGGTTCTAACTATTGATGCCACGGGCTCTACAAGGTGCAAGATGCGAAGTGGACAAAAACTCCTCACTTGCCAAGCTGGGTTCCGGGCTATACGGTTGACCTGAAACCAGCACCGTTGTCATGGAGAGGTCACGATCCTTAGAAAGCTTGTGGAGATCGAATTTGGGAAGATGCACATGTTAATGAAATCAATGCTGGGCCGAATCCAGATGGCGTCAGGGGAGGTCAGCTTCGTGTGAATGGAATCTACCTGGACACGATCATCGATATTGTTGACGAACAACTAAGCCACCACGACTTCCGTGAGTCTCCCAAGAACAACCGGTTTTGGATAGGCGTATAGAATCTTGCCGCAGGGTTCAATGAGAGGGTACCCGGTTTGGATGGTATTTCCCTAGATGGAATGCGAGACTGTAACGCAGATTATTCTATACTGATTAAAGCTATCCTCCGCGCAGCACTCAAACAATTGCAGGCAGCCGCTGCGAAGTCTTCTGGCGACCGATGTTATCGGACACGTACAAAAACATTCGTCCAGCTCCGGATTCCGCTGGTCCTCTCGTCTTTGCATCCTGCATCCGTGCATTTGCTCGAGTGTACGCTTCGGATCAGACGTACCTCATGTATGAAGTCTCCATCTCGTTCTTGTCGGGTCGTTACACCAGCGCCATTCCCCTGCAGATTGGCAGGAACAGCTTCACAAATTGGAATCAGTTCGAGACATTGACAGATCCCTTCCGCTCTCTCCTTTCGCGTGAACCTCCAACATTGCCATTCACACCCAATAAATTCGCAGACCTCCTTTGCAATGTAATGGAGCATGAAGTGAAAGTCCTCCGCTCATGGGACCCCGAGACACAAAGATATTAGTCTCGAACAGTAGCCCTCGTCGAACACCACAACGCCTATAGCGAATTTGAAAGAGAGTTGAGAAATATGTGGAACTCCAGAAGGCCGTTTCGTACTACAAAGGGGTATTTGGGAATCGGAGCACAGAGTCTTAAGGGGGGGGAATGAAGTGTGGATATTGGGCGGGGCAAAGACACCTGTGATTTTGCGAAGGGCTGAGGGGCAGGGCCCAGTGGACGAAGAGACAAGAGGGAAGGAGAGGTCAGAAGAGAACAGCGGACCAGAAGATACAAATGAGAATGAGAACAAGGATGAAGAAGGAAAGACGTCAATTAGTGCGGTGGTTGAGAAGGAGAGAGTAGAGTCTAGTGTTGCCGGCAGCGGAGAAGGCGATGGCAACGCGATCAATGATACCGAGCAGGCGGAAGCCGCAGAAAAGGAGGAATGGGAAGATCGGACTGACGAAGAGGCAGACGATGACGACGACGACGGCGGCGGCGGCGGTCCGACTTGCCGCGCCCCTTCCGCGCGATCCTCGACGTCGGCCTCAGCCTTGCTGGTGATCAAGATCACAGCTCCAACGAACCAAGGGAAGAACGAGACGCCAAAACCTGAAGACGAAAAACATGCAGAGAGAGGATAAAGCTCTACTAGGAGCCCCAGCGACGCCGCCACCACCCCATCTCAACAATCTCAGGCCACCGCCAGCAGCAGCAATGGCACAAAATCGGACTTCGTCCCGCTCAACCTGCCCCCAGAAGTGCAACGACAGCTGGACCAGCTCTTCTTCTCGATGTCGCGGGAACAGTTAAGACACGCACGCCCGCGCACAACTTACGCACTGGTGGGTGAAACATACCTTCACGGCGTCATGCATGGCGAGGCCATTCGGAGAATGACGCGGGATTCCAAGGAAGTCGTTGGGATCATGCTCGAATAGCTCGAAGGGCCAGGCGAGCTGGGACTCTCCTCTCACAGTCGTATCTACCTGGCACAAGAAGGAGAAGGCGGGAAAGGACGCGCGGTTTGATCGTGGAACAAACGAGACACGGCAGAGAGGCTGCGGGGGAAGGCGTTGGAGGCACCACCTTCTTTTATATCCACATGCAGGTATGTAGAAGTCCATAATGGTCTGGGCCGCGGAAGCAGTCTATCCGCACCCCCGCTGACATTTAGATACTCATTCGTCATGACTTCAGTCTTCGCATTACCGGATATTCATTTGCTGGGGTAGGTCCATCATCCATGCTTGCTCATTTGCGTTTTCGCTCGCTTACGCATCCCAGCCCAATCGCCGTCCTCGAAGGGGGGGCATCATCACTTGAGATCTGCCTCCTCGCGGATCTCAACGGCCTGGGGCTTCCCGCCGTCCTCGATGACGCTCTGCTGCCTCTCAAGTTCGAGCTCCTTCTCCGTAGGGACGACGATACCGACCTCCGTGGCGCGGTGCATGTCCATCCTCTCGCGCTGGCGCAGGTTGACGTAGATCGGAAAGACCATGCCCACGATGTATCCGGTCATGGGGATGAACATGGCGACGTGGGCGTTGTAGCGAGTGACGACGGCGCCCGTCATGGACGGCCACACGGTGCCGCCCGAGATGGCGGCGACAAGCCACGACCCGCCGCGCTTGGTGTGCTTGCCCAGCCCGCGCAGCGACATGGTGAAGATGGTCGCGAAGCAGCAGCTCTCGAACACGAAGACGAGCATCAAAAACGCCACCGAGGTCGTGCCCCGCGTGAGCCCCGCGATCAAGGAGATGATGCAGCACATGCCCAGGTACAGCGTGAGCATGTACCGCGGCTTCACGGCGGGGATCATCATGAGGAAGCCTGCGATGAAGCGGTTGGCCGCGTAGATGCCTTGGGCAGCGGCGAGGAGGTCCGACGCGGTGGCGGCCGAGCGACCGGTTTCTTTGACGAAGTTGCTGAGAGTAAATGCGTTAGATGATTTTGACTTTTCTTTCTATGACATGTAGATTCAAGGGAAAGGGAAACAAGGCTCCGCTTACATGAAATATCCAGCAACGGCGACCTGGGCGCCAACGTAACAGAATTGGCACCACACCCCCAGGAACAGAGTGTACTGCTTGTGCAGCGGTCCAGGGTTATATTCCGCAATGACATGTTCTTGATGATGCATATCTGCGTCCTGGGCACACCGAGTCAGACATGGCGTGCGAGGTAGTCCCTTCGAAGCACATACCGTGATCTCAGGCATAGGAGCCAGGAAGAAGAGAACGATTAACACGCCGACGAATCCAGCGACGCCCAGATATGTCCACTGGACATTCCTCAAGCCTTGGTCGGTGTCGACTGTAGGTCATCGAGTGAGCCACTTGCCGCGGGAGAGTATCGCAAGGAGGGTCGTCCTACCAGTGTGCGCAAAGAACACTCTGCTCGCCAGCAAAGGGGCGACGAAACTACCGACACCTTGCACCGCCTGAGCAAGGTTGAGTCGGATCTCGCTGTATCTCGGTGGCCCACAGATTGCGAGGAATGGGTCGGCAGCGGTCTCCAGCGTGCTCAACCCAGCACCGACCACGAACATGGAGCCGCAAAAGCCACCAAATGATTTTTTGACGCCGCTCGGCCAGAAGAGGAGACATCCAACAGCCAGCACCGCCAGGCCAGTCATGAATGTGATTCTGACAAAAGCAAGGAATCAGCGAGTTGGCCTCGGTAGTCCTGGGCATTCTGCTCTTACCGAAAACCAAACCTCCGCAGAATCCATCCCGAGATTGTAAGAGGGCAGAGGAAATATGCTCCAAAGTAAGCGGCTTGGAGACCGGAAGATCGAGATGCGGTGATATTGAGCGTGGTCTGGAAGTGGCTGTTCAACACATCGAGAAGTCCATACGCAAAGCCCCAGAGAAAGAAGAGGATGGTGACTGATTCACTGTTAGTACCTGCCGCAGACTGTCTTGCTCCCGAAACTGATTGTCAGGAAAAGGAAAATGGTGTATTGGGTGTAATGGTGGCAAGTTTTGTGTTGTCACCGTCGCTCATCATTATCAACCGTTCGTCAAATCCACATACCCAAACAGTTTGGTAAGAATGACTGCCTCAATGTAAGATGGGCAGCGTTTGTGATCTCACCGTCGGAGACGGTGATTTTGCGCTTGTAGAACACCATTTTTGCCGGTCCTCGAAGGATTGACGATACTGTTGCGGGCAGCGACTCGGGCACCGAGAAGGGAATTTTGCAGGAGATATTGAGAGCGTGCAGTCGGGGGCTAGTGACTAGGTCAATGGTTTAATATATGCCGAAACGAGAAATGGTATGTGGCGAGAACTTCCAAGCACCCATCCACAACCTAGTCCTGCTCGACATCACAGGAGAAACATTAAACTCGTAGAAGGCGATGCTGGAACTGGAGACTCCACAAACCTGGGGAGGTTTGTGGGATGTTGGGAGAGAGGCATGGTGGAATGAGGTTAGTGGACTGTGGTGGAGACTATTCGGCCTAATCGCAGCCGAGATAGAGCGAAGCATACCTGGGTCTTCTCCTTTTGAGCGCGAGAGAAGGGGCTTGGAAGTCATTCTCTAGTGGCCGACGGCAAGACAAAGCCGAACTGATCTGCAGTATTTAGCCTGATGGGACGGTAACATGGGCTATTTTTGAGGTGTTGCGCTGCAAGAGGCTGGCACTTGCTCCAGTCTCGGGAGAGCATTGTCCGTCAAGGCTGATCGCCCCTCGACTATTGATGCACCGAACACGACGACATTTTGCGCAGCTGCAGTGTTGATTTCGACACGAGCAGGCCACATGCCATATGCGTGCCCAACGGTCGAATCGCCTTTGAAGTCTTCAAGCTGCCGCACCGGCAAGCTCATGTCTTGGGCGATCGCGTTTCGAAAAGAGAGCAGTGAGTTTGGGCTAGGTTCTGGAATCGACTCGGAGTTAGAAGCACGTGGCAAAAAAAGCGAGGAGCAGACCAGTCAAGCCCAAGGCTCAATGTAGATGTTGTTGTGACAGACAAAGGGTGTAATTCTTCTCCTTGGTGTTGCTCAGAGTGCTATTCTGTAGCAAATAGACGACGACAAACGCACGTCTTAGATCGCCTCATTTCACCCGTTCAAAGTGTTGTTCTCTCGAAACCAGAGATGCTGAGCGCTTTCTATTCGTGCTGCGCCGGCGCTGCTCGAGTCGGTGAAGGATGTAAACCCAAGCTCAACAATTCTTCTTTTTCCCGACCTTGAACGAAGGACTCCAAATCCCAAACCATGTTCTGTTATGGAATAGATCTCGGTTTGCCAAGGCCAGCCATACAAAGTGGCAGTGTTGTTGCTACTCTTCACTTGCAGATTTCCAGCTTGTCGCCCCTGGCCAATAGCCTCAACTGGGACCAGTCACGGTCGCTGGGCCTGCTGTTGGACTGCATCTTGGGACCGTGACAGTGGTCGCATTGTCCGCAGTCACAGTGGTGGTGAATGTCATCTCCTGGACCGAGACGTTAACTAGAAATTCGGTAGGGGATGACTCGGATGACATGTCAAAGCGAGACGCTATAGTGTCGGGGGTGGGGGGGGCCATACCACAAAGACGTGGCCATATGGAATGACAACGACGGTACCGCAGCCATGGCAATCATAGACGCGAGACGTGTAGGTGGTAAGGGAATAGTAAGTGCTTGTCGGGCCACCTTGGATGACTGGTGCGGTGTAAGCAGTGGTGGTGCAGTGCGCAGCTTCTGTCAAGGTGCTGGTGTGCGTGCTGTCAAAAGTCAGTTAACTCAAACGTTGAATACACAGGCACACACGCTTGGTTTGCGTACCTGAGGATGGGCATCCCCGGTGCTTGAGCTTGGGTGATGATAGTCGTCGACCAAGCGAGCACCGCCAACAGTCCGAACAGCATTTTCACTGTGCTTGTCCTGGGGTCAGAGTCGAAGGGTAATTCTTGAGCAAGTCGATTGCTGGATACGTGGAAATGTCTTCAAGCAGAAAAGAATCGAAACCAGGGAGGAGAAGGGGTCAGTAAGATGAGAAGATTCAAAAGACCCAGAGGGGCAAGGCCTGACGGTAACACCTTTCTAGCCAGCGGCAAGAGTAAGTTGAAGAGTCCTTGAAGATATGTGAAGGGACGCCAGCCCTGGTTTTGGCGCGCTAATTGCGTCCGACGGTCCGGTTCAAGATGTTGAGGGTGCAGTTAAGTTATGATGGTTGATGTTGCCGGGTCGCAGAGAAAAGATCAGCAGATGACTTCTCAGCTAGACCCGACCAATGTTCACTGTTCAACAATCAGGTTTCCTTGTGTTTTGCATTAAATTGTCATTTGTATCATGTGGCCTTTGACCCTAGCTTTTAGTCATGCCAGAAAGAGAGGTGTTAGTGTACAAATGCGTCCATCGAGCATTCATTGTGAGCTCGGAAATGCTGCGCCTAGTGATATAAGCCAGCCCAGAGAAAGTAAGTCGTATGCGTCTCGTTCGTCAGTGTGAACCAGAAATTAAATGCAGCAATATTCATTACGGCTTCTGTTCTCCTCCGCTATTCTCCGTCCTTCCTCAATGGAATTCCATTCATCTCCATTCATCTTCATTCACCTCCGTTCAGATCGATTTGTTCAAATTCGCGTTCCAATTTCAGGCACTGAGAGGAATCCAGAAAGGACCTGGTCCGTGTTGCGTTTAGTCCTCTTCGCCGACCTGACCAAGTCAGCACGTGCTTTTAGGCTTCGCTGTCATCACCAACTCGGAGAGTTCCTTGGCTGCCAAAGCCTTGAGACCAGAATCCTTCAAGTGATGGAGATCTACAATCGATTAGCAATGTTCCGAACTCAATCCATCAATTCAACCTACGTGCTTGACATGCTGTCGTGGGTGAAGAGAAGCCAAAAACCGAAGACCTGTTGTACATTAGCGAATACCTCAGGAAGGAAGTTGAGAGACCTCACAGGCTTGGCAAGAATATCGAGGACCGCATAAGCGATGATCTCGGAGTTGACATTAATGACATGGCCACCCTCAGCAAGACCCCAGACACTGTCATTGGTAAGTAAGTGGTTATGGCATAACGGTGGTGGACTCACATTGGGTAGAGGACCCAAATAATCAAGGTGTACCCCGCAATTGAAGCATAGAAAGCCTTGGTCTTGCTGTCCTTGTTGGCAACGGCCTCACGACCGTTAACAGCAAGTTGATAGACAATGACGAGGAAGGCAATGCAAGCCCAGACAAACCAGCCCCATTTCTTGCTGTCGTGGGCCTGGCCAAAGGCCGCAAATAGTCCGCATAGAACCATGACGACATCGGCAAAGACGGCGACCAGGATATTGGCACCACTGAGACCGGCAAGGAGGGTGAGGTCAAGAAGCAGGAGAGGAGTTGTGATGGTCCAGTCCACATATCTTGCCCAATAGACTTCACGTCGGTACTCTTGGTGGGTATCTGGGATTTTCTTGTGCTGTTCGGTAATAGTGTATGAGACAAATGTGGTGCCGTCACCCGTAGCCATAGCAAAGTAAGACAGGAAGGCAACAGTGGTGATGAAAGAGGTCAAAATGTGGAAGAGCCGTTTTTGCTGCGTCCATGCTTGTCAGACCAGATCTGAAGGTGAAGTGATGGACAGGGAGACTCACCACGGTGACACGGAAAGCCATGGCATAGAGGGCAATAGACGAAATGGCCATGAGCACAACGACAACCCTAGAAGAGTGTAAACTATCCCAATCCCCCTTGGAGCGAGATGGAGCCCTACCACAGAGTTCTCTTGCCCACATCACCGGCCTCGACGTAGGTGGGAGGAGTCGGGATCACGGTCGGGATGGGAGCCACCGAAGTGGAAGCCGTAGCGGCGGTGGTCTTCAGCATGTCTGGATGGACAATCATATTGCTGGCAGCGGATGTAGCGTTACAGAAGAGTATGCTGGAGTGCCAAACGGTGAGGTTGGTGGTGAAATGTGACAGGAAAGTCGAAGAGAGAACCGAAGACTACGATTGCTCTGTTGAAACGTTGGTGAGATGAAAGAAGGAAAGAACAGGATTTGATTTTCAAGGCAGCAGTCAAAGACGTCAAAAGGAAGCTGTGTCCAGGTGCAGCTGGGGGAGCAGAGGCCAGGGATTGGTGGATGCAAAACAAAGTGATGGAATGGTAAGAGAGAAAGCATCAATGACGAAGGTACATTGCCGCCCCTGCCGCCCACAGCCAGCAGCACTCATTGGAGAGGGGGAGGGCGGCATCATTTTTTTTAGTGTCATACCACCACAGCTTGACTCTGTGAGGAGGACAAGCTGCCGTGTGACCAGATGGGGGTCCAGACGCCTTGACGCCCTGATTGAACTGTGGAGTGAGTGATGGAATGAAGGGGTCAGTGAGAACATTGCGTGCAACAGAGTTGTGCAGTTGTTGCGGGGTAGGCTCACTAGGCGTACCTCTAGCAGCAGTAATACTCGGTAGGACACCCAAGACACCCAGGACACCCTGGCACTTGGCATCACTAGCCATACTTGGAACCCTAGAGCCCTCTAGCTGCGGCTCCACCCGCCGCCAATGACACGCCGCACAGGCTTCTGCATCCAACGGTGAGCACAAGTCGCAGCACGAGAGGCTGGCAACATCATGCCATTGCTCCATCGAGCCCCTTGAACCCAGAGGCTTAGCTGGATGTTGTGTAAGAAAGATAATACGGCGTACATGGAAAGCTACCGGAAACTTGCGGCTCACTTCCTTGTTGGACGAGCTTGGACGAGGAAGTGTCGAGGAGACGTTGTGGCTGCCTGTGGTGGATCTGCTGGTAGTTGATGACGTCGATGGGATGATGGTCCATATTTGAGGAGCTCTGTGACCAAGTTTGGTACCCAGTACATCCAAAACTGCTGCCACCGCCATGTCCACAATGTGACTCGACATCATCATTTTGTACCTCCTCTTCTTTTGCCTCCAAATAAATATCAAATCTCCCAACGACCTGGTTGGTGCTGGTGCCGTTGGTGCCCGTGGTCGACATGTCCTCGATGTCCCAACCCGAGTTCCTCTTAGTCATTCAGACAGCCCACAGCCATGTCCCTACCCCGCAAAACAAGGAGGCATTGAGCGTCCACCAATGAACGGCCCAAGCAGGTGCGGCGTTGATGGCGCTGCACGTCAAGCTCTAGTCGGCTTACTCGGTACAAGTCTCGCAAGATCCCATGACACCCCCTTGTCACTCCCGGCCAGCACTCAGCAAATAAATTCCCCCAGAATTGGCGCTGCGATCGGATCAGAACACGAACAACCTGCATGATGGCGATCTCGTGCTTCGACTTTGTCAAGTCTCCCCCACGCCAATAAACAAAAAAAGTCCATCTGAGGTGTCGCTTGGGTTTACCGTCTTCTGCGCACTTCTCCGTACGTACTTTGTCTTAGCATGCGATGTGAAAGGGAAGCATCTGGCAGAGCAATTCAAGATGGATTGGATTATTGGTACAGTGGTTGGTGAGTGGATATCTGCCCAGCTAACTTGCACATCTATAACCTTCATGTCTGGGATGTTGTAACGGCATCGGTACACCGGTCACAAAGTATGAGAGCCTCGTGTATTTCCGGCTTCGTCTTCTGTTCCTGCGGTTCAACCACATATCTCCAGCAGCGGTCGCATTTGAAACCATGAGGACTCTTGACAATCACCGTCCCTATTTGCTCACCTTCAGGCGAGACAACATCACTTGAGAATGACCAGTCCGGGCGAGGTTCTGTGTTCGGATCTGGCTGAGTTGTTTCGCCCGCTTCTGTCGGGATAATCTCCACAGATGACACAACCAGGAGTTCCTTCCAAGTATCTTTCGGGATGCTTGAAAGGTCAATCCTCTTCTGCAAATATATCGAAACATCCGACGCGAGCGACTGACCCATGAGTTTCTGCGTGCGCGCTGTCTCTTGTGCCGCCTTGACGCTCGAGTTGATAGACGTGATATAGGGCAACAAAGTCTCGAATGACTGGTCGTGCCACTCCTTTGGCAGATGTGACCATATTCGTCTCAACGGGTGCTCGACCGTCTTCTTGTATCTTTCTGGGCTATGATCCCAGCTTTCTTCGACCAGCAACGGTGTAATTGGCCCAAGCATGTGCTGGAGTTGACATAGAATGTGATGGAGTGCAGTCTGCGCACTCAAGCGCCTAGAAGTCAGAGGCGTATCGCAGTACAGCACATCCTTGATGGCCTCAAAGTAGAAGCTCGAGAGATCAGTCGCCACCCATCGGTATATAGAGCCCGAGGCTTTGTGGAATTCCATGTCTGCGTAGGCTTTGCGCACCGACGTATAGGTCAGATGAAGGTGGTGCATTGCAATTTGATCCAACCGAGACATGCGCTCGTACGGGACAGCCATCTGAGGATCGAAATCCGCTAGCATGCCTAGCAGCATCTTCAAGGTCAGGCGGTACTTGTCGAGCATATTGTGGACCGACGACACTGCTTTTTCGCTGATCACCACATCCTTTGTCCACTCACTGGACGCAACCCACAACCTCAGGGCGTCTGGCCCAAGCGGATGAACTTCGCGCTTGTGCTTTGTTTGTTTCACAGGAGCCCCGAACCCCGACATGATTTGGTTGGGGGCAATCACGTTGCCTAGCGATTTGCTCATCTTCTTGCCTTGGGCGTCCAAAGTGAAGCCATGGGTTGCTAAAATGCGGAATGGAGCGTGTACCCGATGTGATGAAAGAGACCCGGAATCAGAGGTTGATTGGAGAGATTTCTGATACGCAATGTTCGTGAGCAAGCTTGACTGAAACCACCCTCTATGCTGATCAGTGCCTTCGACATAGACATCCGCCACTGGCGTTGGTTGTGACCGAGAGCCGCCAGACGCAAGATCTTCCTTGAGCATCAAGGTCCAGCTTGTTCCACTGTCAAACCAAACATCCATCGTGTCAGTGCCTCGAACGTAGTCTGAAGCGCTCCCTGGCAATCCTGGAACAATCCAACCGCTGTCATCTTGAGCATTAGACCACCAAGCATCAATCCCGCGCTCGTTGATGGTCTTGATGATGTGTTCGATACTGTGGGTTGTGAGGATTGCTTCACCCGTGTTCTTGCGGTAAATAGCCGGAATCGGAACGCCCCAAGCCCTCTGCCTGGAGATGCACCACTCACTCCGGTTCTCAACAAAGCTCCGCAGCCGTGCTTTGCCTGTCTCTGGAAGAAATGTCACAGCGTCGAGAGAGTTGAGGGCGTCGTTTCTGATCTTGGAAACGTCCGCGAACCATTGGGCGGTCGCACGGATGATGACTGGCTCTTTGGTCCGCCAGTCGATGGGATATTTATGCATGTAACTATGCTGGTGGACAAGAAGATCGTTGGCTCGCAGAAGTTGGAGAATGGTGTCGTTGCCTTTTTTGAACACGTCTCGTCCAGCGAGGAGACTAGGATCTTCGGGTGACGCTGTATCATCAAAGCGCCCAAGATTGTCGACAGGAGCTTTGACGGACACAACAGAGGCTTTGATCAAGGGCTGTAAAGCGTCGTAATCCTCCATACCATGGCCTGGAGCGCAGTGCACAAGACCCGTACCACTATCTGCCGAAACAAAGTCTGCGTGGACGATAGGCCGGTTTGCTGCTTCTCTCCCAAATTGCTGCAGGCCAGAGTAGGTGCTCTGCAAGAGCAGATCCAGAGGGAAGTTCGCCATGACGACTTCCACGCTCTCGCCAATGCACTCTTGAAGGTACATCAACCTCGACTGGGCCACGAGCAGCGTGCCATGAGTGTCCGACTTGACCAGGCAGTACGATAAGGATGTGTTGACTGCGATTGCTTGGTTTGCTGGAAGAGTCCAAGGCGTAGTGGTCCAAATCAACGCATGAACAGGACCATCAGTGAAGGGTTCAATGTTGTCCAAGCGGAACTTGACCAAGGCTGCAGTAGAGACATGGTCATCGCGATATTCCAACTCGGCCTCCGCGAGAGCAGTCCCGGAGGAGGGAGACCAATAGACAGGTTTATGTTTGCGGAATATCAACCCATACTGAGCCATGGCTTGGAACACAATCAACTGTCGCAGCTCAAAATCTTTTTGCATTGTCTTCCAATGATTGGCCCAGTCGCCCATCACAGCCCAGGATCGGAAACCGGCCATCTGCTTTTCCACAGTCTTGTATGCAAACTTTCTTGCGGCATTTCGTATCGAGACGGGATCAACACCTTGTCCCCGCTCCCAGCCGTGCATTTCCAAAGCTTTGAGCTCAATTGGTAGGCCATGGCAGTCCCAGCCGGGTACATAGTCCACCCTTCGGCCTTCAGCTAGCCTGGAGCGACAGATAATATCCTTGATGATCTTGTTGAGAGCATGTCCGACATGGAGGTCTCCATTCGCATAGGGCGGCCCATCGTGGAGGATAAAGGTGTCTGAGGCAGGCCGTTCCTGGCGCTGCCAGGAATAAAGGTCATCTGTACATCTCGGAAGATATTTGGCAAGGTCGGAGGGCCTCGGTCGCGGCGGAAACGTCGAGGAGGGAAGATGCAGTGTGCTCTTCAGAAGTTTGGCTGCATCTTTCAGAGGTGCTGGCATATCACTTAGATACCATACCAACAAACCAGGACCGTGACAAAAACACAACCAGCCACCCGCGGGTCTGCAAAACAACTCCGGACGAAGGACTGACGGAACTGAGGAGACAAACTACTTGTAGTCCTTTGGAGGGCAGCTAGATAGAAACCAGTGCCAAGCACGAAAACGCGGTTGGGATCACTTGCGTGAAGATGCGCAGCCGGCTCAGGGCGGAGCATATTGTCCCGGAGTGCAGTCCAGACCAAGCGAGCGAGGCAATTATGTAATGCTCACAAGAGTCTCGACTTTGCATCAATCTCTCCGGGCCACGCAAAAGTTTTGTGGGCCAACGTGTCGTTCTTGGGTAATCCTAACTGGCTACACGGCGGCTTTTTCAGCTTTTGAATCAGACTGCTCATTTCAATCACGCTTGGGTAGATAGTGGGCCCCAAGGGCAATTCTGCGGTATACGCAACGTGCTTTGGATTGAGATAAGAAAGATTGAGAGCTCGGCAATAACATCACACAGTTCAACAACACAAGGAAGATGCTTAGACTCGGACCACACCTGGCGGATCGAATGCAGAATCCAACACCAAACGCCCTCGCTAAAGTAATGCCACCACGATGCAACCCCTTGGATTCCCCCTTGGAGACATGAAAGACAATCGGATCTTGGTCAAGATTTCTCTGAATTCGATGCTTTCGATTGAATCAGACCGCTGGTCGGAGATACCCTCGAGGCCCATTCCCTGATCAAAGTTAGCAGATATACTTGGGGTTAATGGTTTTCAACGACACGTACGTCCAACTGCCGTCGTACAGTCTCCGATCTTGCTCTGAGCCGTAGTCGGCTTCCTTGAGGGCGGCCTCGATGATGGCTGCGGTCACACCAGTGCCACAAGTGGTGATGAACGGTGTTTTGGGGTCGAGTTTCTTGCTTTCAAAAACCTTTTTTAACTCCTCCGGAGGAAGCATCGTCTTCGTCTCAGGATCCAGCAATTCCTGGAAGGGTAGGCTAGTTGACCCAGGCATGTGTCCACTTCTGATCCCGGGTCTGGGTTCTGGTTCGGTACCCTCCCATCTCCCTTTGGACCGAGCGTCAAGTATATGAATGTCTTCTGAGCCCTCCTTTCCATAGTCGTAGCCTATTGTTTTCATCTCTGCAAATTTCACCACCATGTCCGTATTGTACGCCGGGACCGGATACTTGGTGATGTTGGGAACTTCTGGAGGACCAATCTCGATAGGGTAGCCTTCCTTGACCCAGAGACGGAAGTTGTTGAGGACGTGGACTTTGGGGTGACCGTAGACCCGCATTGTCCATGCCACGCGGGGAGCAGAGAACAGCCCAAGCTCTTCAGTGTCGTAAACAACCACTTCATCCTCTCGTCTGACTCCCATCTTGGACATTGCGTCGGCAAAGGCATCGCAGGTTGGGAGCATGTGTGGCCATTCCGATTCCTGGTCTTTTACCTCATCAATGTCAAAGAAGCGGGCAGTAGGTATTCTCTTCTCAAGAAAAACCTGGAGACCAGTCCTCTTCTCGGGATCGTTGGGCATGAACCAAGCGGCACAGATGGGGATGACTTTGGGCGCCGTAGATATGGCAGTAGGAGCATTCTTCTTGAGAGCTTCGTCGAGCTCTTTGGGTGTGACAAGGTAGGAGGAGAAGCCACGGGGCCGCATGATGGACATGCGATGGAGATGACCTGGATACCGAGGGCGACGAACTCCGCACCGCCAAAGACGCAGGAAGCCTAACGACGCGGTCATTCTGTTCGGGATATGTAGATCATATCATCTTTGCGTGAGGGCCAACAGGAAATTGGACCATGTCTGTGAACAGGGAAGAGGACAGAGTAGACTGTACCGAGTAGGGAAAGAGAGAGATAATGAGCATGAGTAACAAGCCTGAGTCGTTGCTGGATGGTTTCATATCTAAGCTCCGAGCTTTTCCTTTGCTACTCCGCATCTGACGTAGTAGCTTAATGTCCTTGTACTGGTAGACCAACTCCAAGACCCGCATCGGCGGACAGGAGAATTTTGACGCGACACTCTCCACGCGACAAGCATGTGACAAGCCCTAGATTGATGGGTTAATCGCTACTTGTACACAAATATTGCGCTTAACTCGCTAGATGTAGTCCTGCAGAATACTACCAGACACCTACGTATCAAGCTGAACTAGACCACTACCTTCAGACGCGCACCGAAGCTCTACCCGCAATGAAGGTCAAGATCAAGACATGGCACGCTGTGGCCACATGGCGATGGGACATGCCCGAGGACGAGGTCTGTGGCATCTGCAGAGTGCAGTTTGACGGCACTTGTCCTGCGTGCAAGTTTCCTGGCGACGAATGCACCCTTCTCATGGGGAAGTGCGGTCACTCATTCCACATGGTATGTCGGCCGATCTATAGCTTTCTAAAATCCCGCTCACCTGGACAGCACTGTTTGTTGACGTGGATACAACAAGAGTCTGCAAAGGGTCTCTGCCCAATGTGCCGCCAGAGTAAGCACCAGTCAACCTGCTAACACATTCCAAATGCTAATGCCAGCAGAATTCGAATGGAAGGACGGCAATGGTCAACAGGCGGCGGCAGCGGCAGAGACGAGATGAACGCCACAACCGATTCCAAAGATGCCCCCTTCGAATCGAGACGGGTATTTGATCGTTAGGTGGAACATCATTATCTCAACACGGAACTACTCTCTCGGCGACACGCCTTCGGACACATCAGTCGCACCAAAGTATTTTACTTGAGTTGAGCCTTAAAAGCTCCTACAGAACTGGAGCCTATGTCCTTGCTGACCGCAAACGCGAACCACCGATCACGGAATGGGCATACTATGTACTCGGCGACAAGCGGAAGGACTGTCTTGTCAAGGTAACAGGTCAAGTTTATCCACACGGACGACTTCGATTTGCTTGCGCAGAGCAGACCTCCCTTCGTGGGCTGGGTCTTTTGTCATAGTAAATGGCAGGCGACCTTGAGAACGGTATTCGATAATTTGATACTGGTGAGCTGGAAAAGGGGCCCGCGTCCGTCGCGTTACGCCTCCATTGTTACTTTTAGTATGACTCTTGCGGCAGCACTGAGTTCGGCTTTCTTCTTCATTCTAATACGTGTTCAGAAGAGGATTTCAGGCGCGACGGCCACCTGCCTGAGCTCGCCGCGCATCTCATCGAGTCAAAGGCGCCCGCAAGCAAGGGAGCCACAGCTCTGTTGTTGTAGATGTCAAGTGAAGGATCTCGTCGTTAACATTAGTGTTGCTCTAAAAGCAGCAGGATTCCGTCCCGTCTGTTTCCCGAAGCCTAGGCCTAGTTGCAGCAGGTACTTTAACCGCAGTCTCGGTTAGCTTGTTACTGTACTAGTAGCCGTTGTGGTGCTTGGCCTTCCACCTCGCGGTCGTAAGTTTGTCACTCCGCAAACTTGGATCATAGGAAATATTCTTCCAACACAATCTACCTAATCCCGGTTCTCCAAACAAACTATTTCCTGGAAAGCAAGCCCTTGACACATCAAAGGAGAATCTGCCTCTCGACCCCCAACCAGCCGCATCATCTTTTTCCTGCGCTTGTGCTGAGTTGCTCTGTAACAATTCCTCTCTGAGCCGAGTCTCGCGCACATTGAGAAGAGCAGGGGATCGAAGATCTCAGAGTTAGTAGCGTCAAGATGGATCAAGCGGCTACGCAGCCTCGGAAATGCCCCGGTCTAAATTGTGAAAATGATGCATCATCTCTACAGTGTCCCAAGTGCAAAGAGATGGGCGTTGACAGCTTCTTCTGCTCACAAGACTGCTTCAAGCGGAGTTGGGTAGGCTGACCTCTGGTCTTTTGTAAGAAAGACTATGACCTATGAAGAGAATAGAGGTCGCTGATTTTCCTCCCAGGCCGAACACAAAGTCCTCCACAAAAGTACGAACCCTTTCCGAAATTTCATTCCCCCAAAGGTTGTGGCTAAGGTTGATCCAGAAAGCGGTCACTTTAACCCATTTCCTACCTACCCATTTACCGGTCCTTTAAGGCCTGTATATCCTTTGTCTCCGAAGCGGGAGATTCCAAAGTCAATACCGCACCCGGAATGGTCGCAGGACGGAATACCCAGATACCCATATGTTCGCAAAAATAACGTCCAGATCCTTGACGAAAAGGGCATCGCGGGCATGCGCAAGGTTTGCAGACTAGCTAGAGAAGTGCTTGATATCGCTGCCGCTGCTGCAAAACCCGGAGTGACGACAGATTACATTGATGAGATTGTTCACAATGCTTGCATAGAGCGCAACGTGGGTTGGGCCCTACCGACTTTCCGACAAGGGCTGACACTTATGTATAGTCATACCCCTCGCCACTGAACTACAACCACTTCCCGAAGTCCGTCTGCACATCTCCGAACGAAGTCATCTGTCACGGCATTCCCGACCAGCGAGTTCTCCAGGATGGCGACATCCTTAACATTGACGTCACGCTGTATCACGAAGGTTATCACGGCGATCTGAACGAGACATACTATATTGGCGACAAGGCCAAAGCTGATCCAGACAACGTCCGCCTCGTAGAAACCACCCGCCAATGTCTGGAAAAGGCCATTGAGCACGTCAAACCTGGCGTCAAAATCGGCGACTTCGGAGACATCATCGAGAAACATGCCAAAAGCCAAAATCTCAGTGTAGTCAAGACCTATTGTGGCCACGGCATCAACTCCCTGTTCCACTGCGCTCCAAATGTGCCGCACTATGCGAAGAACAAGGCGGTAGGAAAATGCAAGGCGGGCATGACCTTTACGATCGAACCGATGATCTGCTTGGGCAGTTACAAGGACAAGACATGGCCGGATGACTGGACCGCGGTCACGAGTGACGGAAGTCGCTCTGCCCAGTTTGAGCATACATTATTGGTCACGGAGGATGGAGTCGAGGTCCTGACTGCCCGGTTACCAGATTCGCCAGGGGGTCCAGTCCCTACGCCAGGTTCCGAAGCGACGAATGGACAAGTTACTGGGGATGCTGCGAAGGCTTGAGACTACCAGTTGAGATTGGTGGTGGTGGAATGCGCTAGTGTTTGGACGATTTGGTGCGGAATCGTATGCGGTCGGTGCTCACGATACAGGTCCTGAAACAATCAAGGATGCCCCAGAGACTCCAATAACCAGGTGGATGTCCATGGATTTCCAGGACATCCTCGGTGGCGTGCAAGAACACCAAGACAGACCTAGAGCCTCCAGTTTGCCGAGCATCTGTCGCCTGACCTAGAGAACACAGCTGTTGGAGAGAAATGTCTGGTAGAGTATCTTTTTTTCCGATGTCCACGGGAGTGTTAGCTAGAATGCTATTGCTGTTCTCGGTTTCGCCGAGCGAGACAGGTTGCGGGGATATTACCATTTCTGTACACCTTACCTAGGTATGTCTATGAAAGACTGCGGTGATAGCTGCGGTCATCGAAGACTCATGTACACATCCTCTCACATGGATCCATCATGTATAATTAGTGATGGGCCAGGACTACGGTACAGGGTACTGTGTACAGGTCCATGTGACGAGGCTGCGCAAAACAGGGGTTTGACGAGGTCACGCCCACGAGCCACAGCTTGGCTTTGGGCGGCACTTGCCACACTTGGTCCATCCTTGCCCATCGCAATCTGGCACATGGAACTGCGCAGTTGCAGCTACAGCCCTCAGTCAAAATTCTTCCAAATTTGCCATCTCTTTACTTAGACGCGCTTTGACCATGCCATCGACATGTCAGATCAGAATTATCGGAAGCCTTTATTCCTGGCCTTAGCTGGGGCTGTCGCCCTCACTGTGGCCTATTATACCTACACGCAATATGCGAAGCCCCCCCGGACAGAACCCTCCTCTCTCCATCGCAGCAATGCCATTCGCAGACCGAGGAATAGAAGGCGCTGGCGTCGTGGCTTCGAGCAAACGAGCCTCGATCACGATCCAACTGAGCGAGCACTCGAACATCTGGAACTGCGAAATGCAAACAGACAAGGATATGGAGAATACGAGAACAAATGGTTCTTTTCTACACCAGAGCACACACAAGGGGTGGATCTGACGCTGATCCCGTGTAACTTGAGCTCTATTAACGACTACCTCCTGCAGTCCCCGCCGCAGCTGCTACCCGATCGACAAGAGGTCATCCTCTGGCATCTCCACGGCACCTTTGTCCAGAACTTTCTGCTGGAGGAATATCCAGAGGGTTATATCATCGGGGATGATATTTGGATGCTCGCACAGGCCATGGAGCGCCTTGGAGTTGCCCCAGAGAGTGTCTTCCAAATAGCGAAAGCACATGACGAGGGGATGCTCATTTACGCCCCTGAATGGACCCCATCATTTCCCGCTAGACCCGGTCCCAATGGCAGAATCCCCCCTGTACAGACTGACGGTGCCATGGATCATGGTGGTTTGGCCCCTCGCGAGGCGCTCCAGGCGTTGGCGGATCCCGACGATGCGCATAGCGACATTTCTTCAGGTAACAACGGGGAGGATCCCGAAGGGAGCCAAAACATGCTTGATCTCCTTTACCATATCGCTGGCGAGCAGGCACGACGAGAAGGCTACATCCACCGTGGTGTCGAGTGTAACAGCTGCGGCATACATCCCATTCGAGGCATTCGCTATCACTGCGCAAATTGTTTCGACATGGATCTCTGCGAAAGCTGCGAGGCTAGCTCTTCACATGGGAAAGGTCATGTCTTTTACAAGATCCGCATCCCGGCACCATCACGCGGAAACATCAAGCAGGTCACCCCTGAGTGGTATCCTGGCACCCCCAGCGCATTTCTCTCTTCTCTGCCGATGAGTGTGTCTAAGCCATTGCTCGAAGAGACCAGAATGGAGCGCACCGAGATGGATGCGCTGTATGAGCAATTCAAATGTCTTGCCGGCCATTACTTTCCCGCCGATCCGACTGGCTTGGGGTGTGCCATTGATCGAAAGGGGTTTGATGCATACTTCATCCCTTCAACCGGAGACAAACCTTCGCCGGCGAATTTGATCTACGATCGAATCTTTGCGTTCTATGACACGGACCAAAATGGCCTCATTACCTTCGACGAATACATACGCGGCCTTGCGCGCCTGCAGGACAAGAGCCGATATGCGAGGCTGAAACGCATTTTCGAGGGCTACGATTTGGATTCAGATGGATACGTTGATCGCAAGGACTTTCTTCGTATGTTCCGAGCGTATTACGCATTGAGCAAAGAGTTGAGTCGGGAAATGATCAACACCCAAGAAGATTTTGGGTACAACGAAGAAGAGATCCGAGAAGTCGTCCATGGGAGCCAGCCCATCAGTGCTGCTTTTGGCGGAGGCACTCTTTACGGCCACGAATCTCGAACAGGCCAGGGTAAGCAACGTCAAGCGGATGGAGATCTGCAACTTTCGAACGGCACAAGTGGCGTCCTGCAACCTGACGGGGATATGAGCGGAGATCGTGCCCGAGCTATCGGAAATGCTGCACTTGGTGATCGGACCCGGAACCACCCGTTCAGATCGTTCAGACAGGAGCCTCCGGAGGATGAGCCGCTGATGTTACTCCCAATAGGAAGCAATTTTATGCAGTCGGGCATGGAGCAGGATGAGGTGACCGAAGAAGAACTTACTGGTCCCGATGCCCCATTGCAGACATATGCTTGGCCCCCAATCCGGACACCAGAGCTTCAGGATATCACCGAGGCACTTGGACAAGAGGTACCTCTAGATGAAATAACAGATCCGGTTGACAGGACCAGGGTCCTCTTTGCCCAGTCGCAGCGTCTCGATGCCGAAGGGGACCGAGCAGAGGAAATGTCACGTGCGAGAGCTGTTGAGGAAAGGTGGCGCCGAAGACAATTCTATCTTGATCGCGAGGAAGGCTTGACGAGACCACCAGGCTACACTGAACCCGACAGTTCAGATGAGGAGGACGACTTATCGGAACACAAAAAGAATGGTCGGAACGACGCCAGTCCTCGGAGAGCATCTATGGCGTCAAGATCATCTTCCAAAGTCCGGTTTGATGATAGTGCCATCGACGGAGACTGCGAAACGCGCTCAAATGCTTCATCTCGTAGCATTCCTGTCAATGAAAGATGGGGCGGCTACGAGCTCGGCCAGGCCGAAGCAGACATTGGCAAAGACATCCTCTACCAAGCTGTCCAACAAGGGTTCAACGAGTTGCTTGATGTGCTATTCAAGGACGCGGAAGACGAGCACATGGCTGCAAAGCAGACAGCTGTTGATCGACATCGCTTCGAGTACGAAAGACAACAATTCGAGGAAATGCTTGATGAACTGGATATTGCAATCGATGAGGCGGAAGAAGCTGTGATTGAGAAAGTAAGACGGAGGAGAGAGAAGGAAGAGGAGCAGAAGCAGTTGGCTCTGATTGATGCTGCCTCCGTCCCGAAACTGGGCAATGAAAGCTCAATTCCGCAAGATTCCGAAGATCATATAGGACTGATGTTCGGCTCTCAAGGTCTGTCCGGTCAAAGGGTAACCCAGAGTTCTTCCACTGAAACAAACGGTTCTTACCGTGACCCGACGCTACCCCAGTTTCGGCCTGACGAATCGGAACCAGCAAGTCCAGCTTCAATTGTGTACCCGGATCCGCCCCAGGCCCCGCCCTTGTTTTCGGAATTTGGAACCCCAAATCCATTTGAAGACGATCCAGAGAAGGCTCTCAAAAAATATTACCTCTGGCTCCGACATGATGAGATCGATGACGAAGCAGACCGCCGAGGTGGCCCGGGAAAGCTCAGCTTTACAGAGTTTGCACGCAAAATGGTGTCTGAAGATGAGACGACCAAGGCTTTAGGGGACAGAGACAAGAGCAAAGGCAGCGGCAAGGACCGAGATATGTGGGAGAGCAGTGCTGATCTAGGCAGGCTGGCCTTTGTGGGCACTTGGTTGGAGATGGCTAGTTTTTAGCGATACGGTAGCTTGGTGCTGGAGGACTCACCGTGCTTTGATGCTTTAAATTGTATTATAAATAAGTCCATGATGGCATGACCAGGTAAAAGTATGATACCCAAGGAGTTTCTCTGGAGCAGAAAATTCGTTGTTACATAGGTAGGAGGCCCTAACCGGATTGAATTTTAGGCCAGTTTGTTCCAAGGACCTCCCGGTTCGTCGTAATCTCCATTATATGCGAGGCATGTTGTGTGTGTACGGAGTGTTCTGGAGTTGACGTGGTGGACTCCTTACGGCCATGTGCCAACCTTGAGCTCACGGCGCAAGGCTGCGAGACGGACCGGACGTTTTTCCATGTCCGACTTGGCGTTTCCCGAGCCAACCTTTACTACTGTCCTTGACGACCCTTGGAGAAATCAATCCGTTATTAAGCTGCGACTTTGCGAGAACCACTTCATACGCATGGACTGCTGCCACCTTCGAATCACGAGAGACCCATTTCTGTGCTGCGGGTTGCTGATTGGGTTGTAAGAATGACAGAGCGCGAGCAGATTGTGGCCGTTCAGATGGCGTCAGCTGCACCCCGTGACAGCAGGCTGCGATGAGAGCGCTCGAGACATAGCCGCCACGCCACATTGCAGGCCTCTGATCTCCTTGTACTCGGCCCTCTGCCCCAGCCAGGAATCCTCGAATATTATGGGCGATCAGACCTCTAGAGTGATGTTGACCGCCGTGAAACGCGAGCGAATGAGGCCACTGCACGAGACAACGTTCGAAGCTCTGAGTGGTCAGAACCAAACAGGCCCCTGATGTTGAGTATCAAAATCCCGTGCCATCTGGCACGCCAGCAATGAGGGCAGTCGATTTATACCGCCCACCTGGACTTCCGCAGGCGTTTGTGCTGATGATTTTTGCTTCAACATGTCTCTCTTTACAGATCTGTTCTTGAGCTACAAAGACAAGTGGGTAGCACAACACTCTTTTACAACTAGGAATGGCCCATATTACGCACCCGTGGGTGGCAATCCGCCGGCCGCGGAATCTCAGGCGGCAGAGGTGGATCGCTGGAGTCGGCTTCACGGGAGGTATACGCCAACAGTGCAGCTGTGGGAAACCACATTCTCGAAATTTTGATCTGTGCCTTCTCTTGCCCCGGCACAGGTTCGGCTCTAGTCGATTCAATACCGTCTTCTTGTTGTTGTTCCGACTATTCTACCATGCATCTTCCTTCGAAGTCGCCCACACCGGTTACCCAAAAAGACTCTACTTGCCACTTTTCTCCGAGACAGTGTCGAAGTCTCCTGAAGAAGCCAGGGACGAAAACCCCCTCAACACCCCTGCAAATCAAGGGCTTCCAGACTTATTCAAGACTTTCAAGCGCTTCTCGACGAAAGAATGGTTGGAGACGCTGCTCCAAGACCCCTCCGAATTCAAGAACCTCAAGGTCAACTCAATCACGTGGATCAAGGCTCTCGCCTCCCCGTTCTCCCATGAATTCATTCAGTTCATCGTCGAGGACTCTGTCAGCCGCCAACGGACGCGTATTGCCGCTGGCCGAGAAGAAACCGGAGACTGGGTCCTCGTCGGCTGGAATTGGGCCTCGGGAGACACGCCATCCCATCATTATAACCTCCCGCTGCCACTCCTGTCGGTCACTTTCGAGGATCCCAACAAGAAACCGGACTTGCGAGCGCTGGCTTACGTGCTGTCCGCGACGACGGAAAAGCATCCTGCCTATAAATTTCGGAGAGAAATGTGCTGGTGGTATGCCGAGACTGTGTTGGAGGTGATGCATGAGCAATTTGGTGGGAAGGTCAAGGAATGGGAGTGGTCGAGGTATCGATATTCGTTTATTGTTAAGACGAGCTTCATCCGGCGCAGGGCCTTGACCAAACATGCCGAGTCGTTCAAACGGCAGCTGGCCGAGGAGATGAGTTACTAGACTGCATCGTCTGGATAGGGTATGACCGAATGGTCATTTTCATGGCCCTGGAGTTGGACATTCTAGATCACCGGAGGTCTAGGATTGAAAAATGAGATGTGTGGATAAGGCAGTGGCTCGATGCCAGATCATAGAAGATAGAGTCAAAATAGCACCCGTTGAACTGATCCAAACACTCCCTTGTACCGAGGACTTCACAGACGCCCAAGGCTGTGGAAGGCTGCATCGCCGAAAATTAGCCGCTCCGCGTCATCCCTCACCATCCCACTTCCCAATCCAACCTACCTCTCGCACACACTCACTCACAACCCCTCCTCTTTCAGACCTCCTCTTCAAGGCGATAGTAGAGAGCTACTCCTATCGCTCAGTCCACAATGTCCGGTCCAGAAGTCCATCATCTCTTCCATCACCCCATCGCCGACCACTCCTTCTCTGCTGACCGCCAAACTCTTGCCGTTGCCCGAGAAAATAATGTCGAGCTGTACCACAGATCCGGCTCCAAGTTCACGTTGAAAGATGAATTGAAGGGCCACGACAAGACCGTCACGGGCGTGGACATCGCCCCCAACAGTGGGATGATCGTGACTTGTTCTCAAGGTGAATCTGGCTCCCTGCGCCTGTTCAATACATATGACTGATGCCTCATGTTTCGACGACAGACCGTAACGCCTACGTCTGGGAACCCTCCCCGTCCGGCGAATGGAAACCAACCCTGGTGCTCCTGCGTATCAACCGCGCCGCCACCTTCGTGCGCTGGTCACCTTCGGAGAAGAAGTTCGCCGTTGGCTCCGGTGCCCGTGTCATCGCTGTCTGCTACTTTGAGGAAGAGAATGACTGGTGGGTCTCAAAGCACTTGAAAAAACCCATTCGGAGCACTATCACTACAGTGGCGTGGCACCCGAACAGCGTGCTTCTGGCGGCTGGCTCTACGGATAGTCATGCCCGGGTCTTTTCCGGCTTCATCAAGGGCATCGATGAACGCCCTGAGCCGAGCGTGTGGGGGGAGAGATTGCCCTTTAATACCGTGTGTGGAGAGTATTTAAACGATGCGGCGGGGTGGGTTCACGCCGTGTCCTTCTCCCCCAGCGGTGATGCGTTGGCGTTCGCCGCCCACGACAGCAGCATCACGGTGGTGTACCCGAGTGGACCGGACCAGCCGCCTAGGGCTATGCTAAACATCTCGATGCAAACCCTTCCCTTCACCTCGTTGATCTGGAATGGTGAAGCCGAGATCATCACCGCTGGGTATGATTGCGAGTGTTTCCGGTTTCGAGGCGGTGAGCAAGGGTGGGAGTTGGTCGGCAGCGTAGAGATGCACAAGCGCCCGGGTATGGGTGCGATGAGAGAGGAGTCTGCGTTGAACATGTTTCGGCAGATGGACCTGAAGGGCAAGGTCAAGGATGATACTCAGCTGAGCACCACGCATCAGAACACGATCAACACAATAAGGGCCTTCGAAGGAGGTCCCGGGGGCGTGAGGAAGTTCAGCACAAGTGGTGTTGATGGGCGAGTTGTCATCTGGACGCTTTGAGAGGCTGCAAGCATCAATAACTTGGGCTCAATGCTAAAGATTCAGAAGAATCGCTGGACACCTCTGATTGTCGGGTGAGAAAAGACCCATCGCAGCTTAGAATCCAGATTCTAACAGAAGAACAGCTCCTTTGCGAGAGCTCCCATTCTTCCTATCGTTACATCCATCTTCCCGTCCGGGACCCGCCCCTTTTTTGATAAGCTGGGGGTGGTGGTATGATGACACAGATCTGCTCGGTCAATAGCGTCTTTATCTCCCTGGACTGTCCTCATTCTGCCCTTCGTCGCTTCAGCATCATCGTCATCGTCATCTTCTTCTCTTCCTTCTTTTCCTTCAAACCCACTCACCCGATCTCAATCTGCACCCACCGCTGCCTCAGCATCCGCGTCAATCGCCCTCATCCTCACTGTAAACTCCAGCTGCAAGCGCCTTAGCCAATCTCTCAAGGCCTCCGCACCGACTTCGCTTGTAGCTGCACTCTCCCTCGCGTGGCTCAATTGCTCTCTGACATTCAGGATCAACTTCCTTTTTCTGGCCACCGCCGTGGCTCGAGGATTTCTCTTCCTCGCTTCGTTGCGCTCATGCAAAGCCTTGGAGACACGCGTACCCACCTCGACTACGTCGTCAGGCAGCCCGATCGCCCTCGCAAGAGCCAAGCCGTAGAACTTTTCCTCCTCGTACCCGTCTGCAATCTTGTACCGCATGGTCATCTTCGAGTAATCTTCGCTGATGTCCACTGATAAGTGCAGATTTGCGACGCCAGCGCGATTGGCCAGTATGCGCGGCAAATCGCGAAAGTGTGTCACGAACCAGACATAGGCCTTGGACTCAATCAGTGCTTCGGCAATGGCGATCGCAATCGCCAATCCATCTGCCGTGCTGGTGCCGCGCCCCAACTCGTCAACGATGACCAGGCTCCGCGGAGACATGTTGCGCAATATGAATGCCATTTCACGCATCTCAGAAGCAAATGTGGAAACGTTTGCTTCGATGTTGTCGTCTGTGGCGATGCGGGCAAAGATTTCGTGCGAAATAGGGAAGGAGGCATACTCGGCCGGCACAAAGCAGCCGATCTGTGCCATTATGGCCATCAGTGCAACAGAGCGGATGTAGGTCGACTTCCCGCTCATGTTGCATCCAGTGATGACGTGGAAGCGGTTTTGTGGTGTGGCGTATACGTCGTTTGGTACAAATCTGTCGTGCTGGTGCTGCACCTTTTCGCGGATGGGATGTCGGCCGGACTTGATCATCAAGGAGTCTAAGTGGATCTCGGGCCGGACATACTCGTTGGTGGATGTCGTGACGAGTTGAGCGAAACCCGCGAGCATGTCGAGCATGGCGACGGACTCGCTGATCTTGAAGAGTGGGTGAATGGTGCTGCGCACTTGGTCGATGAGCTCTTGCACGGTGGCGTCGGATAGGCAGATTACTTCATTGTGGGCGTCCTTGAGCTTCTGGTTCATCTTGATGAGATCTAATGTCTGGCATTCGATATATTTGTTCTTTTTGTAGGTATTGATGAATGTTTCGGGGATAGATTTGTCTTCAATCTCGCTAGCTGGGAAACGGAGGTAGTATTGTCTGTTGGAATCGTATTTGAGTTCGATGGCAATTTCACCCTCTTCTACAACAGGTCACCATATGTTATTCTTGAAGCTCAGACTGCTCCATACCTTTGAGCTTATTGAACATATCGTTGACATCTGCGTTGAGCTCCTTGTATGCCTGACGCGCGACGTCCAGGAAACTATTGACTCCGGCCTGCTCTTTCTTAACATGACTGGCAAGAGCCTTAGTTAAAAACATACCTGAATGCCATAAACCCTCTGGTTTCGTAGCTCGAGTGGTTTAGATGAATACCGGACGTCAGCATTGAGACAACGTCCGAGCAAACTCTCCACTTCCATGTAATTCTCTTGATCGCAAAGCTATATGTCAATTAGTTGAGCTAATTAACCAGCGAGGATTCTGGCTCACTTGACGTATCATCTGCAGCTCTTCGCTGCTTGCCCCAGCAAGAGCCTGCCAGATTGGCTTGACGCCATCCACAAGCATCTTGAGCATGAGAACATTGCTGATCGATTGTTCCATGAAATGAAAATCTTGCCTTGTTGAAATGATGACAAGCTGCATGACTCAGTATTCGACAGGGCAATGGGGCATTTCAATCACGAACCGCGGCGAGCACACGATCGGCGTCAATAAAGGATTTGAGTGCTGTTCCCCGTTAGCAGGTTCTTCTCATTCAAAGAACTTAGTACCGGATCGGACTGTAAAGAACATGTCTTCCTTGGATGTAAGTTCGCTGAGAGCTTGCTGTCTCTTTCTGATCTTTTCTGCATCTGTTGATGGTTGGAGAACGTTGCTCCGAAGGAAACGAGCGCCCATTGGCGTCAAAGTCTGGTTCAACAACCCGAAGAGACAGTCTCGAGACTTGCCGTTCTGGAGATTCTGGATCAGTTCAAGGGAAGCCATTGTGGAGAGATCTATCATTGTCGACCCTTCCGAAGGCTCGAACCTAATCCGCAGTGTTTGCGGAGCGAATGTCAACTCCATGGTCAGATTGATGTATTTCAAAGCCTGTCCTTGTTAGGGTAACGTGAAAGATATGGCATCGACCGCCGAACATACTGCCGAAAAACAGCATGTTGCAAAGTAATTTCCTGCGACAGACAACTTCAACGATTCCAGATCGTCGGGAAAGGCCAGATAATGGACATAATCGTGACCGTTGGTTTCAGACCAGTATTTACGCTCGATCCCGTTCATGGCAATATTAGTCCTTTGCACCTCGAGGTTTTCGGCAACAATCGAAATTAGGTTCGAGTCGTTGGCAGTCTTCATGTAGATGATTTCAGAGGGAGCAAAGACTTTGATTTTGTGGCATGTACGAGCATAGGTTTGAGTGTCGGTAAATTGGCAAAGGACAGCTTCAGAAGTGGAAACGTTGACAAAGGAGAGGCCAATGGTAGGAGATACACCGCGCGATTCGCTGATTGCACAGATGATTTCATTGTCACTGTAGCTGGTGGAGGTTGCCGCAGTCCTGGGGCGCGACCTGCTGCCAGTCTGTGGCCTTGAAGTAGTTGTTGTTAGCCTTGCGGCAGTAGTGTTTCTGCTACTGGTAGAGATCGACTGTGGCTCGGAAGCCGTAGCCATGGATTTGACTCTGACGCCGGGCCACGGAGGCAAAGAGGGTGGACGACAGCCAAAGTGCAAAGTGAAAGTGAGGCTAATGTCACGAGCCTTGGCCAGCTCGCCTGGTCTGATCAGGCCAAGCCAGGCCCAGGTTGGGGTGGAAGGAGTGGTCGGAAGAGGAAGCTTTGCCGTGCATGTTTCCCCTCACGAGGCTGCAGCCCACCGACGTCGATAATTTTATTTTCGATGGCTGCCAGTCTTGAACCCACCCGACGAGGTCAAGATCATTTTTGAGCGTAGACCCAGAATGGCCACCCTGGCACCGCCCCCCAGCAAACGCCAAAAGATCGCTGCAGAAGAGAAGGCAGAAAAGGCACTCGAAGGATCAAAAATACCAGATAACCTGGGCGGCGTGAGGGTGCAATTTGTCGACCAGAGCACGGGAAAGTCGACGGGACCGGTGGTCTCAGTTCCTGTGAAAGATGCCACGGTCAAGAACCTCGAGGCGCTGCTGAATACCATACAAGGCAATGTAGGAAAGTCAATGTGAACCAGCGAGTGACGCGGAATGCTGAATTTCTTTCTCTCAGGAGCCCACCGAGAAATTGCCTTACCGCTTCTTCTTCCAAAATGATCGAAATCGGATTCCCAACGACGCTGAGCATACCATTTCCGAGGTGGAAACGGACTTGTACAACTCCATCCTCAAGCCCGGTTTAAAAACCACTGAAGACCATATCATCCTCCAGTTCACTCCTCAAGCGGTATTTCGAGTCCGCGCTGTTTCAAGATGTTCCGCGTCAATAGCAGGGCATGGGGAACCTATACTCGCAACTGCATTCTCGCCGGAAACATCTTCTAGGATGGCCACGGGTAGTGGGGACAATACCGCACGAATATGGGACTGCGACACCGGAACACCATTGCATACCTTGAAAGGACATACAAGCTGGGTTCTTGCCGTGTCATGGTCTCCCGACGGCAAAATTCTTGCCACGGGAAGCATGGATAACACCGTGCGACTATGGGATCCAAAAACGGGAGCAGCTCTCGGTGGGCCTCTGAGAGGGCACACGAAATGGATCACAAGCCTTTCATGGGAGCCATACCACAACCAGGCACCTGGTAACCCGCGATTGGCGTCAGCCTCAAAAGACGGCACGGTCAGAATATGGGACATACCGCTACGCAGGTGTGAGCAAACTCTTTCCGGGCACAAGGGATCCGTGGCTTGTGTGCGATGGGGCGGGCTTCACCGAGTATTCACCGCCTCCCAAGACAAAACGATCAAAGTATGGAACTCACGAACGTGGAATTGTTTACATACATTATCTTCACACACCCACTGGGTCAATCACCTTTCGCTCTCTACAGACTTCGCCCTAAGAACATCCTATCACGACCACACGGGCAAAGCCCCGTCATCAACTCAAGACAAGATCGAGAAAGCGAAGAAGCAATTCGAAGAAGCGGCACGCCAGGGAGGCGAGCTGGTCGAAAGACTCATCTCCGCATCGGATGACAACACCATCTTCTTGTGGGAACCCTCGTCCTTCGACCCAGATTCGAAGGCAACGCCCAAGCCTATTGCACGCTTATTAGGCCATCAGCAGCAGGTTCTCCACGTGTCTTTCTCCCCCGATGGCCACTACATTGCCTCAACCAGTTTCGACAACAGCGTCAAACTGTGGAACGCCAGAGACGGGAAATTCATCTGCACCTTACGGGGTCACGTGAGTTCCGTGTATATGTGCGCGTGGTCGAGTGACAGCAGATTGCTGGCAAGTTCGAGTAAAGATACCACTGTTAAAGTGTGGGATGTGAGGACGGGCAAGTTGAAGATGGACTTGCCGGGACATATGGACGAGGTTTTCGCCTTGGATTGGTCGGTTGACGGGGCCTGCGTGGCCAGTGGTGGAAAGGACAAGCTTGTCAAGGTGTGGAAGCATTGAATCCGTCAAAGATCGATGCAGCTTTGAAAACGGTGATGGATTCGTTGCGGCAAAATTTTGTGGCTGGGTGCATAGGGACGGCAGGACGAAGACTGAAGTGATACCCACGATTTAAGTGTCATATTGGATACTAATGAAATATGTGCAGTTGTTTTTTTATTTCGGTGAATTCTGTATGATTCTGGATTGTTACAAGGAACCACAACCCTTCCCACCCATCCGCCTGGGGATCCTAATCAGCGTTTTCCCAGACGATAAAAACCGTATCGAATCCTTCTGTCAACCCCTGATCTATCTCTCTTCTCTTCTTACATTCTAAACCCGGGTTTTTGTCCAGGAGGGTTGTAGATGATCTTCCTCGTCTTGATGGGTGCCCACTTGTATCGCTTGATCCAACCACTCAAAGCCAGCAAGGCAGTGCCAATGATCAAAACTTTGATTCCCATCTTTTTGCGCTCATCCATTTCCGGCTCTGCAGTCCAGTTCAAGAACTCAACCACGTCTTTGGCCATTTGTGAGCTGGTAGCGGGTGTGCCGTCTTCATATTCAACCAGCCCATCGTAAAGAACACGAGCCATCGCGATACCTGTACCGGGGAAATATGGATTGAAGCTCAGACCTGACTGGACAGCCGCACCCGCAGGCGGTTCGTCGGGGTACCCGGTCAGTAAGCTGAAGATATAGTTGCAGCCGCCGTGACGGGCTTTAACGATGAGGGATAGATCCGGAGGGAGAGCACCATTGTTGGCGGCACGGGCAGCTTCGTCGTTCTTGTATGGGGCCGGGATGTAGTCTGACAGCTTGCCGGGTCGTTTCTCAATCTCTCCCTCATCGTTCGGCTCAGTGTCGTACTCATTTTCTTCAGCTAAGGCCTTGGCTTCGTCGACAGTCATTATTGTGCCGACCAGTGACCGATATGGAATTCGCTTAAGGGAATGGCAAGCGGCGCAGACTTCACGGTAAACCTGGAACCCTCTTCGGAGACTGCAAACCGTCAACTCGACACGCTCGACACTGTTGTTTTGATAGCTCTTACGCAGCGTGGTCGAATGTTTTTGTCCATTTTGTGTGTTCCCACGGATACTGGGTTGGATGTAAACTTGAACCTGCCGTCAGTCGCCTGTAGCTCTCGATCATCTCTGGGGAGCTTACCCCTCTTCCGCTGGAGTCATAGCATAGACATCTTGTCCGAACAGATGGTAGTACCAGGCAATTGAGCCTACTGTAGCTGCGGTCGCAGCAGAAGCGCCCAGTGTAAGGTAAAAGGGAGAAGAGGCGGCTTCGGAGGAGCTCGAAGAGGCGGCACGCTGAGATGCGACATTAGCAATGGGTCCAATCGATACATGTCTGCGCGCTGCTGCAAAGAATCACAAAAGTGGTGAACTGACAGTTGTGGTCTTTCGAACAATGGTTCGGGCAGCGACCCTCAATGGGGCACCGCGGACGGCCGACGTGGCCAACATCATGTCCAGAAGCCGTACGCTCTTGACAGATGGTGGACTAGCCGTGCGAAGACGAAGAGAGGAGGGCAAGTTGCGGAGGATGGAAGAGAAAAAGAGTGACTTGGCACAGATCGTGGAGGAGAGAGGATGTCTAGAATTGAAGCTTGAAGCTACATTTTCCCGGGGTTCATTACGCTCTCTACGATTGGCTGACTCGCCATCTACGAATCCTGGCTGCAGTGGCGGTAGGAACCGCAAAAAGGCCACACGTGATCTGCCAGCGCGATAGAGTTCGCACAGTTCGTCACTCTTCTTCGGGCTTGCTGTGAAGACGGCTCTGGTTTGAACCTCAGACCGACAATTCCTTCCGTCCTCTGCGGCACTCACTGCTGCGGCGCGTGATGTCGCTGCGTGGAAACAAGAATCCATCTTGGAATGACCAGTTCAAGAGCACGAACCAGCGCGACTTCAATACCCAAGTCATCATCTCGGTCGTCTTCGGGCTGAGTGCGTTCCTCTCATTCTGCGTATGTTTACTTCCACGCTACTTTCGTCCTGATACTGACTACCTGCAGGTCCTCCGCCCCAAGTGGACCAGCCTCTATCATGCGCGCAAGAAAACCTCGGGCGCAGCCTCGCGTTTGCCTGAGCTGCCCAAGTCACTCTTCGGATGGATCCCAGTACTGCTGAGGATTTCGGACGCAGAGGTTCTGGCCTCTGCGGGTCTTGACGCCTACGCTTTTCTCTCCTTCTTCCGATATGCCATAAAATTCCTCTCAATCACCTTGTTCTTCTCTCTCACCATCATCCTACCCGTCAATTACCGGTACACCGGCGAACTGCCCTACCCTCCGATCAATGGCACGGCGCCCTTTATCCAGCCTGCATTTCTATTTGCGGACGACGAGAAGAAAGTCAGGAAGCCCAAGATCGAGAAGGATGACAGCTACTTGTGGATGTACGTCGTATTCGCCTACTTTTTCACCTGTGTGGCCATATTTCTCTTGATTGTTGAGACCTCGACTATTATTCGAATCCGGCAAGCTTATCTCGGCACCCAGTCCACCATTACGGACAGAACCTTGCGCCTGTCAGGCATCCCTAAGGAAATGAGATCGGAGGAGGCAATCAAGAATTTCATTGAAGATCTACAGATTGGGAAAGTGGATAGCGTCATGTTGTGTCGAGACTGGCGAACTTTGGACGAATTCGTGTCGAAGCGCATGACGTGCTTGCGCAAACTCGAACAATCATGGGCAACGTATCTGGGTCATAGCCATTCGCTGCGCCATTCTCGTCGAGCCCACCAGGAACGTGATCTTCTTGATGGGGATGAAAGCGGAGCTCTTCTTTCAAGATCGGAGATGGAAGAAGCTCATGTTACGCCTGTGGGCAGAAGACGTCCAACGGTCAGCCTTCGGTATGGGCCACTCAAACTATACAGCAAGAAGATTGACGCAATCAACTATTACGAAGAGAAGTTGCGCGTCATGGACGAGAGGATACATGCACTGAGAGCCACTGTATTCAAACCGACACCTTTGGCTTTTGTGACGATGGAATCGACTGCTGCATGCCAAATGGCTGTACAAGCAATTCTCGATCCGAAGCCCGGACAGCTCCTTGCTAGCCTGGCGCCGCCACCGGCCGACGTCGTCTGGAAGAACACATATCTTTCCAGGAATCACCGCATGGTACGCTCTTGGAGCATAATGGTCTTCATTGGCTTCCTTACCATTCTGTGGGCTGCCCTTGTTGCTCCTCTTGCCGGCCTGCTCAGTATTGAGGTCATTGACAAAGTCCTTCCTGGCCTTGCGGCAGCCCTCGAGCACCATGAGATTATCCGTTCATTGGTCCAGACGGGTCTGCCAACCTTGTTGTTCTCGGTGTTGGCATTGGCAGTGCCCTACTTGTACGATTGGCTCGCCAATCAGCAAGGCATGACCTCCCAAGGCGATGTTGAGATGTCGGTGATATCCAAAAACTTCTTCTTCATCTTCTTTAATCTCTTTATCGTCTTCACAATCTGGGGTTCTGCCACCACGTTCTACGACTTCTGGCAAGATCTGCGAGACATCCTTCGAGACACTGCAGGAATCGCCTATGCAGTAGCCAAAGCTCTCGAACAACTCTCACCTTTCTACGTCAATCTTATTGTCCTCCAAGGCCTCGGCCTCCTTCCTTTCAGGCTACTCGAGTTCGGTTCCGTGGCGTTGTACCCCTTCTACCTCATCAGCGCAAAGACACCCCGGGACTATGCAGAGCTGTCTCAGCCCCCAATCTTCAGTTACGGCTTCTATTTGCCGCAAACCATGCTTATATTCATCATCTGTATTGTTTACAGTGTCCTCCCTGCCTCATGGATGATCACTTTATTCGGATTGGTGTATTTCCTTATTGGTGGCTTCATCTACAAATATCAACTGCTTTACGCCATGGAGCACCGTCAGCATTCAACTGGTCGAGCTTGGCCAATGATTTGCAACCGAGTTATAACCGGATTAATCCTCTTTCAAGTGGCGATGACGGGTATCCTGGCACTTCGAGGCGCTCTGACAGCCTCGTTATTCCTGGCCCCTTTATTGGCGGGTACTATTTGGTTCACTGTATATTTCCAACGAACATATGTCCCTCTGATGCGATTTATCGCGCTTCGAAGCATCGATCGTCCAGGCATGCCTCAGCTTCCCACACCGCCAGAGTCTGCTTGGGATAGAGATACCGAGTATGGGCGAGCTGTCGATACAGATCCGGAAACGGGTCTTCGCTATATCAACCCGAACCTCGTCCAGCCTCTGGAGACCCTGTGGATAAAAAGGCCGGGGCATGGACGCCGCCAGAATGATTGAGATTGGGAAAGGATATTCGTCTTGGGACATTCATTGGAGCATAGCAAGCGAAGTATTGAATTTTATCGTCCTTCCCAGAGATACCCATGTACACAATTGTCACCAGACCATTTCCATGCCTCTGGCACTAATGTAATGTTTCAGCCAACATTAGCGATCATGCGAAATATTGGCTGACTTAGCAGGTCCGGACATGCTTCTTCTCGTCACGATGCCAATCTTGGAGGGTTGCTGCTTCTCCTTCATATCATGCAGGCGCGGTTATCAGTCATTCTCATGACCGCTCAAGTCGAGGCAGCTGCAGTCATGTCGTTTCAGCCACGTCAGTCAATTGCCCTGCAGGTGCGAGTTGACTGCAGCCCAGGTCAGCATCTCACTCTGGTTTCTCCCGGCCTTGATATCAAAGTCCATTTACTTCCTGTTTCCAAACCTATCTCTATCTCGACACTCTTAATCCCTTCATTTGTTCCTCTCACCTTCTCATTATCGCTACTTGTAACCAGTTTAGCTATTCGCCATCCTAGCTGCTGGGTCCTCGTATCCTCGTATGTCGAGGACATTACGCCTCTACACGGCCACGAAAGCAGCATGCTCTACCGGCCCTCGGCCTGCGGCAACACTGGTGACAAAGTCTTCTCCACGAGACATCGAGCTGAGATAATGAATCGATGGCAACAAGGAGCACGTCAAAAGTTGATACAACTTGCAGACCGTCTCGAGCAGCAGCAAGGCTTGGAATCCCGCCGCTGTGTTGGTCACACGAAGCAGTCCAGTGCCCTCGACTCTCGTACGGTTCCTCCCGCTCTAGGCTTTGAGATTCTGCAATGCACTATACCTTCAAATCAGGAAATGCACGAGCCAGAGGGTTACGGAACTGAACGACATCGGTCGAGCGTGCTGGATACAATGGACGGTGCATGTGAAGGGGCCGATGATCCAACCTCTGCCACCATCAGCCGAACCTCTAGTGCTGCCGATCTTAAGACACAACCAATGCGATCGTCAGTGGTGCACTTCTTGTCTGACGACCATTTAAACTGGAGAGAAAGGGAGCGTGCTACTTTTGTGAATCCGTTTTCTCCTGAAGAGCTCTCATCGAGAAAGACGTCCACCTCCTCTGAAGCCACAGAATACCTCCGCCCCAACGCTTTTGCTGGTCATCGAGACACACTGGCAAGGCTGACCTATTTCGCTGCTGGTTCTGGTGACGACGAAGATATCTCAGACTGTGACACAGACTCGTTTTTGACGGCTCTTACACGTCAGCCGTCAATGGGTGGGATCTCTAGACGGGCCAGCAATGCCGGAGCAAGTTTAGACATTTTCTATCCTCAACGAGTTGTCGAGAATGTGCTCAAGCATGTGACTTTTGATGATTACAAGGCTATGCGACTAGTCTGCCGCCAATGGCATGCAACTCTGCCTCGACCCAGCTTTCCCGGGGCGTATCGTCTTCCGAGAGAAATACTAAAAGAAGTCTTCTCTTACTTGTCGCCCTCTGACTTTGAGGCAGCTCGTCACACGTGCAAATCTTGGTTCTTAGCCAGCTTGGATCGCAAAGTCCTGGAACCCATGCTCAGAGCCAGTGGCTGTCAGACTGCGTTGGCCATGGATCTTGAACAAGCGCAGGGGTGCTTCGTTGCGAAGAGACGAAGTTGGGACACTCGTCTTGGCCCAATGCAAACCGACGCCGAAAATGTCATCGACAAAGAGTGGCTGTGTTCCAAAAGATTGGCTACGGAAAGTCGACTATCGCCCGATTGGCGAGGCTCTTCTCTATCCGGTGACTCCTTCCCATCGTCTAGACTTTCGATCATTGAGGAAGTTGATTTTTGCAAGATCATGGCCTCACATGCTTTACCGATAAAGCCCAGGTTCACGGTATCGGCCTGTGGCAGGTTTGTCCTCGTGGTCTCTGGAGGCGACATATCTGTTTACAGCTTGTCTAATTCTGAGCGGTCACTTGCCCCAGTGGTCAGGCTGGCCACCGGGATTGATGTCTTGAAGGTCAGCATGGATACTAGTTCGGGGCGGTGGTCGGTTGCCGCTCTTCTAGCAGGTCGTGTTGGCATGCTGTGGGACTTAAATGGCAGGCACATCCAAACAAGGTATCGCAACAGTTCCGGCGACACGGTGAGTTTGCGAATGCAAACGTACATCCACAATTCCGTCGACTGCGAACCTTCCAGGCTCGCTAGTGTCAATCTACCCATCAGTTCGCAAGAAACGCATGCTAGCGATGCGTCTGATTCGGATCTAGCGCCAACGACGCCGGAGAATTACACATCTCCGCCCACTGCTCTATTGACTCCTCCATCCGTGTGGGATGAGCATATGCCTAGCTCGGAGAGCCCGAAGGAGATTGTAAATCGCCTAGGGATCTCAATTGAGACCAGGGCGACCGCGGTATTCACCGATCTCGGAAGCGTGGATGATCAGCCAAGGAGCGTAGCGATTTGCCCAAGTGGCAACTCTGTTGCGTTTGGATGTCGAATGGGGCTGGAACTTCACTGGGTCAATGTTCTTGCTGGAGTTCGTTTCAACCGTTGGCTCCCACTCGCTGCGCCGAGTGACTATCTCTACTTTTTGCCTCGACGGCGTGGAGTGGACTCGGGGAGGAAGCTCAGACTGATATCAAGTGCCGCCGGACCAGCTGTTGCTCAGCTGGTAAGGAGCGACAGTACGCCAGCCAAGTGGAAATACTGGCCTACTCCAGCAGCCTTTGGCCGACGACAAAGCTTGACAAGACTCTTCTTTGGCAACTTACCATTCCCTACGCCCGCAGGGGATTCAGGGGAATCGTCCAGTTCAGCCAGTCCCCCAAGACCAGATCAAGTACAAGGGGTGCTGCGGACTATTGAATGTGATCACTTCCATGCGATCCCAGTGAGTGATGGGATTCATCTCATTTTCATCAATCCGGGGCTTGGATCGCTGTGCTTGGGTAGCGACGCGTCGCTGGGAGGTCCAACGAACCTTGTTTCAAAGATAGTGTTCATTCCTCCTCCTGGGCAGGGCCATCAAAAGCCTACTCCACGTCGCTATGCTGTTGGCAAAGCCCTTGGATGGGGTTTGAGACTCGTCGTTGCCTACGATGATGATCAAGTTGTGCTCTACAGTATTCCTTCTGACGTTTTCGGGCAACTTCAAGACCAGCGAAGTCCGATCGACGTCTGGGACGAGAATTCTGGAGTGCTTGGGCAAAGTGATTTGATCATGGACTCACTGATGAATCGTGACGAAAGCGGTGCGCCCAGTGACTCAGCAGTCCAACAAACCCCAGAAAGCGACAACAACTATGTTAACGAGCCACTGCAAGTTGCTGGCTCTGTCATCGCTCGTGTTACCGGTCAAGTTGTTGATGACATTGCGGTCTCATCCGAGAATGGTGGACTTTCTGTCTGGATTTTCTACGGAAATGGGCTTGCCGCACTGCATAGCATCTATGCACCTCGTCGCCATCAAGTGCGCAGAAGATTTGTTGCGGAGAACGGCTTCATCTGGGACTGTGACAAAGAAATGTCGGCCGAGGCTAAAAGCGATAGGCGGCTAGCAAAGGGCAAAGAGAGAGCGGATGAGGAAGCCAAGCACGTCAGATGGGCAGGCCAGGAAGATTGTTGAGTGAGACACCCGGAAGCATCATGAAACAGTGAGCCGAGATTTGAGTCTATGAGATTGTGACTCCAAAATGGCCGTGCCGTCTATGGAGCTCTTTTCAAACCGTGTATGAGCGTATTTGGTAGCTGTGGATAAGATGGTTGTGGTCGACTGGGGGCTCGTGTCCCTTTTGTATTTATATTTTCACCTGGAGATTACTGTTGTGCGCCTACCTTTTGGAGGAGAGGGTCTTTCAGTACTGTGTATTGTTTGAGCGCAGCACGATTGATTGCAAGAGCCACAATATTAATACCCCATGATATATTGCTTCTCGCTATACTGTGACCGTAATTTCAGTACCGGGCGCTCCCGGACCGTCTCTTGTGCGATTACATCGAGAGAATGCACATTAGGGGCTTGACCTGGAACATTGCTCAGGGCTCCATATCCAAAGCCCTCAGCAGCGTCCTTCCCAACCGTTCAACTTGCTCCGCCGTCGTGGTCAAACTCGTCATGAAGTAGATCACATCGCCCAAGACACGTGAATGGATCCCACAGCCGTCCTCGTCAAGCAGCGTCAAAAGCCGCGATTGCAGCTCCGCAGAGGCTGTCGAAGTGTAGCCTCCCGCTGAACCTTGAGGCTCGGCGAGTTTGAGGACGAGGATTGTGCCCAGCGCGAAACACCCGGCGAGCCGGGGATGGTGGGATAGCTCTTGGAGGAGGGAGGGGGGAAAGAAGGAATAGATCTGTGGATTCGCCTGTTTCTGATTCTGGCGGTCGGCGGGCATGGATGGCGAGGACGACGACGAGGACGGAGGCGACGAAATCTTTTCACCCGACCAGGCTCGCTTGAACCCTCTCCAGCCTCCGGTCCGGTCCATATCCATCCGTCGATACTCGTCCAACGCCTTGTTGGCGACCATGCACCCGATCGGATGGGCCGTGTAAGAATGGCCGTGCAGGAGGGCGTCAGTCTTGGAGTCTGAGAGGAACGTCTTGAAGATCGATTCGCTCGCCGTGGTGAGGGCGAGGGGAAGGAGTCCTGCGGTCAAGAGCTTGGCGTGCACCGATATGTCGGGTGCGAGGGAGGGGGGCAGGGCTGGTTGCTGGGAGGTCTCACCGGTTGATGATGATGATGGCAATGTTGCTGAAGGGTTGAAGTCGGATGGACAAGAAAGGAAAGACGACGAACTGGCGCGGCCGAGGCGATAGAGGCCTGTGAAGACCTCGTCGGCGATGACGGGGAGGCCGGACCAGTTGTTCATTCCACCGTGATCTTGTTCTTCCGCACCGTTTTCGGAGGACTGCTTTGTTGGGTCGCCGCCGGCGATCAGGTGAGGGCTGGCTCTGACTGTTTTGATGAGAGTTCTTTGGAAGAGCGGGTCAACGAAGATCATGCCTCCTGCGCCCATGATGATAGGTTCGAGTATGAGGGCGCCGAAACGCCTCCCTTGATCGCGAACGAGACGTTCAAGAGTCGTGGTGATGTGGGATTCGTACCGCTTTGCGTCGGGTGTCCGAGCATCAAAGTCGAAGATGGAGTTTAGGGAGTCAAACTCTTGCGTCCTGGTCGCGGCGTGCATCTCATCCGGCATCGTGAGTTCCCAAACGCCATTCCGCATGAGGACAGAGGGCGGATCAAACCAATGGCCCCAAGGCTGATGCCAGTCCACCTTCTCGTTGAATACACTGGGCTCAGAGCAGTTCATCACGCCGATGGTGTCACCGTGGTAACTCCCTTTCAAGCCCAAGATCGCAACGGGATTCTTGCCGTTGCCATCATCCTTGCTCCACCCGTATCGCTGGCTGGAGGCCCGCAACGCCATTTTCACGGCGACCTCCATGCCTGTGCTGCCGTTGTCAGTGAAGAAGACTCGGCTCAGGCGTGGGTTCTGCAGGGTCGACAGGAGGTTGTAGGATATATCGAGGGCGGGTTCGTGGACGGCATGCGCGAACATGACGTGTCCGTAGCGACCGGCTGCGTGGGCCGCTGTCAACGCAACATTTGGATTGCCGTGGCCGAGGCCCTGCGTCCACCATGACGCAGATGCATCGAAGTGGGGTGTAAGGAGGGACCGCGGAGTCGGCTGTGCTGCCAGTGGAGTAAGTCCAGAAGTCGAAGTGGTCTGGCGTTCCGTCAGCGCTGGGTCGGCCTCTTGGTTATAGGTTTGAAAATGGTCTTTGTACGCCGAGTCAATTGCGATGATGTTGTGGGGAATTCCATGCTGACGGAACGGATGCCATATCACTGCTTCCGCCTGGGAAGGCATCGATGTCAGCTTGGAGATGCGTGCGAAGTGCTTTTGGTTGAGTAGGTCGAGCAGGTTTCCGGCGACGCCCGATTTCGACCATCCACCATAGTAGGCCAGAAGTGCTCGCTTGTCCTGTTCGGCGTCTTGATGCTTCCCAGGTGGTTTGGGCAGGGCAAATGTCGAGATGCCATGGTTCCGGAAATACGTGTTGAGATAGTCGAAGTTTCCCCACTCCGGGTCGTCAAATAGGGCGACCGAGTCAACGTTGTAGCCCCGGACATGCAAAGATTCGAAGGCTGATATGGTGGTCGCGATCCCGCCGAGCTGGCTGTCTCCCACAAGAATCGTTGGTAGTCTCAGTGGTCTGTATAGGTCGGCTTGGGCGGTGCCAGAAGGACCAGGTGAGAGGACGCCACCAGCCGTCTCGACGAAAGCATACCTGCCTCCTGTCTCTACGTGCTCCGTCAGAATAGCTTTGACTCTGGCCAATATTGAGGCGTCTGATCTGGGTATCTGGAGCCTGTCAGTCGTCGTGCGGCCAGGCGTTCAGGTGGCCAAGGTCTCGCACCGTTCCATCTTCGTCCAATTGAGCCGCCAGATGAGGGCTCAATGGGCGCGAGAATTGCGAGATGTACTTTGAAACAATTCCGGGTACAAAGGCGTCGACATGTCTTTGGAGATACGTCAGGGGCAGCCAGGACAGCGGATGTTGAATGAAGCTCACCCTACATCTGCCTCGCCCCTGGGACCAGTAGAAACAGGCTTCAAATACAGCACACGGCGTTCAGGGTTCTGTAGAGCTCGACACAGCAGCGTCGAGACAATGGTCTTGCCAACATTGGTATTGGCTCCGAAGACCTGCCATGCCTTCAGGTCGCGCCACAGCATCACGCCCACACCGACAGGAGGGAGGAAGAGGGAGGAAGAGGGAGGAAGAGGCGTGGCCGACGTTCGGGGCAGAATTGGTGAGTCGCTGACCGAGGCAAGCGAGGCAAGCGAGGCAGATTTGTTCCTGCCAAGACAAGACCCGCTTTTCCATCCTCCGGGAATTTCCGACTCTCCGATTGGACACTGAAACGCTTGTTTCCCGCGTCAACTGCTTTTTTGGATCGCCGTCGCATCGAACGCTGGGACCATCAGCTCCCAGTTGTTGACCCAACCAGCCCAACATTTCTCCATCCTCGGCCAATCCATCCAGTTGCTTTGGCTCCGACTGCAAAACAGGGACGCGACGAGATCCTTTTCTGTGATTTTCGCCCCAGCAACACTCTGTGATCCGACTTGAAAGCGTCAGACGCGTCAGCCATGCCACCATCCCCATTGGAAGAGCGCCTTTCCGCTCTCCTGGAAAAACGTCGATCGCAGTCAAAGCTGCGGCACCTGAAATCGAGTCTGCCTGGCTCGGTAGACTTCTCCTCCAACGACTTCTTGTCCCTGTCGACCAACAAGGGATTTCAGGATGATTATCTGGCGGTTCTAAATCGCAGCCGCACGCCCATTGGGTCAACAGGATCAAGGCTTTTGGATGGCAACTCTGAAATTGCCGAAAGCCTCGAGCGTGACATTGCTGCATTCCATGGCGCCGAGGCTGGTCTTCTGACGAACTCGGGCTTTGACGCCAACGTCAGCATCTTTACATTTCTTCCTCAACCGGGGGATGTCATCATCTACGACGAACTCATCCATGCCAGCGTCCACGATGGGATGAGGCAATGCAGGGCGAAACAACAGATATCCTTTAAACACAATGATGTTGAAGACCTGAATCGAATATTGCAGCAATTTTCTTCCTCAGGTCCGAGTCAGACCATTTTTGTCGCCGTGGAGACAGTCTACAGCATGGAAGGGGACCTTGCCCCTCTGACAGAGATTGTCGACTTGATGGAAGCCACATTACCTCACAACAACGCCCACCTGGTGGTTGATGAGGCCCACGCTACAGGAGTTTATGGGCCAAATGGCTCTGGGAGAGTCTGTGAACTTGGACTTGAAAAGCGCGTTTCAATCCGCCTTCATACGTTCGGCAAAGCTCTTGCTTGCAACGGCGGTGAGTGGCCCGGCATGCAATGTCAATGCACACCGTTGGGCTGACGCGATCAAAGCAATCATTTTGTGTTCTCCCATGATTCGACTTTTCCTTATCAACTACGCCCGACCACTAATCTACACAACATTCATGTCCTACCCTTCGCTTCTTGCAATACAGACGGCATATGAATGGCTCAAAATGGGAAAAGTGAATCTGGTAAGGGGGTTCCGCCTCTGTTTTCTCCGTCTCGATTAACATTCCGTTTTGTAGCTTGCTGCAAACCTCTACCATCTGATCGATCATCTCTACACAAGATTGCAGACCTTGGCAGGCGTCGCCGCAGAGAGCGGGCGAGTTTCTAAGCCTCTTGTCACGCTTCCAACAACATGCCCAGAGTCGCCCATTTTCGCCATCCTCAGCCCGTATCCTCGGTCATTGGCCGCGTACTGTCAATCGGCGGGGTTTATCGTGCGTCCGGTCGTGGCACCTACGGTTCCCAAGGGTACAGAGCGTGTGAGGGTGTGCCTACATGCGGGGAATACCGTAGAGCAGATCGACCGATTTGTCGAATGTGTCAGGCAATGGATTGTCAGTGAAAGCACGAGGGACTTGCACGCAAAGCGTCTAGTCACCCCACAGAGTCACGCCGTCAGCCAACCAGTGGGACTAAAAATGGAGAGAAATCTTGTCGCAAAAATGTAATCTTAAGATGTGTCCTAGCGTTGGCGTAACTCTGCATCAGCCGACAGTCGACCGGCTTTGAAGACGCCGCAACGACGACGGATCGAGGGAAATCGCGAGCTCAACTTTCGCATTGTACAGCACCGACACCGAAACACAAACAAGATGTCTGAGAGGTCGTTGTCAAATTTGTTTCCCTAAATATTAACCATGGTGGGTTTGCCGCTCCATCGCTTTGCAGAGGCCGCAATATCATCCCAGCTACTCTCCACTCGTCCGGCCCACAAGGCACCATAGTTCTCGCACGCCTTTCACTGATTCGCTTCCCATGCCTTTGCAAAAATGCCCATTTCCTTGACGAGGCCGTTCCTGTTTGGTTCCCAACCAAGCAATTCTCGTGCTCTGGCACTGTCATATTGAACAGTTGCACCCGGTGCTTGGAGAACAGGGTGATCCCCAGGTCCAACAAGTTCCAGTTCCAGTTTACCGCTCTGCCCCTTGGTCGAGCTCAAAGCCCGCGCGAACGCCGAGAGGATGTCGCGGATGTTCTCGGTTGTGGAGACCAGGTCGAAGACAGGATACACCGACGTACCTCCTAGCAGGGAGACCTTGCCCACGCCACGGCACACGGCCGACGCCACGTCGTCGACATGAATGACTGGCGATTGTGACGTTGGCGCAACGGGGACTTGGAGGTGGCTCTTGCCATCTGCGACCGCCTGAGCAATCGGACCCCACAAGGCAGTCCAGCCAGAGCTGCTGCGACCATGCATCTGCGCAGGCCGGAAGATCAACACGTCGAGCACGTCTCGGGCAGCCAAGACCTTTCGCTCCAGCTCGGGTCGCCACGCCACAAGAGGCAGCGGCTGCGTCGGGGCTGATTTGGCCCCGACGGGATCCAAGTCGGTGACAGGGACGTCTGAATGCCCATGGACCCATGCGCCGGAAATGTATATGTAGCTGATCTTTGGAGGTACAGCGACTCCTTCGGCCCTGAAGGTCTCCAGGCGCTCCTGCCCGACAGTTTTGACATCGGCGAGGAATTTGGCGCTGTCGCCGTACGCGGCAGTGCAATCCACCACGGCGTCAATCCTGAAACTCCGAACTGCGCGCAGGTAAGGGTCGGGTGCATTCACCGGGTCCTCGCACATGACAGGGATGATTTCAGACGTCGCCAGAGATTGAGCTCTGGAGGCAGACCTGCAAAGGCCATATACCGTGTGCAGGCCGCTCCGCACGAGCGCTTGAGTGACCGCTTGGCCGAGATATCCTGTTGCGCCAAAGACCAAAACTCGAGGCATCTTGATTCTACCAGGAAGGTATGGCCTGAAAGATGACACGCTTTGTAAGGCTTGATCGCAGAAGGGCTTGTCCCCCCCCCCCCCCCCAAAAAAAAGATGTTGGCTGCTCCAGACGGAAGTCGCAACCCAAAAAAACCAACTTCAGCTGGGGGCGCAAGACTTTGATATATATACCATGCCCTTCCCCAGGCCGCAATGTATGTCCTGGCAGGGGGTGATGAATCAGTCAAATCATCTCAATACTCGACCTCTAAATAGCTCGTCACATTGCACGTAAACCCGTCCCCTCAGCCAATAAAGCCACGGAGCCGATGACGACGGGAGACTCGAAGAGCCATGATTTGTTGGAGGCCAGCGGACAATCGATGCGCGACGGGTGTGAAGACGATGAAAAGAGGCAGTCCATTGACATATTCTAAGTACATAAGCTACTTATGTCAGCTGCATCTCGTGGCGATGGCGCAAAAGAAGCTTTGTTCTTGTTGGAAAAAGCCCCAAACTTGATGCTACGTCAGCTACATGTCGCTCTGTGCCCGCCCTGGATATTATATCACATCGAGTCTTGTGTTTTCCTAACTCGGGAAGTCGTCGTGCTTCTGAGTGGCGATGCATTTTTGGACACGGCGGCGTGGATGGGCGATGGGTTGGTCGTTGGTCATTTGGCAGCTGTCAACGTCAACGTCACGACTTTGACACGTGCGTTCAAGAACGAACAACAACCCAAGCATGCTGCCGGTGCTGCTGGTGCGAACTAATTGGACTGTGGGGGGTTCCTGCATCGGCGATGAACAGCGGCACCCATCCCCTGATGCTCAACTTGATGGTGCGCCAGCGGACAGGGTGTGCCGACTCAAGCGACAAGTCAGGCTAGTGAGGCTTTGTGGGTGCTGCAGTCGAGGAGGGAGTGTACTTGTATGTATGAATGGGGCCCGCCCCCCAACAACATCTGCTGCTTTGCAGCGACCAAGCGAGGCAGCCATTAGCTAGCGAGACCTCCAGCTAAATACCCGGGACCGAGTACATACATATTGCTAGGTATGTACGAGGTACATAGGTAGGGGCATTATTATCGAGCCTATCAAACAAAGGGCAAACCTGCAACGAAACCCACTAGCCTCACTCACCATGGGTACCTAGCGAGCTAGGTAGGTCTGTCCCTGTCGCGCAACTCGCCTCATACTTGGCAAAACACGAATACGAGGCTAGCTGTGAAAAGGAGCGGGGAACCCATTTGAGGATTGGCCCGGCCCCTAAAGTCTGGGCCGTCCGTTGTTCTCTTTGCCTCATGGCTCTTGCCTCTTGCCTCTTGCCTCTTGCCTCTCGCCTCTTCCCTTTTGCCTCTTGCCTTTTGCTGGCAAGCATTAAGCCAGGTTAACAGAGGCGATGTAATCGGTCTATCGTCTATTATTTACGGTTTTGGCTTTCTCAGCCGCGGCTGGAATGTCGAAAAAGCTTCCTGCACAAGGCGCGCATGGATTACAAGGGGAGGAGGAGGGATGGTTGGGGGGGGGAGGGGGGGGGAACCCCACAGAAAAGAGACAGGGCGTATGAACGCTCACCAACGTCTGAGAACGAACGCCGAGGACGTCGGCTCATCCTTGATCTTGGAGACACAAGTCCCTTTTCCCGTTGAAACATTAGAGCCATTCTTAAACCACCTGCGAGGATAAGGTAAGGAGTGTCGTCGTGTCATGTCGCACAAGGCTGCGGGGGCCGTTGCTTGTGCGACGCTCGGGTACTTCGGCATGCCCCTGTTGAAGAGCAGGTGGGGTCCTGCGACAGTTGGGCTGTAACTTGTATTGCATGTTAGTGAACGTGCTCCACATGCTCTGTAGTCGAGGCCGTGAGCAAAAGCCACAGACTCTCGCTCTGAACTCCTCCGGTAGGAGACTGTTGAGTGGCCGGTGGCGCTGCAATCTTTGAACTGGGCTTGAACACATAACGAAAGTGGTCTCCGTGCTGTGACTGCCGCGGTTCCGTTTTCGAGGTTTCCCGGACATCAGTTGTTAGGTTCCCTAGATAAGCGCAGAGTCCGACGACTCCCTGGTCGATCAACTTTCGCAACGCTGCTCGGTTTTGCCAAGCCGTCACAATATCCCATGTCGAATCAACCCCGGTGTGCTGTCCGGCACTGGGTGAGAGGGGTCATGTCTTTGCAGCGAAGGCATGTTGTAAGGCTTACGACACTGCGTCGAGGAAGGTTATCTTTGTGGAGAGATTGGCGAAAGGGGCAGGGGCAGGGCAGGGGTAGGGACTGGCTGCTGGGTTCCAACTCTGCGAACATCATCTGTCTCCCTGCCGACTCATCAGCGAAGAGTTTAAGGGAGGGCCTAGCAATCCACAAGATCTCCCGCCCAATGGATTGATCCAAAAAAATTTAAAAATTAAAAATTAAAAATTACCACCGTCAGACATCTGATCATAGTCGTATGATCGATTTGGACGCTGATCGGCCTCCAGATCGCGTCATGGAAGCTCTGTCTTTGTGAGGGTAGAGACGGTGTGCATTGTGCTGCGATCAGCTGCCACGAATCATGAAAGAGGAACGAGAAAAAGACTGGGGTGTGCACGCAATCGTCTGGTACTGGGCGTACAGTACGGTCAGCCAGACAAGGGTGCAGACGACGTCTCTTTCCCCAAGCAGAGCTGTGGGCACCCGGAGTTCCGGCTTGAAGAGTTTTTGCAGCCCTGGATACGGCGAATGATGGTTGCCCGCCAGTGGCAGGTGCGGTCGACGAATGGCCAAGTCGACGCAAACACTTGGCGACCTGACGGAGCTTGCTTTGGGAAGAAACGCTTTGTGGCTGCGGTCCAGGGGGCCGGCCATCTGGGGAAACAACATCAGCCAGTGGGTCGAGGTCAACCAGAGGACCAAGCGACCGCGCTCTATTTCTTTCCGGGAGCTGCTTTGTGTGAATTTGGAGAAAGGAAAAGCTCATGAAGCTGATCAGCTCGGCCTTGTCGACGATGGTCCAGGTATACGGGGAGAGAACACACGGGCCGGGGGGGGGGGGGGGGGGGAGGTGGTTGAAGCTCGACGAGGGAGGTTGTGGGTTGTGTCATCCAGTCTGTGGCGACACAGGGAGAGGAAGGGAGAGAAGAAGAGAAAAAAGAGACGGGGGGAAAAAACGGAAAAGAGGAAAGAACAGACGAGGCTCACGTCTTGAAATTCCCAATCCGTATCCCTATCCGCTTTGCTCGAGGGACGGAGAGAGGCAGAGGGCAGACGCAGAGAGGAAAACTTTGGTAAATAGAGTTTCATTCGGGAGCTTGGGAGCTGGAAGTTGGCGGCCGGAAGACCCACCCTTGCGCGCCCCGCCGATCACGACCGAGGAGTGGATCACGCCATGGTCCCACCTGCTCCAACAAGACAAGCTCGAGAATAAGGTTGGTACAATCACACAGCAGGAACATCCCACAGGACGCTGGGGATGTAACTCGCGCGACTTGCCAACCGCTCATTCACCAGCCCATTTCCGTTTCCTGTCACCTCTTCCTCCTCCCTTCTTCTACTTTCGTCTGTCATCTTGTCCTCTGGCTGGCCCTCGTGACCAAACTCTAGAAGAACCGTGCAGCCACCGGCGAAAGCTAATCGCGGCATCGGCCGTCCACCTACTTGTTACACCTCCATGTACCTCGTAAGCCTCCGTACCATCCTACGATGCCACTTGCTGGACTCCCCAGACGGTCGTTGGTGAAGCGGGAAAAAAGACCCTGATCAATTCATACTCTTCATATTGCATCGCTCATCAAACCACCCGTATATTACATAGTGCTACCTAAGTAGTCATTGGACTCAGTATTCTGTTTCCTACTGAATAGTTTTGCCCCCGTAGGACCGTGGTCTCATGCATGATTCCCCCCCCCCACAATTGCCAAAGCTCCAATATATCACTTTTTCGGTCCATGTCCTCTTGCCCTGTCGCCTCTGCTGCTACTCGGACTGTGACCGTGCACGCGACAGGTCTGCCTTCAAATGACAGACAAAGGAAAGACTCTCACTTTTCGGCTCCGACATTGGCTCCGACAGTTGGCTCCTTCACTTCGAGAACAAATCCACTGCGACCTGAAGTCGTCACAACTTGCTCTGCGCCGAGCCAATGATGTGTCCAGTGGCAAATGACGGGACTTGGTTCGAGTTCAACTCGTAGAGTATCTGAAATAAAACTTGTCTGTTGACCCGACAGCTCTCACCTGGATACAAGGGTGGGGTGAACCCCGTAGAAAGCCGGGCAACGATGTTGTCCATCTCTTCTGGCGTTGGATTGTACTGTGCGATCATGTCTTTGGCCACCGAGCAAGAAATGCTGTTGCCGTCGTCGGCACAGAGAGGCCCGCTCGACGGTACAAGAAACGCCTGGCGCACAAACGTATTGTCGTTGGGTACGTGTGCTTTTTCGCCCTGCGGCGGGAAATACCACTCGCAAGACGTGCTTGCGAGGGGGTTTGCCGCCGCTGTTGCTGCCGACATTGTGGTTACAGGAGCCGTCGAAGAGCCCATAAGCTCGTAACAATACTGAGTGTCGTAGAATGGGAAGTTGCCAGAGGACACGAGCGGTGGTGTTGTGCAGTAGGGCGAAGGCGACGGTGTCAAACAAGATGCAGCACCGATAGGGTTCTGCATTCCTGTGGCCGAAGGGTTGACGGCCTCGGGGATGGATAATTTGGGTCTCAATTCTCGAAAAGCGGCTGCCGTGAGGCCGCCGGGACGGTGAAGCGTCGAGTCTCCCAGAGTAGTTTCCAGCAGATCTGGATTGATGCCGGCATTCTTCAAAAGATGTCGCAAACGAGCATTTTCGGCTTGAACTTCACTGAAAGCTGTCCGTTGAAGATCGGCTTCACGACAGGTGTTGCGGCATTGTTGCAACTGGTGCTCGAGCTCTGCGATATATTCCCGACGTCGAGCACGGCTCCGTCGTTGGTTATCGCGAACTCGCTGCTGCTTGGATATAACAGGATTGATTTTAGTGCTTCCCTCGCTGCCTTCGGACTCCATGGGTAGCCAACATTGAATTTCACGAGGGATCAACCAGAAGATATATAGATTGGTCTGTTTGGGGAGGGGGAAGAGGGGGACGCGAGGTAGGGAACAATAGGGATCGAAATCGGTGGGCTCGATTGAAGACATGAGGAGGTGTCACAATGTATATGTCTGATTGGCGAGGTGCGGGGCCTCCCTAGCCCCCAGGCAAGCGAACAGTGATCTGCAGGTGGCTTCGACGACCCATAACACCAACGTACGCACAACAGACAAATAGCAGGGCAGAAAAGTCCGGATAGATGTCTGGTGGGACAAGCCTCCTCCGGCCGTAGAAATGACTAAAGGTCCGCTATTGAAGTGTAAAGTATACACAAACAGGGAAGATAGCGGGGGCATTCGGAGTTGCTGAGGGATACTGACCCTCGCTCGTGATCGCTGTAGCTCTAGCACATTTCCAATGGAAGGTAGGCCATGGGAGATTCGGGCAAGTGATGCCTCGTGAAAAGCCTGAAGAAAGCGCGACAGGATATGTGGCCTGACAAGGCGACGAAGCTGAAGGGATCGACCGGGACTCGGTAGACTGTGGAAGCAAGCGCGGACGGTGCCTACCTTGTTGTGTCTTGTGGTGCCTGACGACGGATGGATGGTGCGATAGGGTGCGTAGGGGTGCGTAGGGTGTGTATGGTGTGTATGGTGTGTATGCTGCGTATGGTGCGTATGGTGGTGGTTGCATCCATGGGATGTTAGTGTGTCTTGGTCCTCGAGTTGAGGTCTGGAAGGAGGCTGGCTGGGTCTGGTTGGCAGTCTCCTGCTACTACTCTTGACTCGTTTTAAGCCTCTAGAGGAAGTTAAACCCATGTTCGGCTGAAAGACGGCAGCGCTTTTCGATAACAACAAAGGGTTCTAGCTGCTTGTGTTTGTCTGTTCTTTTAGCAGGATCTGCCACCTGCTGCGTGCGCATCCCTCAGCTGTGGGCATCGTGGAACCATGAGGGGGGAGGGGCCCATTCGAGGTGATAGAGGTGGTAGAGGTGGTAGAGGTGGTAGAGCGGTGGCCAATCATGTATCCATGCAACCATCCATCCAAAAGGTACCACGCCCAAAGAATACCAAGGCGGGCGGTTGGAAACGGAAAAAGAAGCCGGCGCAGAAACTTCGGCTGTAGCCTGCAGCCTGCAGCCTACAGGCAATAGGCCATACTTAGGCCATACTTAGGCCTTAGGCAATCTTCGATCTTCGTAAACCAGATTCTTCGGCTCCTCCATCCCGGCCACCCCATTCACCTATCTGACTCGATCTGACCCGCCATCTGATTCGCCACCAGCTTCAGCTTCAGCTTGTGCCGCACAGAGAGAATTCTCCGAAGTTCGCTACGAAGTTTTAAGCCATGACCTACAGTAGCTTCATTAGCTCGCTGCCAGTGCCTGCCACTCCTTTGCAGGGTCCAACCTCTGCCAAACCCTGGAACCCCTGTGCAGCCGTGTGCGACCGTCGCCATCTCGAGCCAAACACCACCGACACCACCACCGACACCACCACCAACATCACCACCAACACTAACCCTCGCTGGAAGGTCAATATTAACCTCGATGGTCCAGAGAAATGCAGATCTAGGTAGTCACTCGGTCCACCACCCCCCTGTGGCCTCTCCTCGTATCATGTCTCAGCTACCCCTAGGGATTGCATGAACCGCTCAAAGGTCGCACCCATTGCCTGTAAATTCCACGCAACCGGCCCAAGTATCCGAGGTTGGGAATCGACTCGACTGCACCGAATCTGATCAACTCACGCTATATAGGCGGTGTCGCGTGCTCGCCCCAGATCGACACAGATTCATTCTTCGCGCCCCCAAACCTGGCCTGTAGGAAACAAGACATGAAACGAGGCCGAAACAGGTCGTGGAGGATTGCAACAACGCGGCTGCCTCTGGTAGAGGATAAGACGAGAAGACCCTGCGTGATAGACACCGCATGGCAGCCATTGAAACAATCCCTTCGTTTAGGCTGCGTATGTCCTTATGATTCCCATGTCGAGCGGGATCAGGGGAAAGATTGCACATTGGCCACCGCCATGAAAGTATATGCCCTGGATCTTGGGTCATTGGTATCATCAATGATATGACTATCCACTTCCAGCGGGTCCAACGAGTATTGCCCCCTGATGCCAGCATCATGTATCTAGGACGGTCTTTCCTCCAGGTACCGATTCAAGAGGCTACCCCACATTGGGGCCGATTTGGGATCTGCAAATCTCAGCAGAAGCCTTCTTTGCTCGTCACGCATGTCATCTAGCCACCACGAGGTAAAATGACTTGCTCTCCGGCACTTCTGCTACCGGTTTGTCCACGATGTTGCCGAGGCTTCCCCAAGACGACAATCCGATGATACGCACAGTCTAACGGCAGCGAGGCGCCTTGCTTCGGGATTCGAGCCGTTCGGGCTTTACCCCCTTGCTGAAGACTAATTCGACTTTGTTCTCCAAGCTGTGGGGGATGTGCTGGACTGAACACAATCGATATTTGCCCTCAGCTACTGGAATCTCCGTGGTTGGCCAATCGCCATGGTGATTGGAGCTGCCCAGAAGCCCGGGCTCCAACCTCGGCGACCAAAACACGGTCGCGGCGACAGATCGAATGACCACCTCCAACACAACGATGGGACCACTTGACCAACGTGATTTGTTCAACCACTAGCTGCCAAGACGTGGCTTCTCGATTCAATCAGCCAAACGAACTATATTCAAGGACCCCTCGTCATTTTTCGTTAGCCCCCGTCGGCAGGATGGATGAGGCGGGCCACTGGCAGCAGCTGGAAGATTTAAGAATCTTGGCTGTGCGATCGTGCTAATCTGGATTGGACTAGTTATGGGGTGTGTTAGTAACAGTTATACGGTCAAAAGACAGTGTATTGTCCCCATCTCAGGCTGTGCCCTGTTCTAAGCACATGTCATCCGAAATCTTCTACCAGTACAAGTAGTGACTGGGACACGAGGAGGCTGGCAAGGTAGTCGCTCAATCAGGTAGCGTGGATTGCGTGGGTCAGTGTGTGTGGAACCACCATCATTTGCCCGGTGCTAGCGAAAAGTACCCTTGAATATATTAGTAACATCGTGAAAGTGCCACACGAGTTAAGGTAGATGAAGCTTCACTAGTCCTTACAGGACCACCTGCCAATGAGGCCGACGCGTATACCTGGCACACCTTTATTCGAAAGTATGCACTTCCGTTACCTTGAAGCAGAAACGCCTGCAAGGTGGGGTTCATTGAAGAAAAGCCTGAGAAAAAAAAACCTTCTCAGACCCTGCATCGTTCCGAATTGACCAACTGTACCGAGTATTAAACAATCACTACCTAAGCTAGCCAGAATAGGGTCGTAACTGGGCACCACTCACTTGAGTGTCCCTCGTCGAGCACACTTGAAATTCGCATGTGTAAATAGGCGAGCCTAGATATTTGCGAGTTGGGTTCCTTCCCTCGTCACATCCAAATGAAAACCACTGGCATGATGCTTTCGCCTTCCAAGCCTTGGGAGGTCAAGCTCCCATAGAGTCGAGACCTTGAACGGACTGCTTGAAGTATGACGCGTGTGATGGCTGCAGTCAGGCTGTACCGGAATGCCAGTCAAGGGTGAGGCAGAAGTTACCACCCACCAAGCCCGATGTACCCTGCTCCCGATGATTGGTGTCCTACTCTCCAGCAGCGACTGGGGGAACTCGAAACAGACCTCCAAAACAGACCTTGGACTTCAAACCCCTGCCTGGACATGAAACCCTCTCCAGGGTCAAGAGCCACACCAACTTCAGGCTCCAAACCCAGGCAATGCTCAAATTGAAGCGCCTGCAAGGGGCAGTCAAGTTGCGCGAGACATCGCGCCCCTCTTGTATCCCTGTAAGCTCCAAAAACAGAGCAGAAAGCGTTCCAGGCCAACAGCCCAGTCCCCAGCCCCAGCCCCAGCCCCTGCCCCTGCCCCTGCCACTGCCACTGCCCTTGCCCTTGCCCTTGCCCCTGCCCCTGCCTTCTCCTTCGCCTCCACCTCCACAATCGACACACATTGTACCTGACCTACCCTAATCCAATGCGCGAGACATATGTCATTCTACTACACAAGGCTATGAAGATCTGCATCGCCGAAAACAGACGGGGAAGGCCGAAAATGCCTTGAGAGAGCAGACCAAGTGTGCTGGCCTATCTAAAGTGACCCAGTCTCAGAAACTCACAGCGACCGAGGCAAATGCGATAACGGCGACCTCGCAGACAACTAAGCCTTGGAGAAGATTCCAATCCGCAGCCAGCAGGGGAAAACTCGCTGGAGCCTCGTATAGGTAACAAATTGCCCCCTTTTCCCTCACAGCTCGACGATGGCAGCATCTGGGCGAAGACAGAGATAACATGTGCTTTCAACCATATTGGTTCCACAGCGACAACCACGGCAAGCCTCCTCCCGCCTCCCATTCCCCATCAGCTTGGTGAGTCTATTTCCACCTCCGTCCCTTCGCCAGAAGATTCTATCCCGGCGAATGTGAGTGCCACGGGAATCATTCCACTCAGTGCCGACGAGCCCAAACCAATTCCATCTGCACGAGCAGAAACAGATCAACAGACTAGGGGCACGGCCTCCGCTCAAAACACCATGGCGTCAGTGTCCGCCAGTGATATCTCACTCGTTGTCGTTCGGGATGTTGACAGGCCACGAGCACTCGATCTCGACGACCATCGAATCGGGCAACCAGCTTTCGAAACCACTCCCACCGGCAAAGCCATTTGTCCAGCACGCTCAAAACGGAGTAGAAGAAACATACCAGGGTCACGGTTGCTAGGATGCGAATCTCCCGAATCCGGTCCTGTTGGGGTGGACAAATGGCAACGCCCTCGCCCTCGCCCTCGCCCTCGCCCTCACCGCTAGCCAAGCCACTAGTCTACCTTGCGAGAGTCCCAATCAGTCTCGTCCATGCCACTCGACAGAAGGAATACATGGAACGAGGCTGGCTAGATCTATTGAGGAGAGATCTTGTCGCCAC